GACATTCTTGGTTGATATACAAGCAATCCAGACACATCATACCATAAAATAGAAAATAACAATTATACAAGATCAAGCAAAAAAAGTGGCTGTGATTGAGAGAGACTGTAACTAGTAAATTGGGAATAACTTAAGAATAGTAAATCGTATAACAGTAGTCAAATGGAAGCTTATGATTAAAGGAATATAAATATATATGACCTAGTCACTTAGCAGTTATGCCATAAGAATATATATAATACAGTCCATAAATAGTTCCCCAAAGTTACCCATAACTTGATTTTCTTCGAATATAACTAGGACAAGTTGGGGTGTTGCACAATTGCAAAGGCAAAATCATACATATGACGAGGTGTGAAACCCGTTTTTTGTTTAAAACGCCGAGTCCTATTTTCTGCCACTGATAAAGCTGGTAGTGATTTAGACTGAATAAACAAGCTAAGTGGAATACAGCCGGATATTGTTCAACACGAGCAGTTGTAGTAGTTTAGAACGCAAATTGAATTGATCGTCTTTGTGTGGACTTTTTGACTGCTTTAAATGTTGTTTTACAAAATCATTCATATCCTCTACCCCTGGCAGAGAATTTGTCTGTTCTACAAAATGGTATGTTTTTTTCAAAAATTAATTTATCTGAAGTTTACTTGCAAATGGGAGCTGATAGAGATTCAAGGAATTTTCTAACTATTAGTACACAAAATGGACTCCATCACATTCACCGACTGACATTCGGTGTAAAACCAGAACCAGATATCTTCCGCAAATCATGAATGCTATGACATCGGATCTGGAAGATAAAGCAGCTTATTTTGACGATATTAAAGCTGCTGGTTCAACTGAGGAGGATTTAATGAGTCAATTGGACCTATTACCTGCCAAAATATATCAAACTGGTTTCCAGTTACAAAAGAAAAAGCATAAACTTTTACTTGGATCTGTTAAATACCTTGGATACATATTTGATGAAGATGGTCACCCACTAGGTCTAGGTAGTGAACATTCTACCAAAAAATATCCCCAGACTGACAGACACTACAACATTCCGTTCATTTCCGAGAATAATTGAATATTATATATGAATGTTTGTACCTTTTATACATACGTTGCACCACCCATCCATGCTCAACTTTTAAATCTCACGTAGATAGATCAAAATCCTCAAGGAGGGAAGTTGTACGTATATTATGCATTTGAAAATTATCGGGTGATCCAGTTAAACATGGGATTCTCTAATCCAAGTGGTTGCTAAGTAAAACTATGGCCTGGACTCATGTGATCTTAAGCACTGACTGGACGTAACGGTTTATGAACAATATTTAATTTTACATTATTATGACTTGCCATCAACATCACATGGCAGAAATACCTCCTCTCACGTTGTTTTGATTTGGGTCTATCATAGAATCTTAGTAAGATCGGAAGATATTGAACAACATATTGTTATATCTGTTTGTTTCTTAACTCTTTTCAATGGTTAAGATCATGAGTCAGTTGAAGCTAGACCACCATGGAAAACCTGGAAGTACTGGACGGCCGTTTCATCCTATTGTGGGACTCCTCAGCAGTGCGCATCCACGACCTCACCCTCTGCGAGACTCGAACTCAGGACCTACTAGTTTCGCGCGAGAGCACTTAACCATTAGACCACTGAGCTGGCATCCAACGGTGTTAATATCTAACTTCAACTAATCCACGAAATTGAGCGGCACATCCACCATTGTCTTCAGTGAGTTACTATCTCATAAGAGACCTGGTTGAACTCCACTGGTTACTACTTCTCACTAGAACTCCAGGATATGCCTCGTGAAGCCAGTCACTAGTGAGCGTATGTTGATTAATATCAGATGGGTTTTGTGGAGATTGTAGTAATTTCAATGGTTAAGATCATGAGTCAGTTGAAGCTAGACCACCATGGAATGGAAATTACTACAATCTCCACAAAACCCATCTGATCTTAACTCCTTTATCAGACTATTTTTGTATAGTAATTATACTACTTGTTAAAATTCAGTAACTAGGTTAAACTCAATCAATTTTAAAAAATGACATGCAGTTAACCTTGGCTGTTGTGTGTTGATGTAGTTGTGGTGGTGCAAAAACTTGCAAATACCAAAAGTGAATGAAATGCAGAATCAATTGATTATATACAAAAGTATAAGTGCGCGGATAAAAAATTAGACATTACATTTTCAGTCAGGGGGAAAAGTGTTTGATTTGGTCAGTAGATTCACAATTCTATTGTATAATTAATAAGTCCGAATGTAGCAAATAATCCTCATTAATATGTCAGATTTAATTCCATGATGAGGAAAAGATTGATATGTAAATGTACGTGATAATTGTATTGATGACCTGTCAATGTGACAGCTGATTAAATCTAAGAACAAGGAGTGCAGGACCAGATGTACATTTGTAAACAACAGTGTGCCATGTATGTGAAACGAAAAAGGGGTGCCGCGAAAGTCGAAGTTAAACGTATCCAGCAAGCTTTTGGTCGATGAAAATGATTGCACAAACTAAATGGAATAACAGAAAACGTTAGCAATGAAAAAAATTATCTACAAAATAAGTTTATTCATCGCATTTCATTGCACGCAAATATGCTATTCTGTTATTTCCCTGTCATTTGATTTTAGTAATTCAAATATTATGACAGCTCGGGATCTCATCAAGACCTTTACAAATTGTTTCGAGGAGGATTAAAATCTTTCAAAATGAGGCATACTGAAAGTATATCACTCACTAAAGAAAGCTACCGATTATGACGATCGAGTTGCTTGGTAATACGCTAGATATATACATATATATATATATATATTTTGCCTGAATAGCCCATAATTATAACTTAGCTACCAAGCTTGAATAAAATGCAATCAGAGCAGTTTGTTAAAGCATTATTAATAACAGAACAATGTGTACGATGCACTACATAGTGAGTAATTATTCAAATATTTATGGCATTTCATTTCTGATCTGGTTAGTGATAAAATTTGTCGTCCGTTCTAACTAATTCATTTTTCTCACATCAATCAATAATAATTTAATTTAATTCACGGAAATCATGAGGTTATAAGAAAAGATAATTGTAATTGCGTAATCAGATATTTTTAGGTACATACTAATCGATGGAACACAGCCTCAGTAATGTGTCAGTTTTTGACTATATTTCAAGTTGGTCACTTAAGCAGCATTGAATATACTACTTATGAGAAATTAATGCAAATCTTGAATGCTCCATTTGTAACACACCAAGAAATAATCATTTTATGTTAATATTTAGTTGGGGGAAGGATACTTCTAGCATAATTCTTAGTGTGGTATGTTTCCTCCGATAACAATAAACGAATATTTATCTTACACCATTCTAACTAGGATTATTGAAGGAATAGTTCTGTGTATAAGAATTATTTCTTACCATAAAATATTGATTATTGACAGTAAACTGTATTCACTTTACACTAGTTACCGAGTGAATGAATACTAACAGAATGACGTCCCACCTTCAATAAAAACTATTTTGTTTAAAAAAAGTTCAATAATCCAGATTAGACTACTGATTCTTGGTAGTATTCCTGAGTCTTTGATAAATAATAAATCTTATATCAATGTCTTGAGTAAACTAACCTTTGAAATCGCTATATATTTCTCTGGTAAGATTTGCAAATGTTTACAATTTATTTAGTTTCAAATCGTTTAATGATTTAATGTAGCAGAGACTAGAAAGCTTAAACAAGTAGCTTCATTTGGTCACTCAATCGTTTAATTGCTATTTAGGTATTTGATTAAGCATGGTCGTTATTTTCTGAGTAGTAATGATCTTGGCTGAATAGAACATTCTATTGACAATCGATTCCACACAACGCTATTCCACAAAGTTCTGAATGGTTAAGTGATTTAGACAAACTACTTAGGTGACAAAAGCATAATATATCTCAACGTAGGATGACCCTTCAAACAGTTTCTAAACTTTCATAGATATCCAACATTATTTTACTAAGTACGGTTTCGATTGAAAGAACGTATTATCTTTTTCCTAGCATTGATATTACCTGAGTAAGCTGTCAACTCGAACGACTCCTTCAGATAATATTTAAATAGACATCTTTGAATAGGTTTCAGTAGTTTTGATAACCCTTTTACAAGATTATTTTTAGGTAACCAATACAACGTAAAAATCAGACGTGAATTTCAGGCAATCCATATAAATGAGGGTGTTTAGAACCAAAAGATTTTAAGAGGCTAATAACTTAATGCATGATCAAGCAGTTCGAAATGCATCGTGCTCCTATAACATATATTTCTAATAAAATTCTTCTTCTCACTAGATTGCCTAAACTGTAAAGTCATTCCAACGGGATGACTGGTTTTAGCACCATTGATGCACGACTAATTAAGGAAGTAGTAATTCATAATGTATGTGCTTAAATTAACATCTTTTTGTTTAGTAATACGGATGGATCGAATGTGTCTATCACATTATCGATCAAATATTTTGTTCCATCACTTATCCTACCTTTCAAGATAGGAAGTCAGACTGTGAATTTCTGAACAACCAATAGAAAAATTGATTAGTTTAAATGACTGATGGGGTACAATGCTTGGTCGAATAGGAAGAGCTAAGGAAAGTTGTATACGATGAGAGGTGAGAGATACATGGGGGATTTACGTGCAAAACACATGTGCTACTAGTTTTACAGATAAACCACTGAAAGAAATACTGAGGGGTGAATTTTGGAAACTAATCCCTTTTTTAATATTTAGACAGCCCCAAATTACTATCCCAATGACAAATCAATAAGTTAACCACCATCAAAGTAAGTCATAAAAAGTTTGTTTATTGTTACGATTTAAGTTCATAATAAATCCATATAATAACAATACCAAGTACTTTCATCCTTTTGACTTTCTAAACTAAAGCATTGAAATTCGAGGTTTTCGGTGATTGTTTTTTTCTAAACTCGAATTGAAGAAGGATCATCTTTATAGTTCAATAGTGAATAATGGCAGCCATTCAACTCGATGATCGTGATCGGACTATCGCCATGGGACGAGGTCTATATAGATCTTCATCTCCTGGAACAATAAGACTAGAGGTGAGTTAACTTAATAACATATACCAAGACATTATGTACGAGCCTTACTGACAATAGGGTTAGAGGATTTGAAAATTGTAACCTCACAGTTCCTCCATAGCTTACTGAACAAGTCTGTTGCTCAACTTGTTGCAATGATTGTTTATATAATCTTTGCTTAATAGAAAATCCTAAAATACACAAAGTTTTTGAAACAAATGGATTTTTTTCTGAAATACCGAAAAAAGTCTATGGTTGTACTGTAAAGTCTAGTACTAAATCATGCATACATGGGCTACTTGAGTTTTCGGACAAACTAATTAATTTGATCTTAAGTCACATTTTGACTTCGACAATTATTTGCTTATAAGCTTGACTGTTTTTGTTTGAGTGTATATGTATGTATCGCTTATGCTACTCGTCACATTTCTTTAGTATATTTCTGTCTGGCTATAAATAATAAGTCATGACTTGTCAAACGGGGTTTACATGTTGGACTCCGGTTTCCATTATTTATGTTTACCTGATTAAAAGATTGCATGAAATAAACTCATCCAACTGAATCCATATTTGACATCTGATTACCACCGTCGCACAAACCGGATTAGCTTATGTGCAAGTGGAAAATTTAAATTTACTGCATATTTATTCGTTCACCCAAATCTGATTCAGATCATTGAGCCACAAAAGTACAACCAAGATGTTTTTCAAATGAAAAATTCATTTCATTATATTAGCTGGTTATTTTGTTCACTAACACTTGACATTCTTTAAATATTCGACCATTTCTTTGAAAACCAAACACTATGGATTGTATTGTAAAGTGAGTAATCCAAGTACTTGTTTAAAATATTGACTAATATAATATGACTATAACGGATAAACAGATTTCAATCATTATCATTATTTGATCCTAATGTTTGTTTTTCCTTCTAGTAATAAGAGAAAGGAAATTCATTTTTTTGATTATATGTTGAATAAAAAAAGAACTTTGACAAACATGACGACGTGGATGCTATCTTAATGATACAGAGGAAGTTAAGAAATTGGAATCCATGTTATAAACAAAGATGGATTGTGGCTAGCAGTGGAATCAAGGACGCGCGTTGCGTTCTGTTTGGGTCTCATCAGCTGGAAGTACCTGCATCCCAGAGTTGATGTACACTCCTGTAATCGAATCCAGTACCGTCCGCTTCAAACACCATCGCGTCACCTACTTAATTACTGAGTCCTGACAGTTACTAGTCACAAATAGGACGAAACGCGCGTTCTGGATTCCACTGCCATCCATCATCCATCTTTGCTTATAATGTTTGTGACTTAAGGCAATATGGAGGCAATCTGTGCAGGATGCACATATGCCAATAAGAGAGTGATCAATTGCAGTCGTAAATATCAATGAGAAGATTCAAGTAAACAATACCAAGTGAATTTCATTTATCTAGTTAGTTTAACGTAAAAGTTGCTATTTTTCTTGGTAATTTTCCCGCTGATGGTTATATTGGTTTGTCATAAATGTCTTACATATCTGATTAACATTTAGATAGATTGATTTCCTCATGGAGAATGAGTTTAGCTAATGGAAAACTTGGATTTTGGCAAGGTATCGAGTCTGATATATTTAAGCGAATTACCATGACAATCATTTAGTTTAGTAGAAGTATTTTCTACTTTATTGTCATAATTATCTATTTATAATGATAGAATAAAATGTGTTTAATCCGAGTCGATAACCAAAATACTTGAACTTAGTAGATAATCCTTTTTTAACAAAAGAACATAGCAACACAAAATCTGACATTATACCAGGTCAAAGTACATTTTGCAAAACTATTCAACTGTATTAAAATGATCTAGTCTGGTCTATAATGTCGTTTATCTAAAATCCTAACAGTCCATATGGCAATGTAAAAGAGTTTTTTTTAGGTGTTGTCTTAAGTACATGAAATTCATGAAACTTTGACTTTTTTGTTTATACAGAAAAAGCCAGTGAAGTGGTAACGAATAAGAATGTGTTAGAAACATAATTGTAATTTAACCGATCCTTAAAATTATATATTAAAGCTAACTGTTTTGATATTGTAAGATAAAGGATTATCTAGACACAAAAAATACATTGTATGACAAATGCATTTGAAGTTATTCATATAATAAGGAATTCGAAAAAAGTATTCGCTTGAATGAATATTTTAAAATGAATACTCAATCTACTTTGGAAATATGATGTAAACTTTACTTTTCCAAATTCCTTATATGGTGAACGATATAAAATATGGAAATCATATAAGAGTAATGAGCATGAATTCATTTTGTGTTGTTTACTTGAATCTTCTCATTGATATTTACGACTGCAATTGATCAATCTCTTATTGGCATATGTGCATCCTGCACAGATTGCCTCCATATTGCCTTAAGTCACAAACATTATAAGCAAAGATGGATGATGGATGGCAGTGGAATCCAGAACGCGCGTTTCGTCCTATTTGTGACTAGTAACTGTCAGGACTCAGTAATTAAGTAGGTGACGCGATGGTGTTTGAAGCGGACGGTACTGGATTCGATTACAGGAGTGTACATCAACTCTGGGATGCAGGTACTTCCAGCTGATGAGACCCAAACAGAACGCGACGCGCGTCCTTGATTCCACTGCTGATCCACATCCATCTTCGCTTTGCAATAATCATGGTTTAAAGATATTTTTAACAACAAAATCAAAATGTATACTGATCAACCAAAATCGAAAAATAAACTAATCAATATCGTTCAACCACATAAATAAACTAAATAATTAATCAGAGTTTAATTTTAACAAATCTAAGGATGAATATCATTTGATAACTACTAGAAAAAGGAGTTAAACACGCTGTTTAATCATCGTTTTACATTTTCATCCATAATATTCATTTTTGCGTTTGATATTTTTCTATATTCTAGACAAGAGTGAAAGATCTTGAAGATCAATTGGATGAAGAACGTTCTCTACGAATAAAGGTATGATTAAAATGTATTTTTAAAAAATTATTTATTTAATTAATAGTTCTAATAAAATTTTTACTAGAATTGGAACATATCACTTGTCAACAAGTCATGAGGTTATCTTCTTTGAAGATGGTTTTGTTTTAAAATTTCAATATTTTATATAATTTGGTTTGGATATTGTTTATTCATACTGTTGTACAATCATTAAGGCATACAAAAACATAAAAAAATACGGGAACAATATATTAATTAAATTCCTGTGTAGTTATTTAACAAAATATTGATATTCTTAAGACAGGATCTCAAGGTATTAAATTAACTACTAGCTAAAATCCGTGTCAATTCCTTGATCTTAAATAGCATATGCTCAATTTACGATATCATGTAATCCATTGAGAAATTTCATCAGTTGTTTACTTGAGCCTAGTTCTTACATAACAGCGTTATATATATATATATATATATATATATATATATTCGGTTTATGATTACTTACTTGCCTACATATGCCTATTGCTCCTCGTGAAGGAGCATAGGCTGCTCACCAGCATTCGCCATCCAACCCTGTTCTGGCCAATCCTTTCCAGTTCTTTCCAGTTGTTATTCATCTTTTCCATGTCTGCTCCTATTTCCCGACGTAATGTGTTCTTTGGCCTTCCTCTTTCCCGCTTCCCTTCAGGATTACAAGTAAGGGCCTGCCTCGTGATGCAGTTTGATGATTTGCGTAATGTACGTCCTATCCATTTCCATCATCTTTTCCTAATTTCTTCTTCATCTGGAAGTTGGTTTGTTCTCTCCCACAGAAGGCTGTTGCTGATGGTATCCGGCCAATGGATGTTGAGCATCCTACGTAGACAGCTACTTATAAATACTTGTACCTTCTTGATGGTGGTTGTTGTAGTTTTCCAAGTCTCAGCTCCGTACAGAAGAACTGTCTTGACGTTCGAATTGAAGATTCTCACTTTGATATTGGTTGAAATTTGTTCTGAGTTCCATATGTTCTTCAACTGAAGGAATGCGGCCTTTGCTTTGTTTGCCAACCCTCGCCTTTACGTTTGCATCTGAACCTCCTTGTTCATCGATGATGCTTCCTAGGTATGTGAAAGATTCTACATCTCCCAGAGTTTCGCCATCAAGAGTGATTGGACTGCTGTTCTTCGTTTTGAATTTGAGGACCTTGGTTTTCCCCTTGTGTATGTTGAGGCCTACTGATGCAGACTGCTGCTACACTGGCTGTCTTTATCTGCATTTGTTCGTGTGTACGCGATAGGAGGGCTAGGTCATCTGCGAAGTCCAAATCGTCTAATTGATTCTGAGCTGTCCATTGTATTCCGTGTTTTCCCTCAGATGTCGAAGCCTTCATAATCCAGTAGACCACCAGAAGAAAGAGGAAGGGAGAGAGTAAACAGCCTTGTCTGACTCCGGTCCTTACTTGGAATGCATTTGTCAGCTGTCCTCCATGCACTACTGTACACTGTAGTCCGTTGTATGAGTTCCGGATAATATTGACAATCTACTCAGGAACTCCGTAGTGTCGAAGAAGTTTCCATAACGTCCTCCTAATCTACACTGTCAAATGCCTTTTCATAACCAATGAAGTTGATATACAGTGACGAGTTCCACTCAACTGATTGTTCGACGACGATCCGTAGTGTATTCTATTATCATCTCATGAAATGTTATGAAAGTTTTATCAGTGAAAACAAGTGACAAGTTCCACTACAGCACTGTACTATAAAAGCATAGTTTATTAATAAAAATCTACATGTTTAATTATTGTTTGTTGAACGTTATTCCTATAATCTCAAACTACTTTGCTTATAACAGTAATACTGATGCTCAACTAAGTAACATAATACAATTCATTGCTTCACAGAGAATCTTTTTCCGTAAGACCCGCTCAAAATAGGGAAATAAGACACACTATATAACCACTGTATATTTGACTCAAAAATAAGATTATTAGTAAGTAACGGTATGTTTAGAACGGAAAAGAAAAGATAAAAAAACAGTAGTTGATAATTAGTCAAACGAAAGCTTATAATTGGAAAGATCCAAAAACATTATAAAATCAGTATTTGATAAATGTACTTTAAAAATATAATTATTGATCTCAAAAGTAGCTTCCAAAGTTTGTCATTTTCCCTCTTTCATCTAACTTTAATTCATACTTTGGATTATCTTTAAACTTTAACTATTCTTCAAACAATTTCTATCTGAATAATATTGTCATTTGAATGATAATTTTTCCTGTGGAAATTATAAGATAAAAGTAAAGAGGAAAAACATGTAATGTAACTTAGTATTGACATTTATGATGACAATCAGTATGGAATCTAATGTAATGTTTGGGGGTACTTTGTGTTAACAACTTGTAAAGTGAAAAGAACAACAACAAAAATAGTTTTGCGATTTTGTAATTTCGACAGTGATTTATTTGAACAACTGGAATATTTTTCTTTCATTTCAACGTTTGTTGTTGTTCGTTGCTTGAAAGCAATACTACTACTACTACTACTACTACTACTACTAATAATAATAATAATAATAATAATAATAATAATAATAGTAATGGTGATTATCATCATTATTATTGTTATGATAAGACTGATCCATATTTCCATGTTCATTATATGCGATCAATATGATCAGAAGAGTGACTAGGGTGGTCTAGCTTCAATTAACTCATGATCTCAACTAATAAAATTACTATAATATCCATACGACCCCCTTCTGAGACTAATAGATTATGTACGAAATATATTATTGAACAGTGATGGATGTCACATCATATTGTAGTGGACAAGAACTCAAGTGGGGGCAATCAGATTTCGGTCATTCTTAAAATTGAAAATATTAAAATATTTGGTTACAAGCAGAAATCAAAATCTGAGTCATTCTGTATGACGCTGACTTTGCTAAAAGTTATCTTGAATAAAGTGCATGTGTGACAATAATAGAACTTTCCTTAAGTCTTTTCTGTTTAGATGAAGTTTTGTAATACTTTTACATTTTTCGTGCCTAGCCAGTGTAAATTTTATTTAATATGTGTAAGATCATAAAAATTTATCGTGTACATATCATTCTGTTGATTCAACACAGAATATGAACCGCTCAAGATTTAAAACCAATATAGGCGTGTAGAATTAATCAGTTTTCTGAACACTCATCTGATATTGAATACATAATATTACCACCCCAGTCTTCATTTTCAACTTAATGCATCAGTTTGACCAAATTCTTGTGACTTTTCTTGAAGAAAATTTTTGTAAAATCGTACTTTGTATTAGACATTTGTAAGCTCTTTAAACATTATCTTAGTACAAAAAGATCATCCAAATAATTAATCATTACAGGCACATTTAAGTTTGATTAACTACCGTCTCGTTCGCTCAGTACGATAAAATATAAGAGAAAGACTAGGAGAAAACGAGAAGCTTTCAGTTATCGCAACGTTTCAGTCTAAACAGTATATCGTAATTTATGTTATTTTAAATGATTGGAATAGTATGTACCGATATGGGTAGTTCTGTTTCAAGTAAGTAGTAGTGATGTATCCGGTGAAATCAAAGAATTGTTTATTATTTCAGTTTTATATAGTCTTCCACTCAGCTGAAAGTTTCATTCTATCATATTTGTATAGCACAATGAGACTTATGGATGTATCCATCTATACTCTATTGGAATAGATATGCATTCAGAGTGAAGTCAGAATTCAGATTGAGCCAAATAACCGAACTAATCATTCCAAGATGAACACTTTTCATTCAAGACATAATATGAATTTTTCTCTATTTATTATTGGTCTCTTCTCCAAATTTTTTTATGATTAATTTTATCATCAAATTACATCATAGATACTGAATAAGAATAATTTGATAGTGACTGAAATTTCATTAAAATTTATGAAATATTCCCAATGTCTAAGAAACCAAATCTTTTGTAGTTTAACATTACAGACTGACTTTAGTTAGACAAATACTGAAAACCAGGAAAAACATGGTGGCCTTTGAATCCTAGTATGAGATTTCACAGCCGAACTCACTCATGGCCTGACCAACGATCGAACCCGAAACCTTCATGCCTCTAGGAAATCGTTTAGCCTTTAGACTGCTAAGTTAACATCCGATGATTTGCATTTCCGACTTTGATCAATTTCAGATATTGCGCAACCACCATTAGTGATAAGCATACAACAATCCAGACATATGTTTCATATCTATATTAAAAACACGAAGTTCAGCGGAGGAATCTCTTTTCAACAAATTTATTATAGAGTTGTACAATCGTATATATATGAAAATGTTTTGTTAAACTACTAGTCCTGTAAGGACATATGAACAAGGAATAAACATAATGGTGTAATAGAAAGATTATGACACTAGATTGCGTAATATGAATAGTAACAATAAAAGGTTGTATGTGTGCACCCCTATGGAACCACACTGGGACGTGTTCTCGTATCCAAGTTAAAAGCGAGCACTGGATACAACCTATCTACCTTACTCCACAAGAGTAGGTGAACTGGTAGATGAGTATGGAGGTGTCCAAACGGCGAAGCTTATTCTTTTTGGATACAGGAAAGAAGTTCCTATTAGTGAACGCTATTCACAGCTTTGCTGCATAGGACATCTATATTACACTTTGAATCGTTAAAATTAATTCCCATAAACAACGTGCCATTAAACCTGTGAATGAAATAGATCGTTAGACATCTAGTAAAAATGAAGTTCCAAATCTAAAAATATTTCCTCTGTCTCTTTACTTGCAAATACGAGCAAAGTCCACATAGTTAGAGAGGACATTAACAATTTATTCATATTCAGAGTCCAAAATATGAGTGAAGAATTGTTTTCAGTGAATTCTTCTACAGCGATAAATCTGTAAACATAGTGTTACAAAAGACCGTATTTTAGGGTACACATTTAAAAGTCTTGATTGAATTAATTGGTGTTATTAATAAAATAGTAGTAGATAACATATGGACTATGTCTTAAATACTAACAAAAAGCATCATTAATAAAGTTGAGAGGTCAGATTATATGGTATAAGTAAAAATTATACGTTAAGGTAATGAGTTCAAATCAAGAGATTAAAACTGTATAGAATATATGTAATATGTCATATTAATTTGTATAATGATTATGATAATGATATGGGGAGTTGCTATCACCGTAATAACGTATGAACTAAAGAAGATAAATATGTAATTAATGAAATGTCTTAGGAAGATGTAGGATAAAGATATACGCAAGAGAGAGAGAGAGAGTAAAGGTTAACAGTGTATATTGAAAATATTGACCGTGTTCAATATGGAAGAACCTTATTGCGGGGCCTTTTGAACAAAATTGGTTTCACACATGAGTCTGGTTTCTTCCAGCTGATAATAATAGCTTCATCGTTAGGAAAGGGGGTTAATCTTAAATCTTTTACGAAATCATTCTAGACTTGATATAAAACTGTGAAAGCTTTGTCTGTTTTGATATTATGTTCACTATGTACCATACAGTAAAGTGTGTCACTATCTACAGATTTGTTGACCATTTTACCCAACCACCTTGAGACTTATTTATGACCATTGGTAATTCGTAACATACTCTTACAAAGCAATTTCTCAGACTTACGAAGGAGTCTATACTTGATAAAAGAACGAATTTTTAGGTGATAAAAAATGTTTTTCTTCTACTACATAATACCACTGAACCAACCTTTATATTCTAACTTAACAATTGGAACTTTTAAAATAAAAAATAATCTTCAAATTGAATTTATATTATCATTATAAAATTTAATATTTATCATTGTATACATTAACTTTAGACGGAAAGGGAGCTTGCTGAAATTAATGCTGAGTTCGACATATTAAATGCAGATTTTCAAAATGCTAGAGAACAAATAAGTCAACAAGTGAGTATAAATTCTTTCTGTATCATAAATATTTATTTTCATAAAGATATATTACAGTACAATTTTGAATCTGTATTAATTTAATAATTACATAAGATTCAAGCAAACCATACCAAATGAATTTAAATTCACCCTATTGCACAATAAAGTGGCTATCAGGACTCAGTAGCTGAGTGGATAACGCGAAGGCGTTTGAAGCGAATGGTACTGTGGTTTGAGTCCCGGAGTGTACATCAACTCTAGGATGCAGGCACATCCGGCTGACGAGTCCCAAATAAGACGAAACGTTCGTTCTGGATTCCACTGCTACCCACTATCCATCTTTGCTTATCAAGCTTGTGAATTAGGGCAATATCAAGGCAATGCACATAGTATGCAAATATGCCAAATGAGAGACTGATGAATTGCAGTCGTAAACATCAATGGGAATATTCAAGCAAACAATACCAAGTGTAATTAAGTGATAGTTATGGTTGATATAATCATTGAGAAGTTCAAACTTACTACTTGAAAGAGGAATGTTTTTCATTATTTCATTCAAAAACATGTTTTGAATGTACTTTGAAACTTAAGAAGGCTTAATTATATCAAATAATTAACAGAAGTTCAATAAATTAACTGTCTTATTCAATGTATATAGAGATATATATTTGAGTGTAAATATTAGGTACCAAAATGTAACATTATTTGTTGATCACAAAAATCATTCTAGGAATTTTGTAAACTTGAATCCGTATAGCCACCTTCATGAATGATAAATTTAACAGGTTATTTGAACCTTAAATTAAATTACTGTTTCTAATTCAATAGCATATTACTTTAATTTCAGTTTAGACACTATAATTGTTGAAGTAAAGGAAAAAAGCAAAACAGGAACTTGATTTCCTACGAAATTATTTAACTAACCAAATTATCAAGTACTAATCTAACTAGTCAATAGAAATTTATATTGAGCTCATAAGATGTGTAATTTGGTTTATCCATGGATGATACTGAAATGTAATGTAATGAAGTTTTTGTAAGTATAAACTGAACAAACATCGTTTTATATTCTCTCACTTAATGCCTTTGATAATTATTTGATTGAAGAATTTAGGATTCTGATAAACTTGAGGAGTTCTATTTGACTATGAAAGTGATTATTTGTCGAAATAGAGGTAATTGACAGAACACATTGTTCATAATCCTATCGTCGACATTTTAGGACGGATTAAAATTATCAAAACAACAGTACTATAGTTGTTGGTAAGGAACATAGCTTTATTAATATTGTTAAAGCATTTTCACACTACATGTCTGATATATTAATTTTGTAGAGAATATTTTTACAAACATATCAACCAAATCTTCCAATTTGCATTCGTAGATAATATATTGTAGTTCAATTACTAATATAGGAATATTAACTGGTTTCATGCTTAAAAAAAGGTTGATAAATTCAAATACATTACATTTATTTTATAAAAGGAGGAAACTATCAAAAGACGGGAACAAGAGTTTGCTCGTGTTCATAGAGAGCTGGGTACAATTCGTGATGCAAATGAAGAAAGTTTGGAAAATTTAAGACGTCGTCATCAAACCACAGTCAATGATCTTAATCTTGAAATAAATGTTCTTCAAAAAGCGAAATCCAAGTTAGTAATTATTTTCGAAATACATTTAATATTATGCCGGATCAGATATGTCAGTCAATATTGCTTCTTTATATTATAAGTTCTTTTAAGGATTTAATCACTTAAAATTGAATCCAGTTTGTTGTGTTTTCATAAATTCTTTTTCTCATGGTAATTCCTTCGTTGTTGATATACAGTAAAGACAAATCGAATAATCTCTTTACCTATTTCACCTTAGTGATATACATTTTAAATAGCCATTGAATTTCAGTCAATTTTCGTCATTTATTTATTCAGATGGGTTACCGTTAAAATATTAGATAACACTAATAATAACTGTATTTAAATTTGTTGAATATTTAGAGCTGAAAAAGAAAGATCTGAAATGGCTAGACAATTGGAAAATGCTTTTATTGAAGTTGAAGATGCTAATAAGGCGAAAGTAAGCAATAAGTTATTATTTTTTAAAATGTATATTTGTTAGGTTATTGCTAGAAAAATAGATTCATTTTTTCAACACTAGACGATACATCATTAAACATGTAACGTTTATGTGAACCAAAGATGTCAGCTAATTATGCAATTGTAAATAAACTTTAGTTTACTAAGTGAAGGTAATTATCTTCATAATATTTGTTGAATAAAGCATCTATTGAAAACTTAACAAAATCTATGGACTGTAAGATAAGCAATGGATTCTTAATAATACTATACCGAAATGGTAGTCTAGAGATTTAGAGAAATGTGCTACAGTAATCCGTATGCTTATTTTTCAATGAGGTTCAGATTACTACGGATAAATGAATGTAAACTTGAATTAAAGTTAGGATATCGTTTGCCTGGTTGTTGAATATATTTATTGTAATAAATTGCTGTTTACAATATCTGATTGTATTTAATGGTGGGCAAAATAAAAATATAAAATATGTTTTCATTCTATAACTGAATGTATCAGAAACCCATTGATTTTAGTCTTATCCACTTGAATGTGAACTTAACATTTAACGATTCAAACTGTAAAACATTCAATTAGGTAATTTGCTAGCAGGGACCAAATGATGTTCTCACAGTATACTCAGTCAAAACTTTCTTCATATTACAAATGTACCCCAAAGTGAGAATATTAGTCAAAATAGATATCGTTTTATTTTCAAGAACTAATGTGATTGCGGTATATTTCATGGAAACAAAAATCTTTTTGAATACTTTCAGTTACTTTCATACCACTATAAATTTATAATACTATAACATAATGAAAAGTTAAAATAAATGTTCATCTATATTTAGAGTACGTTAAAATATTAAAACCAGCTGATGGATATAAACTACATGAGAAAACCATTTAATTAAACTGATTATGAAAAATCGCCAACTGAAAAACTGAGAAAATTTAGTATGTATTATTTCAAGTAAATGCAGCTCTCCAGTTTCAAACTGTTCCTGGTTTTCTACTAATAATACTTATTAAATAGATCAACAATTAAAAAAATATGTTCAAAACTAATTTATCACCATTTGAAGTGATGAAGTTGATATGGATGTGTAATTTTTAGATAAAACTTTACTATGCTATGAAATTGAAACTACTCTGTGAATATCATTCATACTTCTATACTCCTTATTGATAATGATACTACAGACTGTTAAAATAAAAAAAATTGTGGCTGAAACGGTAAGGAAAATTAAAACAATATGGTGATTTCACGTATCCTATGAGATTTTTAAGGGTATATAAGGAGTTATGATGACGCAGTAAACGTCTTACTAGTTCCAAGTTATTTCAAAAATAAATATAGGTATACTTTGTAAAATTATTCACGATATGGATGCCAAGCTGCATTATAACACAAAGCCCAAAAGTTACTAAACTGATTTTAATCAGCTTAGCAGTCTTACCGATGTTCGACAAATGAAAAAAATATTAATTTTCTGAACTCCTGACCGTCTATTGATACTGAATCGTATAAGCAATTAAGTTTTCCCCGCCTAGCCGTAATACAGTGTTTCTGTTTAGAAGACCAAAATAACCATACACGACTCCATGTAGGTCAGAAGACCGACAAAGATATATTTACTGGCCATAAAGACAGATTGTAACTATATCTCAGTGTATTTAATCTAAATACGTTTATTCTATGCTAAATAATGGTCTAATTCTGAATAATCAATAAAATGTTGTCTGAAACTAATTCATTAATGCCAAAAAGTTAAAAACTGTTAAAAATTATTAAAGCAACTGACTTACAATCCCTAAAACATATGCGTATGAAATATTTTATTTTATTTATGCCGGTCTGCTGTTAAACGACGCCGTGATCCGCTTAGTCAATATAGAAATGTTTAACCAATTTTCAAATCCCCGTATAAAAATGTTTTTTTATTCTCTCTGCTAACCAGACTGTTGCTCAATCAAAACAAGAAACACTTGAATCTCAAACTATAAGATTGAGAGCGAACTATGAAGAGAGTCAAAAACGTATTACAGAACTTAATTCACAAAATGCTCAACTCATTGCTGAAGCAACTGAACAGGCTAGAACTATAGAAAAGTTAAATACGTCTTTGGCAAGTTGTCAGAGAGCACAATCGATTGCTGAATCAGTAGGAGAAGACCATAAGAGAGCTTTAGAAGAAGAAATAAAGGTATGTTATAATAAAATAAAAATAGAGTAAAAATAAAAGGACAAACTAATAAACAAAAGAACTTATTATAAAACGTCAGCTAAATCCGATTTGTTAAGTTTTAACAATATGATTATACTGAATATTGAAGTTTAAGTTTTCGTTTGTTATTAAAAGTCAATTGGTATGATCTTCACTTAAAGTTTAACAAATCTAACGTAAGTTGGAAAAATACTAAAAACTAAAAAGTGCTGGATAATTATTCCGTCCTAGCATGTGACTTATTAGAAGTCTTAGTCTGTAGCTTTATCATGGTTGCCGAAACAAAGTCAGTCAGTGATGTGAAGCCTTAATCCAGCAATCCTGTAAATGCCTTATTTAACATTCATTCTGTTCTTATTCGTAACTAACTGAGAGAGTTAGATTCAAGAGTTCTAATAAGAAGTAGTGATCATTGGAACCCACCTAAGTTGAGTATGATACAAATATCACCAGTGACCATGAATGATGGTCATACAATATCTCAAATTGACAGAGATAACTTATTTAGAAAATTGGTTACAAGAACCGTGCTCCGAAAGTTAAACACGAGTTGTGAGGCCTGAAGATTGTAGGTTTCAGTCGATAGGTTTTCGAAGTAATAGATGAACACTACTCCGGAGTTCTGATTATTTGTGTTTTTTGATCCAACATATCGAACTACGTTACAGTGAACATTTCACAACAGATCGTTAAGAACGATTCCAGTCCAAAAAGGCAACAAATAAAAATACTAAGATTGTTTTTGAACAATAATAAGCTTTTATTCATGTAACATTAATGACTATTTTCAAAGGTAAACAATATGTGTTTACATTTATCCAAAAAAGGTGATAAATAATTTCAGTCTTTTCTTTCTTTTATTAAAATTTTGTCATAAAATGTTTATTATACTTGATAATAGATTTTCACTTCAGTCTTTTATCTATGAACAATCTAAATAAATAGGTTTATGGTGTAAGTATTGTAATAGAATATGAATCTATAACGATTGGAACTATTACCATTTTATGATGTGTTATATGTATTAGTAAATGCATTAAATTAACAGAAACAATTGGATAATCAGAAGAAATGAACAAATGATATACTGTGGAAGCCAAGAATATCAAAGTAAATACCTAGATTGCATAAAGACTTATATGTATTCCATAACAAACTTTATTCTGTAAGTGGATAATTGATCTAAGTGAACCGATCACATGTCTATGTCGGAATCAGTCTGTCTGACTAGCATTTTTCTAGCAAAGTTATCTTCTATGGAATAGGGTTGCTGACCCTATGCTCAACCCTCCTCTTTTATCCTGGCTTTGGACCGGCAGTAACCTTGGGAGAGCTACAGACGGAGTTATCAGTCTGTCTAACTCTAAATAGAAATCATCCGTATAGGGGTTGTGGAGATCATTAGGTTTTTGATTGAGATCATGAACCGATTGATGTTAGACCACCATCAAAAACCTGGAAGCACTGGACGACCGTTTCGTCCTATTGTGGGACTCCTCAGCAGTGCGTATCCATGATCCCGCCTGCGGGATTCGAACCCAGGGCCTTCAGTCTCTCGCGCGAACGCTTAACCTACTGGATCACTGAGCCGGCATCCAGTGGTGTTAGTGTCTGACACCAACCGATCCACGAAATTGAGCGACCATCTTCCATTGTACTGAGGTAGATACTTGTCTCTACCCGACACGGATTAGCTCCACTGGTCACGGCTTCTCACTAGAACTCCGAGAATTCCCTCACGAAGCTAGTCACTAGTGAGCACATTTTAATTATCAGTATAGGGGCCATGGAGATTACTAAGTTTTTGATTGAGATCATGAATCGAAACGGCCGTCCAGTGCTTCCAGATTTTCAACGGTGGTCTAACATAAATCGGTTCATGATCTCAACCAAAATAGAAATCAGTTGTACCTATATTCATTCAGGATTATGTCCTGTTATCTAATGGAAGGGTACATTAATAGTTAGTCTGGACACTAAATCGTAATGACAGACAAAAAAAAGACAGCTAAACGTTCATCTTAAACCTGTCAAATAAAAAAAGTTCATTTTAATAATACACACAATTAACTATTCGCAATTCATCAAAAAATCTCTTTATTTCAATTTCTATAGACTAGAACCTTAGTACAAAATAAATTAAATACAGTACAACAAGAATTAGATACATTAATTCATAGAGCAGATGATGAAGCTGAAAGTGTAGTGAAACTTCAAACTCAAGTTACTAGACTTACAAGTGAATTAACACAAACTAAAACAAAATATGAAAAAGAATTCAATGAGAAAACTGAAGAATTTGATGAACTCAAGTATGCAACTTATTAATTATTAATGATTCTTTAGTAAATGATTACATAATTTACTTTCATATGATATATGTAATTTATTTTATTGATCATTTATGTCATAACAAGTAAATTTATGACCAGGTTGCTCAAAGTATACTACATCAGTACTTTATATTTTACAAAACAACTTCTTTTCATAACTATATTGAAGTTTATAAAAAGGTCTAACCGTTTTAAGAAAAAAAAACATTTGTTAAACAAAACAACAGATCAATAAAAACGGGAAAAATTTAGTGATGATTGGTTAGCTTATGACCTTGGTTTTCATCATTTAACAATTACTTGTTGCCTACAGGTACTTTACTTGTATTATCTTGGTGAAATATTTATATTGAATTTGTTAGCCTATGGTTTTATCTTCATAGTTTTATCAAACCAACTAAACTATCACAGCATTAAGTACTCTGCTTTCATAAATTAAGACGGTGTGAGTGATGACGGATTTCAGAAATGTGTTAATTTTTACTAGAAACTAATGACCTTTTTGTTGATAAAATGAATGCCGAAATTTTGTGAAATGGCAATTTCATTTAGTAGTCATGTAAGATAAATGTATAAAATTTATGACTGCTCTAAAGAGAACACCTGAAGACATAATTTCGTCTTGGTCATGTACTTAGTTTGGTTAATGTTATTTTTTAACCTCAAGTGTGTCATTCGTTCCTTCTTAGTTGAAGATTGTTTCTCAATTATCAATCAAGTTTCCAGTAATTTCTAAAATAGTCTACTTATACTCCATATAGCTGAAACAATCGATATCAGTTCAGAAGAACCTTACTTATGTATACAAAAAAGATACATTCAATCTCATTGTTTATTTTGGCTTACATTAAGGTCGTGTGATTGTTTGTTCCAGTTTGCTGCAATCCTTTCCATTATGACTTGCATTTCTTTCTTTGAATATACATTCATCTTTTCAATTTTACTTAATATTCATGTCAATACTATTATTGTTATTAATATCATAACAACTATGAGACAACAATTCCTATTTTATATTAAAATGTCTTTATATACTATATTAACTTAGTGATCAGGATCCATACATCACCTTAAAGTATACAGTTCTTATCTTTTGTGCATGACCTGTCTTGACATTACCAATAATATGGATTAATCCAAATTTAATATATTTTGTGCACTGTAACACAAAAATAATTTTACATATATAACTGTACAGCTTAATGAAGACGTTTTAAAACTCTTTGTTCATAAATAAGTCAATATCTAATAGTACTAGAACAAAAGAACTAATCAATATACCTTACTTTTCAGCTGTTGTTTACCTCAGTGATATAATGCATATACTGAATAATCTAAATAAAGATATTATACCAGTAGTAAGTTATTGTACTATCCAGAATAAAATTATTCATTATATGATAATAAACCTTAACATATTTTATTAATTGATTACTGTTAGACGTCGTTTGAACAATCGTATCAATGAATTAACAGAATCCTATGAACTTGAACGTGGTCGAGTTATTAGTCTTGAACGTACCAAGAATCAATTAGCTAATCAATGTCAAGAAATACAATCTCAATTAGATAACGTGAGTTCAGATTCTACGTAATTTACTAATCACATATATACAATACATTTTAATGTTTGAAACTATCAAACACGACCCATAATTGTGGTGTTGTAGTGAACAGAACACGGGTGTGGACAATCGAATTATATTTAGCACGAAATTACAGAGTTACTTGGTAAAATAGAAAAACCATACTATAATACTTAATTTGCAAAATGTTCAATAATCGTCTCGAACTTCGTTGTTCTTGCATTTCCATACTAATTGCTTTCTATTCCCACTCTTCCTTTCCTGATCTAACCCATCTTCTGCTGCCAGACATTACATTCCTGACTCGCGTCATATACTACTTATATCAATATAAGTAGCACGCACCACAATGTGACTGATATTTAAATAAACTTATATAAGCAATGTTGTTACTATTGAACTAGTTAGATCCTTCAAAATGATCTTTTCTTATGGTTTGGAAACGTTAAACCTGTCCTATAATATGTTCACACAAACCTATAAATTGAACATCATGAGAAGCATAAGCACTCTGTTTCCCAGTTTTCGTACAAACATTTAGTTAAATTAATAAGGAACATTTTTACAATTTGAATTTCACCACCATTATGGATTTATGTAAAAAATGTTTATTGGCAAATACTTAACATCTGTGGTGAAAACAATTTTTATCGTGATTCAGTAGCTCATAAGATAACGTCACAACGTTTGAAGTAACGAAATATGGGTTAATATTGATGGAGGGGGATTAATTCTAAAATACTGACAAAGTGTTAATTTATTGATAACGTTTGGTAATAATACTGAACTCCATGCTGTTAAAACAATGAGATAACTTAATTTCTAGATATTATATCATTATTTAACATTTTCAGTTATTTGCTGAATGCACTGAACATGTTCAAACTATCAAAAGCCTGGAAAGTCAAAAGACAGAACTGGAATCGGTTTTAGAAGAAACTCAAACTGAAGAAAGTAATTTACGAACAAAATGCGGTTTATTACAAAGGGATCTTATTCAAATCAGAGCTGTTAAGTCTGAGCTAGAGGAACGTTTAACGGTGTTGGAGAAAGAGAACAAACAAAATACTGGTAAATTTGTTAACTTTACTAGTTGCATAGTCTAATGTATAGTTAACTCCTTTTATTCGAAGATTTCAGTGAAATCCAGGACTCTTGTTTCATCCTATTTGAGACTTGTCAGCTACACATGAATTTAAATTACTTCGGAGTTTGTTGCGAAAAAGTAACTAATCATACATTCATGTCAAAATGTACTAGTATAGGTATTAGAATAAGAATTATGAATATGATACTAACAATAAGATCAGATCAAAACTGTTCACTTAGGCATTCATATTTTGTTCTATCGATATGCTTTAAAGGATACTGAAACTATTCAGGCTGTTAATAATAAAAACGATGGAACATTTGTTATATCCCAATGAGTATAAAATTGAATTTTTGAAGTTTAGCCGCCTACTACAAATCCCTTCTGCAGACCATAAGTAACCGAAACAAATTCAGTACTAGAAACATTTCCTGGAGTTAAAATAGTAGCGTTTTAGGACTAATTCATCACAATTAAGAACGAAAATGTAATACACGTGGAATTGTGATGATCCAAATCATTTTTATTCCTTATCTCCTTGTCTTTATGTAGCATTCCTTGAGTTAGTATTTATACACATATTTTTCATGGGGTCAGTTTGAATAACCAACAGAAGTTGCAAGTACAAACTACTAAATGCCAACTGATGCATGAATACTTAGGATTTGATCTCTGACGTCATTATCGGTATATATCACTTAAGGTTCTCATTTAGAACGATGAAATTGCTCACAGACTCCTTGTTTTCTAAGATTGTTAAATTCAACCTGTGATATAAACTATTTTTAATCTTATAAACGAAGCGCTATTGAAGGTCTGAAAGAGTTAAATAATTAAGTTCAAAATGTGTGTACAGTTAAACTGTAATAAATGCATTATTGTTATGTAGTAAAAAAAGTTATTGTTCTGAGTTAAGAAAGGTATTATTACTTACATGTATTGATAAACTAAGTTAAAAAATCTTAGTACGCATACATTTACATTCATGGAAATAGCATATAGTCACAGTTACTGAAAGTAAACAGTTATATGTGTTACAAAAACCATCTAATTAGATATTATCAAAGAGCCCCCCCCCCCAAAAAAAAAATTTAACATTTTTTTAATTTGTATATAATTAGAAGTAAATGTATATATATATGGTTACTTGTATTTCTTTTTATTTATCTCAAGTTCTTCTCCAAACCGTAATGAAGCCTATAAGTTTTCGAATCCCATATAGGAGGACAAAGTGTCATGCAGTTTAAAATTATGTTTTGCTGAATATGATTGATTCTTCATAAAATATGCATCTATACTCATCTTTATTTGCATAATCAAATAAAAAAAGTTTTCATTGTAATTATCTTAAAAGTCACTTAAATAATTCTAACCTAAAAAGTGCTTATATTAACGATCTTTAAATCGAATTTTTTGATTCAATTTTTCCCATTGAAATCCATAGACGACGAGATTATAATTTATGGACGAACCAATCATGTATAAGATAACAGGTCTTAGATTTTGGCGCGAAATTTACTCATCTATTTGGCTAAATAGATTTATGACATTAAAGCTGATGTCAGTTAGTGATGAAAAATCTAAATCTAATTCTTAACCTTAATCATCAACTTCAAATCATAATTCTATTTCGTCATACTGGTTTATACCACTCATTTGGTCCTGGTAAACACTCTTAAGATCAATCTGGCGTCGCTCAAATGTTGTCCATAAATTATATTCTCACCACATAGACTATTACTTAATTTTCTACCCGAACTAGCTAGATGTATACAGTTACATAAATAAACGATTTATATTCGTTTCCGATTTTAATATAATTTTAACAAATTCAATGTAAAACATAAAACCAACTTCGCTAATTCAGAAAATGTGACTATATGTACAATGTTTGTTCTTAGCAAATCTATTTTACTGATTGAAATCATGAGTCAGTTGAAGCTAGACCACCATGGAAAACCTGGAAGCACTGGACAGCCGTTCCGTCCTAGTACGATCCCGCACCCTGCGAGATTCGAACCCAGGATCTATCAGTCCATGGTCTAGCTTCAACTGACTCATGATTTCAATCAGTCAAATTTCTAAAATCTCCACAAAACCCTTTCTGATAAGATCTATTTTAATAGTTAAAACATTTAAATAAGATTACATCCTACTTCCAATATTATTCATAATATTGATTAAGTAATATTTCATTGTATCCTATAAAGTCAATGTTTGTACTGAACAATTTAACTCAAAGATCGTATACTTTATATAATAAAGTTTGTTTAGTGATAATCAGTTTATGAAATTATATCAATCATTTACTATTTATCATTATTCATATTGTATATATGTATTAAGAAAAACTAAAAGAAACTAAAGAACGTTTGTCAGTTGTTAATCGACAAGTTACGGATTTGGAGAGTTCTCGAGCAAGACTAGAAACGGAAAGAGACAATCTAGACTCTACATTAAAAGATACAGAAGATGCTTTACATGAATGTGAAGTAAGTTTCTATATTTTCAGAAAATATTTATGTAAAAGTTTAAATGAAATAATTAATTACAGTTAAATATAATAGTTTGTTTAGTTTCTTCTTATTGATTAAGAAAACTGCTACAAACTGACAGACAACTACAGACTTTGATGAATAACTTGATGCTTTAATCTTTTATGATCCGTAATATGATAAAAAGTATCGTGTAACTTAATACCCATAATTAAAGTGAATCAAATTTATTGCTCTTAACAGAAAGCGACTTAATACAGGTTCATACAGTGACATAGCTTTAATACCATGACTCTTAACTCAAAATGAATTTTCTGAAAAGTGACAGACGGTTTACTAATTGAAAGCCTAGAAAATAGAGGACGGATCACCAAAGCTTTCTATTAACAGTCGATAGAATATTCGTTTGAATGAAATTAATTAATATACACATGAGGTTTAGAATGGATATCGTTGTAAGTAGTTTAACATCCAATGAATCTCGAGACACTTTGTTAAGCTTTTTGTGTGCCGATTCTGAGGGCATCATTTTCATTTTGGATGAATGAAGTAAATTCCTTCATACATCCAACTGTTCATTGGATTCCAACTTACTATCTGATTCTTGATGCAATTTTTAAGGTGTTAATTGTATGAGTACACATTAGAAAATCCCTAACGTTGTTCATTATTACAATATTTCAAAACTTTAAAATACAACAAACATGAATAAAATCTATCTGGCTACTACAGTCATGTGTATAAAGTGTCTCTCAGTCAGTTATTAATATTCTGAATTATATCTGAATTGATACGTTACAGGTAAAAGCTTGTTTAAACAAGGATATTTCAAAGTTTGTTTTATATTGTGAAGTGATTACTTCTTATATAATAAGTATTGGCAACTGATTACAATCTGTTAGTAATTATTCACTAGCCATTAGTGTTGTATCTCATCATTACCCGTTTACACGTATCCAATTCTTACCAGTGCATAACAATGAAAATCAACTCCCTATATAAATAATATTTTGATAAAGATCTTATTATCTTTTTTTCTTTATAGACTCGTTACCAAACAACATATTCAGCTTTAAGTACATTAAGAAATGAATTTGAACGTCAATCAAGAGATAAAGAGGAAGAAATGGAAAGTTTAAGGTGATGTAGATTGATGTTCATGCTTCAATGATAGAATAATGTACAGTATCTCCTTTTTGTTTGTTTATTTTTGAAATTACTTATGTTAACATTGAAAAAGTGAATTCTAGTAAAGTTTAAAAGGATTATTTTAATACGTATCATTTTTTGAAGTTTTATGCTTCTGACATTTCATACATTCTAATTATAGACGTTCAAGTCAACGTAATGTGGAAAATCTTAAAGCAACTGTAGCAGATATGGAAATGAAAAATCAAAATGAATTAGATCGACTTAAAAAGAAACTAGAAGGAAATATAAATAATTTACAAGTTCAATTAGAAGATGAAAAAGCTGCTCATTCAGAAACTATTAAATTACATCAAGAAGCAGAAGCACACATTTGTCAATTAGAAATAGATATAACAGAACTAAATAATTTGGTTTCTGAAACTGCAACCACTTTACAGGTAAATTAATGACATTGTTCTATAGTATAGTTACTAATGAATGAATCCATATAAATACTTGTTTTCAAACATAAATAGTCAATGTTTTTATGATGAAATTAATTGTTTATAATTTTTATATTTAATTAACTGATGTAAATAGGAATAATTCCTTTTTTAGATATGCGAAAGTCGTCGATCTGCCTTATCAAATGAAGTAGAAAGCTTAAAAAGTCAATTAGAAATCACAGAAAGATTAAAACGAAAACTGGAAGAAGAGTCATCGGAAAATATGTCAAAATTTGGTGGTTTGACAATACAAATAAATAATTTGACAGCAGAAAAACGAAAACTTGAGGGTCAGATAGCTGTGCTTGAAGGTGATTTGGACGACGCTACAGGTGCAAAAGATGTGAGTTATTATTGCATTTTCAAGACAAGCATAACTCGTTTATTCACACTATAAGTAATGAAATGTCTATTGAAATCCTGGCAGCTTTAACTCAAATATACTGGTGTATTTAAGGTTTAAGCAACGTGATTGTATATATTTTCCATTGTATTGTAATAATTGAAAACCCCGAAAGTACATCACACAAAGACTGGTTGCTAGAGCAATTCGACAAAAATGGTCACCAAATATTGCATAATGGCATACTGAAATTTTGTGTGAAATGTACAACCTGTACATTTCATTGTGCATTATGAATCATAAATCAATTGATGAAACACTTTTGCAGTATATTTCTAACACCGAATGATGCTTACATTTAAAATACGAATCTAGGTCGACTTCATGTTTCACTGGAGCCTATTAATGAGGTGTTCACAGTTTCAAATGACTTAATTTCTGTCTTATTCATCTTGACTCTGTTCATATGCAGTTAATATATTTAAATTTGACGGAACTAAGTAGTTTAAAGTAATTTCCCATTTATAGATTAGTAATATTTTACCAATGTGGACATTTTTGTGCACAAGATGGAGTCAATTAAAACACTAATAATAATATCTGTCTTCTCCAAATAACTTGGCCTGTAGCTCTTCTACGGCTACTGCCGGTCCCAAGACCGGGTAAAGGAAGAGGTTTGAGTATGGCTTTAACCACACCGTTCCGCAGAATACAACCTCGCTAAAAAACACCAACCAGAAAAAATCATTGAAACTACCTACACTCTCGCCTGCAAATACAATGATCTTCTTATAAAAGAATTATGGTGCCTCATGGTGAACGATGAGAATCTACAGAAGTCATGAGCTCCTTCTAATGGCCAGAGTAACAATTATTATAAGTACATGGAATGTTCGAGAAATATGTAAGACCAAGAGAATCAGACAAATAGTTACGGAAATGAGGAGATGCAACTTCGTGGTACTCGGAATAAGTGAAACCCGTTAGACCCAAGCAGGACAGAAAAGGTTAGATTCATCAGAGATGCTGGTGTACTCTGGTCACGAACAAGAAAATGATCCACACACTCAGGGAGTTGCTCTGATGCTGTCCAAAGAAGCACACGAAACACTTGTAGAATGGGAATCTCATGGATCCAGCATTATCAAAACATCATTCAAAATAAGGGTGAAGGGAATCACAATGAATGTTATTCAGTGCTATGCACCCACCAATGATAACGATGAAGACGATGAAGATCAGTTTTACGAGAGGCTGCAATCAATTATAGAGACGTTTACAATAAAAAGCCCAACCATCCTAATGGGAAACCTAAAAGCCAATGTCGGAACGGACAACACCGAATGTGTCATTGGGATGACATGGAACGACTGGGAGAAAGGTACGAGAATGCAGGGAGATTTACTAATTTATGTACATTCAACAAAATGGTTATAAGTGGCATCATATTTCCCCACAAACACATACAGAAAGCTATATGGGTCTCATCGGATCACACTACACAGAACTAGATTGATCATATTTACATCGCTAAAACGGAAGATGCGAGAGCCAAGAGAGGAGCTGACATAGCTTCAGTTCACCACCAAGTGGTCGCCAGGATGAAACTGAAGCTAAATAAGCGCTGGATAACTGGAGAAACAGCACTACAAAGGTTTAATACAGCCTTCCTCCGAGATACTGACAAACTCAACCAATAGGTTCCAAGCCCTAAAGGATTTACTGAAATAAGAAACTACTATGCTACCATGCTTCACACTCTGTACACGAATGTTTGGGTGGAAGCACAAGAACGTTTGATAGTGTGGACAGGAGAAATTTATGGGTCCTTCTTCGACACTATGGTGTACCTGAGGGGATAGTCAACATCATACGGAATTCATACGATGTCGTCCATGGAGGACAGCTGAAAGATATATTCCAAGTGAAGACCTGTCAGACAAGGCTGCCTACCCTCCTACTTTCTCTTTCTTCTGGTGGTTGATTGGATTATGAAGACCTCCACATCTGAAGGGAAGCACGGAATACGATGAACATTTTGAATGCAACTAGACGATTTGGACATTAACATCGTTGTGTGTTGGTCCAAGTGGTTTGCAGGTTAAGCGTTCATTCGAGACCGAATGACCTGGGTTCGAGCCCCGTGTGCGGGATTGTAGATGTGCATTGCTAAGGAGTCCTGCACTAGGATAAAACGGCCGGCCAGCGCTTACAGGCTTATAGCGGTGGTCAAACATCGACTGGTTCATGATTCCATGAATTTTTCCGTTGAAAATGAATAAATTGATCTAGAAATAATTCTCTAATGTGTAAAGATGGAAAATAACCCCATTTTGCTCTTGACTTTTGAACTAGAACAAAAATATAGTTTAACATTAAAACTTGATCGCCTCCAGTAAAATTTTCTCATCGCAACTTGATTTAGTCTGTTCTCATATAACAAATATCTCGATTATAAGATTATAATTTTCTACAAAATATTTCCAAAGTACAATTACTCTAAAATTAAAGTTATTAAATAAAATCGATTTAAAGTGTGGAAGCTGTTCATTCCAATCCATTATGCTGACCTATCTAAAGCACTTGACAAATAATTCAGAATCTAGAACGTATTGTCCTATTATTTTTTGCATTTATCACAGGTTGCCACAGAGAGAGCAGACAGACTTCAAAATGAAGTTAACCGTCTGGCTCAAGAACTTCAAACTGAACAGGAGTCGTCACGTCGAGCAGATACTGCAAGAAGGCAATTGGAAGCCGAACTAAAAGACTGCAATGCTAAGATTTTGGAAAGCCGAAGAGCAGCTGATACAGCAGAACGTGAAGCTGATGATGCCAAAAGTCAAGCCGAGATTAAAATACGAGAGTTGCAGCTAGCTTTGGAAGAAGAATCTAGAAAGTCAAGAGAGGCCCAAACTCAACTAAGGTTAGACAGCTCAGTTTATTAGATGTTTTCTCAAGTTTAAAGCTTTATTAACGTCTAAGAAGGTCTGTTATTCCATCATGATCCGTGAAATTCCATTACATTTGATGTTCTAAGACTGGTAGTGAGGTTCTAGAGTATTTTCTTGTCCCAGTTGATGACTAGTTTTACTACGAATTCGAGAAGCATCAGTCTGTTATGTACGCTGTATAAACGGTTGTGTTACATATCAGTTACTTACTTATATCACTCTATGAAACGAATACATGTTACTTCATGATATGAAACCTCATTGACTGTCGACTGTTTAGGAAAGTCTTCAAGATCAGATTTTTCGTCGTTCCGATGACATTAGTTTATTTAGATTTCTACTGACCGTCTTTAATACTGTTAGTGAGACTGAGGTTCGCACATATACGGATTTTAGGTTTATGAAATTTGCACGAATTTTTTATGAGTAAAGTTCATTCCTCGCTAGAAATCAGTGTTGCCTTCAGAAAACCGATTGATCATTGACCTCTAGGACTCAGGATTTGTTTTGTTATGTAGACATGACAGATGTTGATGTTTGTCACTACCTTCGATAGTAACTCATCTATAACTTGGATCATATAAATACTTAGCTTTTGATTCCCTATTTAGTGAATTCTGGTTTTTTTTGGAAAATGACTGATCTATCTAGGAGACCCAACTTATTGAACCGTAGGTTAGCCTTTCGTAATTTCTTTCCTTGCTGATTGATTAAACAACTGATGGCTGGATTCGAAAATTGTTTTACTTAACCAATTGCACTCCTACAGAAACACTTCCCGCGCTTAATAATAATAAGTTACTCGTTATTGATCATTTAAAAGTTTGTCATAGTTGCTTTGTTAGGTTTCGCAAATGAATTAATAATAACACAGCTTCTTCAATATCCGTTACTTGTTTTTTGTTTTCTAAATCATTCATGGTTCAGTTTTCTGCTATACTGTGCCAACCAGACATATCAGTTCAAGGCCAAATGAAAGGTGAGAGATGATTAAACTAGTCACAAGAAGATATTTATAAACACCATAAATTCTCATAACATGCATCAAGTTCTATTTATTAAGTTCCAAAATAGATAAAGTTTTATATACTTTATTCGGATCTAATTCCAAATCTTTAATTAAATAAGTACTCATCAAGGTTGATGAATGAATTATCACCTCGCAGTTGGATATAGTCTTTAATGTTACCTTGATTTCACTTAAAACGTCGCACAAACTTGATCAGTCTAGTATTTATCCTGTGACACTGTGGTAAGGAATTAAAATTGTCTTAATTAACAAATGTTTTCTCAAATTTTACGATCAAATTGTGAAAACCAAATACCATATCACAGGTGAATCTTACAATTAATTGGATCTAGATTAACTTCCATGGTCAACTACTTAATCAGTCATTTGATCTAATTTGTGACCAAACATCTTCATTTAATAATAATGGTGTGTTATCACAGACATGCATACACGGTTTCAACCAGCCACTCCCAGAGGTCAGATGTGGATAGCTACAAGATATCGGACACCGGGACCAAGATGCTCCATGGATATTGCATGTTATCCGTGGAGGCGGGGGGAGGGTAGATGATGTTCGCCAACTTCAATTTCTGTAGCTGAATCCGAAACTTCAGACTTATTTTCCAGGAACGGTAGGTAATGCATCAAATCAGTTAGATATATCGGTTCAGGTTAATCATTAAAAGCCCCCAATTCACGCTTCGATTTTTCAATTAAGTAGAAAGTTTGATTTGCACATAGAAAGCCTGTATACCAATACTGAACTTAATGCAACCTTTTAAATCGATTCTCATCGACTCCACACCTTCCAGTATCAAGAAGAACTTCGTGAGTTAGGTTGCATCGGACATCCAGAGTTAAGGTGGATTGTAGAATCATCTGAAAACGAGAGAAGGCATTTCAATGCATAAGTTGTGCTACTTTTTAAATCTTTCACAACACATCACACCTTCAACTAGAGTCCACTATTTAGAAGACTTATCCAGAGCATTTATATGACAGTTGGATTTAAAGAGAATGTTGAAAAACACAAAAGTATTTTATACTGAAGTAGTTTAGATAATACGGGATTGGAAGATCCTGATACCAACCCTTTTAAATGTCTTACCTGTAAAACAAACGAGTAGGAGGTTGAAAAGTGTCGAATGAGGAAATATACTTGATCACACGCTTGTGTAAAATAACTTGAATCTTCTTTGTTGGTTATCTAAAAGGATGGAGAAAGTGTTTCATGTATGTTAAAGCATGGATAAACCGGGGTACCCTCAAGTAATTGTATTCGTTAAGACTAACAATATCATAAACGATGTCGGACGTATGCGAGGCCATTGATTTGGGGAAGCTACCTACCACTGCAATATAAAACTGAAGGCATTTGACCGAAATTCTCTCAAACCAGGATAACCCCCAAAAAGTAGTTGATAGTTTTTGTTAAGTTTATATGATTTTGTTTCAATAATTTGTGTTTTTTATGATTTTTGTTTTATAGAAAATGTGAGAGAGCACTCAAAGAATCAGTACAAGCTGAACAAGATGCTGGGCATATGGTAAACGAACTACGTGAGATGGTTGAACGAGCTCAAACAAAACTGAAACAAACCAGGAAACAGTTAGAAGAAGCAGTATGTGTACTTTGTAAAATGTTAGGTTCAATTAAATCAATTACTAGTAAATAATAATAGGCAATACACTGTGAATAGATTAATCCCAATGCTTATTAGAAAACAGTACAGTTGTTTACTGTAAAACAACAAATCTGTCTGCTTGGTTTGATACAGTAACAATAGCAAATATATGTGCACTATACTTATTTCCTTAAGAACGTCGGTACTCCTTTCAGTGGTTATGAATGTTTTTCTTTTCTCTGGTAGCATTATCGAAGTAAAAATGACAGATTAATTATTCCATGTGAGAAGTATACAAATTACAGTGAATGATGCATCTGATCACATGATTGAATTTTTTTTTAATGAGATGATTTTATTTTTACGATAGATTGATAACCAATTATGTTAAGAATTTAATTTAATTTAATTACAGGAAAATGCTGCTCAAACTGCTTCAATGAAATATCGTAAAGCTCAACAACAAGTGGATGATGCAGATTTACGTGCTCAAATGGCTGAAAGACGTATAGGTTTAACTGCTCAAGAAGATAATGTAACAACTTATGGAAATTACAATAGACAACGATCTGGTAGTCTTTATCCAACTAGAACAAGAAATTATTCAGTAACACGTGAAGGATCCGTATTTAGTGTTATGAGTGAATTACCAGCCTCTCCACATAAAACTCGTTTTCAAACAGCTATTCCAAAATGGAGTAATCGACATGAATTAGGAAATTATCAAAAAGAAAATGGTAGTTCATTAAGTCTTCTTGATCTACCACCGGCTGATACAAGTTGTAGTTGATTCTACATTAATCAATTAGACTAGTAACAAATTAAATTAGTCACATTTTTTGTTCACCCTTTTATTACTATTATCCATATAATCATTTACATTTTAATGTTTTGACAACTTTTCATATAATTCCATCTTATTACTTTGTAAAAGAATTGAATTACTAGTAAATGTTTATTAATAATTTCCATTTGCCATACCCTGTTGAAATGAATTTTCTTTAAAGTGATTCACTTTAAACAAATCCATAGTTGAATGTTTTTTTTCTTTTTTCTTTTTTTTTTAATTTTACAACCAACTGGAATTAGTGAATTAATTTCAATGATAACATTTTTCCTTTTTTTTCCCAAAAAAAGAAAGAAAAATGAACCACTTATGTTATACATGGCATAACATTTGGTTTATTGCGCATTATTATTTGTTTAGTCTAGTGTATATTTGTGTTTCATATTTTGAATGAATTAAGTTTATCAGTATGTTGCTCTTTTTTCTTTTCTTTTCTTTTTTCTTTTTTTCAGAGGAAAATTCCTTTAACCACGAATGATTATTAGTTAACATTGTAGACCATATTAGTAAACATTATGATTTTATGAATCATTATTGGTAAAACAGTTTCATATTGATTAATTAAACCCTTTTCTTTTCTATATTCTCCTTTATTTAGTGACCAAAAATAATGTTTATACAAAAAAAAGAGGAAAAAATTTCTTTCTTTCGTCTTAAATTCTTTATTACATAATATTAAATGATTGAAATTTAAAGCAATTAGTCCTTTTGATAAATTTTGATAGTGTGATAAGAAGACAAAGATTATCAGAACTATGTGATATATTAGGACAATACACTTCGAACAATCTGATCACATATATACTTGTTAAGAATAAGTATATAAGAAGGGGATTTTTTGAGATTTTAGTAATTTCAATAGTTGAAATCATGATTTAATTGAAGTCAGACTACCATAGAACACCTGGAAGCACTGGATGGCCGTTACGTCCTGTTGCGGGATTCCTAGGTAGTGAGCATCCACGACCCCGCCTCGCGGATTCGAACCCAGGACCTGCCAGTCTGTCGAGTGAGAGTTTAACCACTAAACCACTGAACCGGTAGCCAACAGTGTTAATGTCTAACAGGACGAAACGGCCGTCCAGGACTTGCAGGTTTCCTATGGTGGTCCAGCTTCAATTAACTCATGATTTCAACTATTGAAATTACTGCGATCTCCACAAAACCCATTCTCATGTTGGAAAAACATTTGCATATAAAAATAAAAGGTCAACTAGACTGGAAATGGATTAAGAGGAGACAAGGATAATAATAAGAGTAATAATAGTAATGTGAACACAATTTGGAACCTCATCACTCTGGATAATAAGCCAAATATTATCAGGGTAAGTTTAGGGTGTGAACAAACTGTTTTTGAATACACAAACGGGGTTTGAATTCTCGTATGGCTAAGGCTTCCATAAACCTTGGTACACGCTCTTTTACACTTTTATACAACACCACAAAAGCCGAGTAAAGATCAATCCTATGGTCTGTTTAGATTAAATGTTTAGCAATAGAGGATGATGGATGTTTGTCCTTTACTCTTATCGGGTCACTTGATTCTATTTGTTTCTGCAAACATTTGGGTACATGTTCACATATCCTAATCACGATTGCTCCTCCATATGTATGTGTGACCACACACACATTTAAATTGGTAAACGCAGTGGGATGTAACATAACCTATTTTTTGTCTTTTAGGTTTTGGATGAAGCATGCACCTTGTTCTTTTTTTCATAATGACCTTTGCTGCGCAATACGTTTTGTTGATGGCTGATTTAAGACTGTGGTCCAATAAAAGTTGTGATAATCTCCACCTTCTTATTACGTTATCGAAATGGTTGAAATGTTGTTAAAGCATGCTTGATAGATGATATTGGTTTGTTCAACACATGAAAATACACAACATTCAACTCCAAAAACATAATTCTAACCATTTAAACTTGACAGTGAGTATTCAAGATGTATGAAGCCTATCGAAAAAATATAAAATGAGCATCGATTTCAGATCTATAGGGGAATGTTGACGTGCCAATGTGCTGGGAGTGGCTCTTCGTTAAATCAATTTTTTATATCATTACATATATACAAGTTAATCTGTCAACCAAGGATTCACACTATCCATTTTTTTAAGATAAAGAATCTAATGTGTATTACGACGAAGAGGGACTTCAATATCTACCTTGTTGGCATTAATTATTTTGTGTACTTACTTACTTAAGCCTGTTACCCCTCATGGAGCAGTATAGGCCCCCCACTAGCATTCTCTATCCAACCTTGCTAAAAAAACGCTGACCCGAATAAATAATTATTTCGTGTAGTTACATATTAAACAATTGGTGTCGCCATGATAGCTTTCCAGTAGATAATTCAATTTTGTTTATCATTTAGATCAGAACTAAATTAATATGGATTAGATTAGAGTTTTAAATTTTAAACCAAACAAAAGTTTTAGTACCAGTATAACATTAGTTCAGTTTTGGTGATTTCTAACTGTTGACGGGCTAACTAAGATTATCGAGGTATTTATGAGATGACCCAACAATGACCTCACTGATGAATAGACATCCGCTGCTTAATAACTCCCATTGAATTGTGAAAAATTCATAATTGTTTATACAGTTATATATATATATATATTGAATAGTTAACAAAAGTTTAAAAGTTTGATGAACAAAATCTTGATTGGAAAACCTCTGTTTTATTTAGGTACAAGTCCTTTAGATTGAGGAAATATTTGAGTATCATCTTTTTGTGTTACACCACTATGTATTCTATCAATAAAATTAAAAAAATAAAATAAAATGAACAGATGAATATGACAAATTCTATTCAAATTACATAAAATTTATCCTGTCTATAGGCATAGTAGTTTTTGTATTCTCTAAATGTATTAAGGAAATTAATTTCATAAAGTCTTTTGAATTCTCTTCTCTTATTGTGAACTAATGAACCTGAATGAAATTAGTAAACCTTACAATTATACTGAATTCTAGATAGTTTAATAGAATAGATCAATATACTCTGTAAATATATTGAAGTTTACCAGTAAAACTGATAAGAACTTCTCAGTGATATTATAATTTTGCAACATTCATTAGAATACCTAATAAAATGTTATTTAGTTTTAAACTTCCTAATTAAATGTATTTAAACCCAAATTGACACTATGTATTCAAACTAAAACAATGAGCAACTGCAAAAAAAAATAACAGTCGAAATTTCCTGATAAAAACAATTCTTTTATTCAAAGATTCATTGTGTACAGACCAAATCGCAACAATACGGATCATTGTAGAACAATCAATCAAATGAAAGTCATCACTCTACATCAGCTTCATCAACTATGAGAAAGCATTTGATAGAGTGGACAGGATAACACTATGGAGGCATCTTCTATACTACGGCGTGCCTGAAAAGATGGTCAATATCATACGGAATTCCAATGATGGATTAAACTGCAAAATCGTGCATGGAGGACAGCTGACAGACTCGTTCGAATTAAAGACCGGTGTCAGGCAAGGTTGGTTACTCTCACCCTTTCTCGTTCTCCTGATGATCGACTGGATCATGATGTCAATATTTGGGGAGAAACATGGGATACAGTGGACAGCTATGATGCAGCCGGACGGTCTAGACTTCACAGATGAACTGGCTCTTCTACTGCACACGCAACAACAAATGCAGAAGACGACCAGTGTAGCAGCAGCCTCAGCAGCAGTAGGTCTCAATATACACAAAGGGAAAAGCAAGATTCTCCGATACAACACAGTATGCACCAATCGAATCACACTTGGTTGAGAAGATTTGGAAGACGTAAAAATCCTTACATATTTGGGCAGCATTATTGATGAACACGGTAGATCTGGTGCAGATGTGAAAGCGCGGATCGGCAAAGCGAGAGAAGCATATCTACAACTGAAGAATATCTGGAACTCAAAACAACTGTCAACTGCCAATATCAAAGTCAGAATTTCTAATACAAATGTTAACACAGTTCTACTGTATGGGGCGGAAACTTGGACGGTTACGAAAGCCATCATCAAGAAGACACGAGTGTTTATTAACAGCTGTCTATGCAAAACGCGTCGTATCCGTTGGCCAAACACTATTAGCAACAACCTATGGGAAAGAACACACCAGATCCCAGTGGAAAAAGAAGTCATGAATAAGCGCTGGAAGTGGATAGGACACACATTGAGGAAAGCACCCAACTGCGTCACAAGGCAAGCCCTCACTTGGAATCCGCAAAGCGAAAGGAAAAGAGGAATACTGAAGAATATAGTACGCCGAGAAATGAAGACAGACATGAGAAAAATGAACAAAAATTGGATAGAACTAGAAAGGAATGCTCAGGACAGATTGGGTTGAAGAATGATGGTAGGCAGCCTATACTCCATTGAGGGTAACAGGCGTAAATAAGTAATATTAATCCCAAAAATAGAAGTTGGTTGAAGAAAATAACCTTGAGGTACTTATTATTGCATCGTATGATGTATTTATTTCTATTTAGACAAGATATTTTGTTTTCAATATCTACGGGATTTTTGTCAAATTAATCTCTACTTAATCTTCTTTATTTAACTATTCCTAAAAATAAATGTTATAAACTACTGATTTACACTAGAAGCTAAAAGTGAAACAAGGGAAATTTTACAGAAAATATGGTGAGACTATCATTTATGGACAACATCTGAGCGACTCCAGATTGACCTTCAGAGTGTCTACCTAATAACCAAGACAAAATGAAGGTTATAAATCTGTATGAGGAATTAAAATTATGATTTACAGTTGATGGTTAAGGTTAGAAATTAGATTTAGATTTTTCATCACGAACTGACATCACCTATAATGCCAATACTTTATTTAGCCAAATAGATGGGTGAATTTCGCGCCAAAATCCAAGACTTGTTATGTTAGACGTGATTGGTTCCTACATAAATTATAATCTCACCGAAAATATTAACAATGTTCTAGAAATTATAAAAAATTCTATCAGTAATATCATAAAAAACTAAGATAAATTATTGAGATAAAAATTTTTTCTTTAAATTATTATCATGACAAAAATAAATTTCTGTATAGTTAACAAAACAGAAAAGAAAAGAAAATTGGAATAAAGTAGGTCTAGGTCAAGGAAAAAGAAAAGTAAAAAAAATAAAGAAAAGAACTGCCAAAAACTTATCAAGAAAAAGTATAACTTCATCAGCATATTCTTCTTTTTATCGTAAAAATAACAAAAATAGAGATGAAAAATCAACTATTTCATAATGAATAGTAGGAGTTAACTCTATAGAATATAAACAAGTTAGATAAAATTGACAATTTTTTTCTTACCGTTTTTCTGATTTCTTCAATTTAGACAATGAAGATTGAAATTGTGAAGGGCTAAATATGAAAGTTAAGAAAAAAAAATAATGCAAGAATTTGCAAAAAAAAGCATAAGGAAGTCAACCTATAAATTTTTTCACAATTTGATACATGATTACTAATTGTTAATTGGAATATTTTATTATGAATTATAAGATTCCTCATTTATAAGATAAAATATTAACACCGTTGGATGCCGGCGAGTTCAGTGGTCTAGTGGTTAAGCGCTCGCGTGCGAGACCGATAGGCCATGGGTTCGAGTCTCGTGAGGAGGCGGAATCGTGGATGCGCACTGCTGAGGAGTCCCATACTAGGACGAAACAGCCATCCAGTTCTTCAAGGTTTATCATGGTGGTCTAGCTTCAATTAAATCATGATTTCAACTATTGAAATTATTAAAATCTCTAGAAAACCCCTTCTGATTATTTGCTAATGACAATCAACATGAACTACTCTACATTATTGTCAAAGTGTAAGGTATTTACAAATCATAGTTAACAAGATTGATTGATCTGACCTAAACAAATCAGTAATCATTGAATAGCCGATTCATTTTAATGTAAGGCTTTTCAGTAGTTCGCATCTACGATTCCATCAGGAATCAAACTCAAGACATTGAGATCTTGTAAACAAAACAGCTCTCCGGTGATTTTGATTTTAATTGGTTGCTTAATTAGGGTCAGTTAGTAATATGAACTATGGACCTGAACAATCTTTATAAAATCTCTCCAGTAATGGGTTGAAGATAAGGCGGATCTTAGCTTCATGTGTAATCCTTATGCTAAAATACACTGGTCGGATGAGATAAATCTAGATTACTCATTGCAGTATCCTGTTTGGTATTTTCAAGAAAATATTTTTCAAAATGCTTGTAGAAAACTTATTATTATCACTAAAGATCCTCGTGTCTATAGATGGTCAAAGTATAATTTCGGCACTTCAAATATTTTATATAGATTAAGAGTAATAATAATTTATTGTTGTGCTAATCAATGGCAACTGCGTTAGTTCTTTGCAGATTAAGCTGTTGAGAAATTTTATGATTAACTCTTTTTAAATGAACAACCATGAGTGGAAATAATGAATCGTTTTTCCTTAAAAAGTTGCTTTGAAAGAAAACTTTATAGATTATAAGATGAGATTTTTATCAGTGTTATACAACAGTTTCAATACCTTCCATCCAATTCTAAATCTTCTTCATCCTGTAGTGCAGCTTCCAATGCAGCCACCACCTGTGGAGCCAATTGTGGTGGTTCATAATCCCTTGTAGTACGTCCAGGTAAGTCCATATCCAAAGTTAATATCTGTGTGTTTCGGAATCTAGGGTTTGGATCATAGTTGGCAGCCATACGTGCATAACGACAAACAGATTGTTTACTTTTCAAAGTAAAACAAAAAGACTGATTAACATTATACCGTTGACAAAATCAAAGTGTAAATAGCATGACTGCACATAGCGAAACACAGTGTAGTAAATAAATAATTTGTATGGGTTACATTCATTCTAAATAATAGTTATATTGTCTAGTCACAGTGAATTATCAAGAAGATACATTACTGACACGAGATTTGCAATGAAAAGAAAGATCTGTAAGATTACTATCAAATACTTGCGCAAATATTATATTCAAAATGAATAGTTCCAATCGTTTAATTGAGACAGTATATTGTTGTCAGTAAATATGGTTTCATTTTCAAGCACGAAGCCATCATTTACCGTACAACTTCACTGTGTTATTATCACCTCAGAAATACGTGAGAAAACATTTAATTTTATGTTTATTTAAAATTTACATACTGCTTGCCATAGGAAGGCCAAGTAAAATAAATATTTCTTAGATAGGGTCTGTAAGTTCTTAAATGGAAAGTACTTCAAGGTCCCAGAAAGATGATTATAATTTTTATTGATTCAGATTATTTTCCAACGAAGCTAAGGAATCTGCATCAGACTGGATCCACTTGAATTCCTAATAGCAATTAGAGATGAACTGGATACACGTAACTCGGCAGGAGAAACGGAAACTATTTGAAGAAAGAACTCCCATAAATAATGATCAGTCATTCACACCTATCTTTTACAATAATACAATTCGTAGACAACTATAATGTACTCATCTTCTATCGATCATATCACCTTTACACCTCTATCTTCATTCGATTCGTACCCATTCCTTTTATGTGATACACTATACTACTTAAATAATCATCAGTAACTCATGTTTATTTAACATTCGATCATCATCCCAAGGTCTCAGATACTTAGCTGAAACGAATTCTTATTTCCATAGACAAATTATTATAATGTTTTAACTCGCTTATGCCTAAGACAGCATTCATTACTCTTTGTCACGTAACCTTTATCATACATCCCACCACTTAACACCTTATTTGTTTTGAGACAGCTTGCCTACCGTAAAAGTATGGCTCCCAATTCTTCGTATTAATCTGTAGAAAGCGTTTGGCACGACATTTTGCTATACTGTGGGTTCTTGAAACGTTAAGAGTTTCCTATCTACTTCATTTTGTGTACGTATTTTCTAAATGAATATAAATTGACGGCCTAACAAATCCTCAGATAACTCACAATTAGAGGTATGTAAATTCATATTGTTTACTTTATTTTCCTTCATAGTACGATAATCCGAAATAATCGAGTCTTTTGATTTCAAGGTTTCACACGGTAGTCTATCGTTGTGCCATAATTCATGTAATTTTCTAAACTTCTGAGTAATATCCCATAAAAGTTATCAGCGGAGCACAACTTTAATAAAACAAGTTACAAAAAAGTAATTCCGCTGCTGTACGAGTTATATAGAGACGACAAATCAAGCTTAAAAATCTCGGAATTTAAAAAATCATAATTTGCGGCCACAGTTTTACTATCTTATTGGGTAATCTATGAGACCCACCGAGATCTTACCACTTAATCTGGGGTAATATCAAGAAAAGAGGGCAATCAAGCTGAAAAACAATTTAGTATTATTCACAATAGGGGCCATCATTTTCATTGATAATTGTTGATGATTATAATTTATAGTAGTTTACAAAGTTAATGTCTGAAGCGAACCATGACCTACTTGTTCGTTCTGTTAATAACTAAAACGAACTAACTACTTTATTAAAACATTTTCTGTCCAACTTATAAATGTGAGTTGGATGCAAAAAATATGTTGCGTGACCGGTGAAAGTAAGGTGTGAATGACCAGTAGGCGAAGACAAATGTATAAGGCACTATATGTTATAATAAACTCCTTCCCATTATTGATTTCACTGTGCTGTACTCTGTACTGCGTTAATAAACAATTATTCTGTGTCCATAATCTCATTCTCAGTTATCTATCTGTGTACAGCTGGATCTAGTCTAGTGGTTTGATTATCTCCTATCTAATATTGTGGTCTCGTTTTCCCAGTAGTATTTTCCAGTCTAGTGTTAATGCATAAACTGTATTGTGTTATCTACAGTGTTTTGTACCGGAGGGTAAATCTTTCATTACCGATAGAGAAAAACCGAACGAAGTGAGTTATTTTCATAAAATTTTACCAGATCATTAATAACATTGCAGCATCACGTTACGATCTTCGAATCTATGTATAACAAGAACCGTAGAGGTAGTATTACCCAATCCGACTGACTGAAATAAGATGCACTGGTAGTTACACTTGAGTGAGTAAACAGTAAGACGTTTTCAATTATCATAAATCGTTCAATATAATAGGTAGCTATAGATAGAATTTTTTAAAAACATACATATGTATGGGCACAGAGTGATACTCTACCTTGTAATCTGGCCGAATCGCGAAACAGATTAAAAATGTACTAATACATCAAACTGAAGATGTAAAAGTTAACGATCTACTCAAACTTCGAATTTCGGAACTTCTGTGATCAAAGCTTATTGGTTTGGCTCAATAATGTTTATATCGAAAAACTTATTGACCATCTCACGAAGCACGCTATTACAAAGTTGATAAATCAATTCCCGTGTGACTAGAAAGCATAGAATGGACTAGAAATAGTTCTGAGTCTAATGCGTCTGTAAATCTTCAAAACAATGTAATTAAACTTAGGAGATAAATAAAAAGTCTGTAAATGACTCTTACTGATTTTAAACAGTTTACCAAACACTGAAGAGTTATTTTTGGTTGACACGATACAAAATGGGGCAATATTTTTGCTTGTAACATCCAATAAAGTAATCCCACTGGTTAAAATCTAAATCTTGAAATATTTTCCTACAGTTCATATATTACAGGACATTTGATACAGCACTAAGTCTTTCATCTCAAATCTCATGATGTTATCAGTTATTATTTAATAAAATCTAGAGCGTCCAATCTTTAATAATCTGTCTATTTTTAACTAAGTAAAATATTGAAAAAAATAAGCTTAAATTTCATGGTTGTGAGCTACAAATATGTGTTGTTGTATGATAAAAGCACTAATGAATGATTTGCACGAGGTTATATGAAGCTATCAAATTATAAACTGTTATATCTGAGCGAAGATTAAATCACGAGTAACTTCTGAGACATATTAATTGACTAATATTATCTATACATTCTTATGGTATAACTATTCAATAATTAGATTATGTACATTTATATTCCTCTTATTATAAGCTTTATTTTGGACCATAATTTATTATTGTACGATTTACGGTTCTTAAGCTATGTTCAGTTTATTAACTACTGCCTCCCACATTCACAGTCACTTTTCGGCTTTATTGTGCACAAATGTTATTGCCTATTTTATGGTCTGTGTGGTCTGTTTGATTGATATATGAATCCAGTACGTCTGAAATAAATGATTCAATTCGATTCGCATATTGGAAGCTGGTATTGGTGTTCTGGACTCAAGTGGACGGGCTAGGCGGACGTAGGACCAATAAGGACGCTAGGCTGCCCATACCGGTCGAACGTCATTGGTTTGGCACAGTGGTAAGATTGTATAAGTCGTATTTTGATTGGTGGATAAACTACGTGATAAAAAGCCGGACATAAAGTCATAACATAAACCACTAATATAAAGAAATGATTGCTTACCAGAATGGAATATTTAGGTTTGTACCATCATCACTAGACTGGAAAAGTGGTTTCAGTTGCCATCTTTCAGTTTCTTCATTAAAATAAATTCGTTTTTCTAATTTCTCTTTTTCTTCTATTGGTATGAAGTTTTCCAGAATTAACAACTGTAATTTAATTTCACGTGTTAGTTGATCTTGAATTTTTTCGTGTTCTTGACGTTCTACAGTATGTTCTTCTTGTATATCAGATGTCTTCTGTTTAATTTCCTAATGTATACAAATATCTTTCATTATTTATAAACTCAGATTATGATTTCATTAGATTAATCAATAAATAAATAAATTATTTTAGTCTAATATTTCTAGTTTATATCAGGTTAATTTTCTATCATAGTACATTAAGATTAAAACTGGTAAACCCAGTTTAAGATATCGCCGAACTAACTATCTGATAATGATTTGTCTAAACTGTTTGTTAGAAAACCAAGCTTAATAAAAGTAGTTGCTGAAGGCTTTCATTCCACGAAGAAGCTACAGTTCAGTACTTCCTGGTTTTCTACTATATTTGAATTAGTATCACCCGGTAATGAGTACTATGTAAAATTTTAAAAAAATTAATCTCTTCAAAATATTTAAAATATGAGTAAAACCATTATAGGAATAGTATATAAGCAAACTAAGAAAGTGACGAAGAAAATGAGTGCATAAACTCATTCTATTTTAATAAGTTAGGAGTCCAGATAGAAAAACTCGGTTTCATATTGTTATGCAGGTAAAAATACCAACTATAATAGCTTTTTTATCAAAAAGATAGTTTGAATTTTAAAATCTACCATTTATTAAATATTTGATAAGACATCCTCAGTTTGTTTACACAACCACTAAAGCCTACAAAATAATTATCCTCAGTGTCGTCTTGTTTATCTGAAAAAGTGATAAAAAGCTTGATATATAGATTTGCCGAACTTTTATTTAGATACAGTACCTCTATAGGAAAAAAAGAAAGTTGATCAGGTAGTTGGTTAGATGGCATAAAAAAGTATACACTGGTAATAATAAATAAAGTTAACCTAAAATGTGTCTTAAGAGAATCACAGTTAACGTATTAAGAAGAATATGATGAGTAGAGTACCAAATTACTTTTAGTTACGGCAGAGTTATTTGTGAACTCTCAATATGAAGAGGGTACTTACTGTGGAAGATTCAAAAATCGCTAACAGTGATATTGAAGTATAGCATTGTAAAAGCAAAGTTAATATTGATAGAGTTTGCTGTGAATGCAAATATACCAATAGAGACTGATAAATTTTATTACCTAATATTAACACTGAGAAAATACAAACCCTTACAAATAAACTCATATCTGTCAAATGAATTATTGGTTTTTTGTGGACTCAGGAGATTAGTTGTTAATAAGCTTTGAGTTCGAGTCTCGGTACTACTGTCAACATTAGAATGCAGGTACATCGAATTGATAAGTCTGAAACAAGACGAAATGCACTTTCTAGCTTCCACTCTTGGCCATATACACTAAGAATATGATTAAATATTCGTGATTTTATGTACTTATAGATAATTTTTACTAGGTATTTGTTATTTTTGAATGTTGCCTATTTCTTATATCCACCAACTCGTTTCACTATCCTATTTTTATTTCACACTTGTTAATACTTAGATATGTACTTATTGATTGTGACACTCATGTCTATATTGTAATTTACTAGATTTTTCAGTGTATAAGTGGAACTTCAGTATATCTATGGTTTATCTGTAAAACAAATCAATTATTAATGAATAATTCTCTTTGTTTTTATTTGCTCAGAGATAACTATTTAGTATTCTATATTATTCCTAAAAAATATTTGGTTTTCTCTAAAACTCTAAACATAGAAAACCAAAATACAACATACTTGTAATTTTTCAAATAATTTTTTTAACTTTCTAGTGTTTACTTCTACTTCTTGTTTTAATGATGTGAAACCTTCTTGTAAATTAGCCATACTCCCTTCTTCTTCTTCCATACGAGCTACTATTTCACGCTCACGACGCTTTTGCTCAGCCATTTGTGTCCGTTGTTGAGCTAAAGTTACTTCTTGCATGCGAGTGTGTTCAACGATTGATTGATCACCTCGAAGTAATTTACTCTCCATAGCTCTTAATTTGGACTCTAACTGTTGCGTTTTTGTTTGTTCTTCCTGAAGTTTTATTTCTTTTATCTACAGTAAATAACATTCGTCAAGGTTAAATAAGATGTAAATTAGGATGATAAGTTTATTGAATTTCATAGAATTTTAAATTCTGATATAAATGTCGATAACCCGTTGTAGATTAGCATTAGAAATTGGGTTGATTTAACATTATTGAAAATATACAAAATTTATCCCACATTTCAAGGTTATCACTAACAATTAAGCTATGATGAGTAGGGCTATGTTCAAGTAATTAAAAACAATATTCTTGTTTTGTATTGTTTTAATATTGTTTTTAATGTAAATCAAGGTAACACTTACCATAAACAGATTGTTATTCTGTCATTTAAGTAGAAACATATCATTTACAAATAACTTGATTCAAAATAGAATTTTCGAAGTTCCCATATTATGGGTATTTGAAATTAACCAAGTTTTTAGCGACCGAATCTTTACATAACAATTAAAGTCAAAGATAAGGCGAACCATATGTAGTTTACACTTGAATTTTACCCGTTATCCTTTTTTAACTATAGGCGGTTTGGTTAAGCGGTTTAATGAAAACATTATACATTTGTGTATATGAATAGTTGATGTAAAAATAAAAGTAATTTAGAAATAATATCAAATGTTTAAATCATTTTTTTTAATGTCAGATTTACCGAATACACATGTATATCAGATACTTCTGATATTTTATTTTGTTTTGAAATCAACTCAGACATTGAGGCGGATGTATAAAAAACCAATATTCATTGTATTTATGAGATGAAAATGCATTTTTGTACTAAAATACATTTTGTTAACCTATTTTGACTATTATCAGAAGTAGTTTTTTTATAGAGATTTTAGCTATTTCAATAGTTGAAATTCCGAGTCAATTGAAGCTAGATCACCATGAAAAACCTGGAAGCACTGGATGACCATTTCGTCCCAGTATGGGACTCCTCAACAGTATGCACCCAGGATCCCGCCCCCTGCGAGAATCGAACCCAGTACCTATCGACCCTGTCAGTGCTTCCAGGTTCTCCATAGTGGTCTAGCTTCAATTGACTCATGAGTTCAACTAGTTGAACTATGATGTTTTACGGCTTTACATAACAATAAAAAAAACACTATTACTAATTGTTCATCAGTTATTCTATCTTTTGGAATTCGTTTACCTGAAAATTGTGTCATTATCTTATTTAACCTTGGTAATTATGGTTTACTCATACTTCAAATAACCAGTTACTAATCAATAAACAACTGCAGGCATTACCCATTTTCTTTCTTTACTAAAAACCTAATAAGTGCGCATCTCTCTCGCTTCTTTTAGATATGGAAGAAAAAATTATATCTAATCATCTTAGTATGAATTTACTTATGTATTTATCCATTTGAACACAATTCTACTATATGTGAAGAAACTAGCAGAATTTTCAAGATATAGACATTATTAAATGATGGAAATAGTTTAAGCTATCTAATGTAGTATTTATAAAATCAATGGGAAACTATAAGTCTCAATTAAAATTCACGGACTTTATATAAAAACTAGAGTTTTTCAATGTAAAATTTAAGCCCTCAAACTATGGATAGAAATTGCACACTCTCACTTAATATATTTAAGTTTTTAATCCATTCAGAGCAACTGAGCTTAACTAGAGAAAGCAGTTTACTAAGTGTACTACACGATTTGAGTAAAGAAGTGACATTTTAACTGGAAGTTCATATCATTTTATAGACAAATAACTCTTGTCTATAGATAACCCGATATTTGTCCCCTATCTAATTATCTTTTTTTACATAAAACACTAAGATTTGAGCCAATTTTTATACTAAAGTTTAGACGTTGTATGATAGGATGATAGAACGTTGCCAAGGAATTGATGTTATTCAACGCAAGAGATAAGCAAGATGCAGCGCAGAAGATGAGAACCAGTTTTACATCAAGAATAGATCAACAGAGTTTCTCACTATGATTTTTATACATGTTTTACATATTATTTTAATTTTCACAGTGTAGCTTAGTCTACCTACAACTGATTAATAGCTTAATGTAGAAAATGACTTACTAATGTCATAAGAACAGGAATATCACAATCACTATAAGTACCTGACCTACAGAAGTGAATCCTTGATTTCATCACTAAAATATGATGTATTGATTTACTTAGTAAATATTTCCTCACAAACAGTGAACTGTTCCACTGATTTCTTGGTTAAATTTACAATCCAGCATGTCATATTCAGAAGAACAATAATAGCTACACAACTGGACCATCGAAATCAGATATCTCAACACCTTCAATGTCACGTTCAATCTTTGAAGTGTAGCAACATAAAATGGTCGAGTTACAAATGTGTTATAATTTTGTTTCATACAAGAAAAACATTCTCAAAAATGGTAAGTTTTACCTTAAGGTCATTCAACATACGAGATTTTTCTTCTGCAACAAGTGAATTGTCGTTTAAGACTTCATTCTTTTCAGCCAATAGTTTTGCTTGTTGTTCCTTCATATAGTTTTCTATGCTTGTTGCATCATCTTCTCTATCGCTGTTAGCTTCAGAGCCTAATATATAGAATAAAACACCGTCTATAATTACATGGTTTTTAACCTGATGTAATACGGTTTTAAACGGCCTTTTTAAACTTTCTTAGACTTTCAAATATTTTCATGACAAAACGTTAAGTAACAAAATACGTACCGAAAAGAATTCGGCTAATGGAGGGATCTAGTATGCATATTTTGTTTTACTTTGAACTTGTTATGTTTCGTTATTGCTTGAATGCGATTACTGATGCGTCTTACTCGAAACGGAACGAAGGATCAATGATTCAGCGACTCGATAGACTATTCTGGTCCGTTGTCCCCAACTCTGCTAACTCGATCAAGAAGTCTGGGTAAGGTGTAGAAAGTGTATTCTACAGACAAACAGCAGATAACAAGTCAGGCAGGCAGATCAGATCAAGCATACAAGTCAAGCGTATTTATACAATTATTTACAATCGATATTGTTATAGAAAATTTTTAAACATTAATCAATGAGTTCATTAATTGACCTATTTGCGCATTTAATCGATAGTTCATCAATTTTTTTTTTTTTTTTTTTTTTTTTTTTTTTTTTTTTTGACCCCAATAAAAATATCTAACATTTGATCGATAAGATAAAATTTAAAATATGAGTTTGGGGATCTATCGTCCCCAACACTCCTCCCCTTTTTAATAGCGGGCTTTCCTGGGGTCAACCTGCATCTTGACTGTAGCTCGCCGTTCTCTTATAGGCCATCGTCTGGGACGTGTTCCAGATTGTTGTTGGGGTTTTTCTTGTGGTAAGGTTGCCGGTAAGTTGAAAGTATCAAGCAAGATGTCGAGAGGAAGATTTAGTCCTGTTGATGGGTGGTCTGGGGCTATCCGCTTACGTAGTTGATTTCGGTGTCTAGTCCATGTGTCTCTTCCCACCTTTACCTCGTACATAACTTGGCCTAGTCTTCCGACCACACGTGCTTCGATCCAGGGACCATGATTTGCTCTGTAGTCTCGAGCGAACACAGGGCATCCAACCTCGTACGCTGGAAGCTTCTGAGATTTGGTCTGAGATGGTGGTGGTGTGGTTCTTGGGCACATGAGACTGTGGATCGTCCTCAATTTCCTTCCCATCAGGATCTCTGCCGGGGACTTCTGCTGTGGTAGCATATCACTAGGTGTTGTTCGGTAAACAAACAAGAAATTCTGCAGTGTTTCTACTGGCGTCCCCTCCCCTTTCGACTTCATTAGAGCTCTCTTGAATGTATCCACAAATCTTTCTGCTTGTCCATTTGACTGTGGGTGGTAAGGTGGAGAGCGGAAATGCTTGATCGATAGGCGTTTGCAAAATTCTTGAAATTGGCTTGAGGTGAATTGCGAACCGTTGTCGGAAACTATTATATCCGGTAACCCATTGCGAGAGAACATCTCTGTCAACAGTTGCATCGTTTGGGTTGTCGTTGGTGGCATGACGGGAACGATTTCTGGCCATTTCGAAAAGGCGTCAACAACGACTAGATAGGTGATTCCATTAATTGGGCCTGCGAAATCGACATGTATCCTGGACCAGGGATACTCAGGCTGTGGCCATGGGACTGGTAGTATTTTCGCGTTACACTTAGCTGCTTGCTGACATTGTGTGCACTTGCTTACTAAATCCACGATATGTTGGTCCATGAGGGGCCAATAAGCATAGCTTCTGGCGATGGATTTCATTCGTTTTATACCAGGATGACCAGTGTGGAATTGCTTTAGCACCTTTGATCTTAGGGATTCTGGTACCACTACTCTATCTCCAAACATCAAGCATTCGTTTACGACGCATAATGAGTCCCGACGGTGGTGAAGCTGTTTCAAGTCACCATCGAGTCCAGTCGGCGGCCAGCCATTTGTGACGTATTTCGTCGCTCTCTTTATGATGGAGTCGTTCTTGGATGCAGATTGTATTTCAGCTGCTGAGACTGGCAAGGCACGAATAGCAGTTGTCAGGTAGCACTGCGCGTAGTCCTCGGTCATCAGGGAGGCAATAACTGTATCTTCGCCGGCCGTATGGTGTTCGCTGATAAGTCGTGACAAGGCGTCAGCCTGACCAAACTGTTGAGTGCGCCGATACTGAATGTCAAAATCATAACCCAGAAGTATCAAAGCCCATCGTTGGAGACGGTTTGCAGAATGGGCTGGAACACCAGATTTCGAACCGAAAATTGTGAGAAGAGGCTTGTGATCAGTGAGAAGAGTAAATCTTCGACCGTACAAGAATTTGTGGAAACGGCGTACTGCAAACACAAGTGCAAGCGCTTCTTTTTCTATCTGGCTGTATTTTTTTTCTGCTGGGGTTAGTGTACGGGCTGCATGCATAATGGCTTTTTCCGACGCATCCGGAAACTGATGGGAGATAACAGCGCCTAGGGCATTCGCTGAAGCGTCTGCAGCTACGATGATCGGCATGGCTGGATCGTAGTGTGTCAACAGCAATTCAGAACTAATAATGGACTTCAGTTTACAAAAGGCAGTGTCACACTGTTTTGTCCAGTTCCAAGAGCTGTTCTTCTGCAGTAAGCTATTGAGTGGAGCGCGAATATCATGCATCGATGGAACGAACGCTGAGTAATAGCTGACAAGTCCCAGGAAGGAACGTAGTGCCGAGACATTAGTGGGAGTGGGCATCAGTTTGATAGCTCGGATATTCTCAGGATCCGGCCTGCGGCCGTCGGCATCGAAAATGAACCCCAAGTATTTTACCGACTGCAAATAAAACTGGCATTTCTCTGGGCGTAACCGGAACCCGTTGTCACTGATGCGTTGCAGTACCAATGTCGTGCGTTCTCGTAGTTGTTCTAATGTCGTTGCTACAATTAAAAAGTCATCCAAATAAGCCGTGACTCCCGAGATACCTGATAGGATGGTATCCATTAATTGTTGGAAAATAGATGGTGCAGTTTTGACTCCGAAAGGTAGACGGTTATACTGGAACAAACCACGATGAGTATTGATAGTTAACAGCTCTCTTGATGCTTCGTCTACTTCCACTTGCAAATAAGCATCAGCTAGATCCAGCTTAGCGAAAAATCTTCCCCCATTCAGCATGGTAAATAGGTCTGCGGGAACAGGCAAGGGATAATGATGTTGTTCCAGAGCTGCATTGAGAACTGTTGAAAAGTCAGCACATATACGTATCGTGCCGTTGACCTTCTTAATAACCACGATAGGTGCTGCCCATGCAGAGTAGGAAACGGGAGTGATAACTCCTTGTTGTTGAAGGCGGTTCAATTCTTCATCTACTGTTTGTAATGTTGCATAAGGGACAGGTCTCTTTGGGCGAAAAACAGGCTTAGCCCCAGTTTTCAATCGAAGTGTTGCTTTCATGACAGAGCAGCGACCCAATCCAGGTTGGAAAATAGTTGAAAACTGCGTCATTAGGGTGCTCGTATATGATTCGAAGTCATGTGGTTGTTGTCGCAGTTGTGGTTGTGATACCAGGTTGCATATGGTATTCAACGGGACATCAGCTAATTTTAAGTGATCAAACCAATCTAACCCGAGCAAATTTAGATCAGCTGGGGTTATGTAGCATACCCCAACAAATGCCAAATCACGGAAGGTAACTGTACATTCCATTTTTCCTAGCAGGTGAAGGTAATTACCACAGGCAGTACGAGGCTTTTGCGTTGTATGCTGCAAGTTTGGGCTGCCCATTTTGATCCAAGTCTTACGAGAGAGGATAGTGACATCTGATGCTGTATCTATTTGCAATTTAGATGAATGCCCATTAATGTTAACAGTAATAAATTTTCTCTGACTTGGTGATGAGCTTTGACACGAAGATACTAAGCTCAATGAACTGGTGCGGGATCTAGGACGGGTCTTGTTGGTATTTCTTGATTGACTTGGAGTCTTCTTCCTCAGACAAAACCCATCCTTATGACCGATAACCTTACACTTCTTGCATCGATGTTGTTTAAATGGGCAGTTTCGAACGTAGTGCCATGCACCACATTGCCAGCAAGGAGCAGGAGGAGTTGCTTTAGTCTGTCGTCTAGAGCTGGAGTGAGATGGACTGGATGAAGCGGGGACGTGTTTGTTTTTGTGAGGTGTCTGTTGCACCGCTCGTACTTCAAATCGGCTAGAACCACCACTCTGGACCATAGAAGTGTCTCGTTGAAGATTAATGAGACGTTGATATTCATTAGCTATATCACTCAGGGTGAGTTTCGGTTCTTGATCTAAACGACTTAATAGCCTTGTTCGTAAGTCACTGAACTTTTGGTGTTGTAGGCTGCAAATAAGGATCAGGGCTTTAAACTGATCTTCAGTCAAGGACTTTAACCGGAAGCGTTCGCATTCACGGTTGACGACGCCCACATGCGTAAGAAAATCATCATCTTCGTTCATAGTTAGCTTCAAGCAACGATAACGAGTATTAAACAGTGACGAGTTATCGCCAAAATGTTGGATTAATGTTTGAACTGTGTCTGCAAATGATCGGTCACGTGGGTTCAACGGCAAGATCAGATTGCAATACTTGTCCAGCTCATTTGCACCCAGTTTACGAAGTAGCAGCCGCACTTTCCAAGCATCATCTTGATTGGCGAAATCAAATTTAAATAGATCTTCATAACGCCTGAACCACATTTCAAAAGTAACATTAGAATCAGGATCGTAATGAAATTCAGCTATGCTATTTGTGATGCCATCTACTGATGGTGCCGTGGTTGAACTAGACGTGCTTGGCTGTAAGGGAGGCGTAACCTTGGTCTCCATTAACATTTGCATCAATTTTAGCTGCTGCTCAAGTAACAGTTCAAGTTTGGCAGGGTCCATAATCGAAAAACCACCGACGCCAATTTGTTATGTTTCGTTATTGCTTGAATGTGATTACTGATGCGTCTTACTCGAAACGGAACGAAGGATCAATGATTCAGCGACTCGATAGACTATTCTGGTCCGTTGTCCCCAACTCTGCTAACTCGATCAAGAAGTCTGGGTAAGGTGTAGAAAGTGTATTCTACAGACAAACAGCAGATAACAAGTCAGGCAGGCAGATCAGATCAAGCATACAAGTCAAGCGTATTTATACAATTATTTACAATCGATATTGTCATAGAAAATTTTTAAACATTAATCAATGAGTTCATTAATTGACCTATTTGCGCATTTAATCGATAGTTCATCAATTGACCCCAATAAAAATATCTAACATTTGATCGATAAGATAAAATTTAAAATATGAGTTTGGGGATCTATCGTCCCCAACAGAACTCTTCAAATGTATTACGGCGTTGATACATTAGTGTCAAGTCTCAATGTTAACATCAACAAAACGATCCAGCCATATTCATCAGAGTCCTCAATAGGGGAAAAAACCATCCCAGATTCCCCTACTATATATAATCAATCTACTGTAAAAAGTTTTGGCAGAATGGCTATATTGCCATGCACATATTCCAGTAAAGGTTGATAAAAGCTCAGTCCTGATTATCAACAAGAGAGTAATTCGAACACCTTTTTGATGGAAATAAGGCACTTTTGATGTTTTCAAACGCATTATTATCAAGAACGTCCTTGGAAGATGGATAGTTAATCATAATGACGACAACCTGTTACCTATCAGTGCTAAAATAACCTTTCGTGACGAAGCGAATGGTCATGAACATAGGCAAGTTGATCCATGTCTCATAAACTAAAGGCCAATATGATAATTAAACCTAGTTAATGACTGAAACAACAACCAATTCAACTAGTTTCAGCTTCTTATGATTTGTTTTGTTTCTCAGCAGTCTCCCAAAAGGAATTGCTACTCCAGCATATGAAATTGGGTTAGCATCTGAATTGAATATAACTTTTAAAGCAACAAATAATTATACGTACCATCCGACAATATATGTTTTTGTTGAGATCTCTGCTTCCCGTTCTTTTTTTGAGATTGTTTTGGAATGGCAGCGACACAGTTTCTCAGTAGTGATTTAAGCCTATTGATTTCTTCTTGGTATTCTCTCAGCAAGGCATCTTTTGGATCTTCATTTATTTTTGGTTTGTTCCTAATATTTTTAGCACGGTTAGCGTATCTTAGTGTATTTATGGTCTCTTCATAGTTGTAGGTCGCCGGTCCAATATTTGCAATCATGATAGTTTTTGAATTACCCCCCAAAGAATCTGCGATGTAAGAAGTAATATTGGTAAGATGAAATCATAACGTATATGCGACATAATTTCAGTATCTAACATGAGATATTTTATGCCACTTGTTATCTTAGATACAAAGCGTCGCAGAATTTAATGAAAATTTTGGATTTTCGGTTTATAAGGTGATTACTGTCCCAACTGTTTTCCCATGTTATTCATAACAAAAGTGTACGTATAAATATTTTCATCATTTCGTTTTATCTATTTATATGACTAACTTCATGTATATAACTAGGTTATATTTATATAAAATAATTTATTTACGCTTTGTAATATGCATATCTATATAGTAGCATTCTGAGCAGGCAAGTCTTCGAATAAAAACGCCATGTAAATCAAGTACTCTTCAAAAAAATGTGAGAAAGTAACCTACCTTTACTAATATGCTTAGATTTAGACTTCTGAGTGGTTATTAACAGATTTACAGAAAGAAGCATTTTTAGGAATCAATTTTCTTGGTTTTATTCAATATACAGAGACACAGGAAGTACTTTGTGTTTGTACTCCACTTTATGTGACTTTTCGTGGTGTGGAATAATATACAACTCCCAAGACCAGAAAAATCAGCTTGAAAGAGTAGAAAAGTTAAGTTAAAACTGATTTATTTATCGTCAAATTAGATGTCTAAAAACAATCCACATTAAGCGTCGAATTCCTTGGAAAGTCCTACCGAAAATTATCTCTTAATTAAGCCCGAATGTCTGCTGTATAAAATATGCGGCGATCAGTATTTTATGGCATGATATTAAGATAGTGCTCTGTTTAAACATATTTTTCTCGTGGTAGCACAGGAGAAATAAGAAAACTGGTAATAGGCAGTATTTTGTCTTAATTAACTTGCATATACTCGCTTAGTTTAAGATGAGCAGTCCAGCCTATAATAAGTGGTTTCATCGGAATGACAATTTAATTTTGACCACATTTTGTATTTTAATGGGGTATGTATTTCAAACCTCTTGAAGTCAACTACAATACTTAAGAGTTTCAGTGTATGTATGTAGTGGGGTGAAATACTCAGACTAAAAAAGCTACCAATTTATAGGAAGTTGACACTTGTAGTATAACTTTCTCTGCAAAAACATTTTTTATGTACTTATACATTTATCAAAGTCAGAACAAACATTTGATAACTTTGTCAGAAGTTAAGGCTTAGTGCTAGTTATGTATGCGACTGTATCGAAGAACTTGGACAGATAGGATTCGTAACTAGCAAAATGCATAAACAGTTCATTATTCACAATATACTGATAACAAGTAAATTATCACCTTGGAGTAAACGAGTGAGTTTTGAGTCCCGATAGGGTATGTGTGTACTTTTGCCATCCACCAGTGCAGATATCACGTTTCCCAAGGTGGAAAGACTTAAATTGATTTTAGTGGCTTCTTTCAAGCGTTCTCCCTAAAGTATAAATCGGAGATAACTTTTAATATAAACATAAAACTGAAATAACCAAAGCACTTGATTTAATGAACAGAATTTTTATACTGACACCAAAACGTCCGTTTAACTACACTTGTTCATACGCCAAAGATGTTAATTCACCAGTTGTAACAATGAAAACATACCAAGCTGATACCAAACAATATTAGGCCATTTTGTACTAAAAACAAATTTTTGATGGATAAAAGCTTTACTGTCCTGTTATCTATAGTTCCCAAATACAAACTCTTGGAAAAAGAGGGTGAACAGACAGAAACATGAATTAAATGTTTATTGAGCCATACCTCTGATAGTGTTTTGGACTGGCGTTCACTACCTGCCAAATCGACGAGGTTTAACTTGCCAACTCGTATATGTTTTTCTCCATCTGCCCCAGTCTATAACTATTTAAAAAAATGGCTAACCATACCTTGCAACTCTCAACAGTTACAATAAAAATAGCATGGGATCGCGAACTGTGTTCATTCATATTAGTGGCTCTAAAATGCTATGTAGTCTGAAATATAACCAATTACTTACCCAACTGCACGATTTTGATATCCAATCTTCATAACCTTCTGAATTTCATCTATACTTTTGGTAAGAACAGAGGACAAGTCCTGACCATAAGAAATAAAATGAGGTAAGATCAAATGAAATCACTTTACAAAAAAGCCAGAACATTACATTCTGAATGAGAAATTGTGATCAGCAAGTTACTCAATATATCTGAAAGATCGATTAACCATATTACTAGTTATCACAGAAATCTGAAGTAAATTATGCAACTGTGGAACAAGAAATAGACTGTGGGACTGGTAAGTTACTACAAGCCTACAATGATATTGTAAAATGCCACTTGTAAAACTAATTCTAATTTCTATCGATATAATTAGCTCATCGTCTATAAAAGGTTGAGTCAAACACTTGGATTAAGCTGGAAAACAACACAGCTTTCGTGGGACTAGTTTTATTTAACCACACCATCCTTGCCACTGCCAACCGTAATTTTGACAATCACTCTTATCTGCATAAAGACATAACATAAAGTAGGCACCTGTAGAATCTGGACGTAAGAAACATGTAAAACATGATGAAGTAAACCTACTAAATTACTATAAACATATAATGAACGTAATGAGAGTTGAATTCGAACGCAATGAAAATTCACCCGTAATTTGTATTATCAGTTTCTTTTACTCATGACAAAAGGAATGGTCCAAAAAGCAATAATTTGCGCGAATTACAACAAAACTGTTGACCTTTGCCCGCTCATCAGATGATTCAACCAACCATAATAAATTCGTATGCTGAATACTAGTAAGTTTTGGTTTGTAACGACAAGTAATTGACATGACTAATAAGGTTCTCTTTCAAAATGAAACTGAAACAGACTATGAAATTTATTTGTGTGGGTCTAACCAATCGGTTTAAACTGTTTTAGTCTTTCGATATCAGGAGCATTAATCACCTGCTAACGTAAAGAGTTCACGCTAGTAGTTACATTTTGGTACAAGCTGTTAAAGACACAAAGAATTATTACTTTATTTTCTATCAGTACACTATATTATTACAAGCCTCCTACATTCTAAAATAATCTGATCATTTTGGCAGAAATCCTTTGAGAGCGGCATCTTCTGAAATTTAAAGAACGTTAACGAGAGGCTCATAGTCGAACAACTAGATGAATAGAGTTGCTTGCTTAAATGTGCTTACCTTTACAAATATTCCACTGTCTGGTTTTTCTCTGATTTCTAAGTGCTTTGATTGGTCTCTGCGAAGCAGATCGCGAATCTCTTCTCTGTAAATTTCTAAGTAACTCGCTCGTACAAGATATTGAGCATCCATAGACTTCGATATATGGTCAAATATATGAACGAATGAGTTTGGCATTACACCTCGTAATTCCGGGTCATCCTGAAGGCCTGTTAAATATTTGAGTCAGCTTGCAAGCCATACCTTGAATAGTGAAGGTTTTTCCCGTTCCGGTTTGTCCGTAAGCAAATATGGTTCCGTTGAAGCCATCTAGAACACTGTTAATTAGGTCCCGAAAAGTTTCATCGTATAAATCTCTTTGTTTCGAACTTTCTAAGATAAAGAGATATTGAAGACCTCTTACCTTTCATCGTAAACAGCGTCAAAACTGAATCTTTTTGAATCATCATTCAGTTTGGCAATTGGATTACGAACTTCGATAGTCCCATTCGAACAATCGACAAACACACACCTAAAGGTTTAAGAGTTCAAGGGTCCTAACTTTTTGTGACCATCCGAAGCCTCTTTTTCATTTAGTGGTCTACATCTCACCACTACCTTCACTGATTCTGAAGCATCGAACTTAGTCTATTCAAGATGTTGATCAAATACGAATTTTGTTACTTGAGCCATCATATAACGCGGTGTATGCGGTACCGTGGTAACAACCATTCGTGAGATTCGACACCTGAAGTGATAAAAATAGAAAGGTTGGTAGGTCTTTAAGTCTTGTCTAAGAAGTTACAATTGGACCCTGCGAGTTTACTTGGAGTAGACATATCGTCACAATTGGTCTTGCTTAGATGAAATGTAAACATTAACATCGAAAAATCCGATTCAAACTCAGATTGAGAAGGGGAATGTACTGGACGCTATTTAATAGTCCAGATGATTGAGGTATTTCAAATGACTCGGTTTTTTCACTGTGTTGACAGATGGAGCTCCAATCATTTGTTGGGGTTAGGAGTTTTACCGGTTGATGGCGCAATGGGAAAGTCATCAGTCAGCTAAGATGAACTTGGTTCTAGGGCTATGAATTTTTTTGAGTCTAATTAAAAACTCGGTTTCTAGGAGAGGAAATATCAGCCCATAATATAGTAGTCTAAAGACTGTGATTAAGTCATTTATAACCTTCCTACTTGGCAGTGGGCAAAAGGCAATCGAGAAGGTTAAGTATAGCTGGTCTTTCGCTATACAACAGCCGAGCACTTCTATAGAGTAATCTAGCTTTGTTCGTGAGAATACTGAGAGCAAATTCATGAAGGTAATAACATCTGCGTAGTCAAAGGCTCTATTTATTCACTGAAGTGTCTTGAAGCGCAAAGCATCTGTTCCAAGTCAATGGACATTGGTTTTCAAGTCTTTGCTGACAGTGACTAATATATACTCGATCGTCCAGTCAAGAAGCTGAAGCGACTATTTCTTTACAGAACTAGAATGTTCGAGTGAATTCCCACCTTATTTATAGAATTGTTCGCCTCTCGAATGATGGTGGCGATCGCGGACAATACAGAAGCAACAGAGAATGACTTACGTATACTTTCCAGTGAATAGCCCCATTTTAACATAGAACCAGCTTAAAGATGTTTCTAACATTTAGTACTTGACAACACTTTGTCATTAACACTTTTATGATCGGAAGGTACCGAAGTTGTCAAACCAGGAGTCATGATAGCAGTAAATAACTTCTCAAAATAAACAGTTTCGTGTGTCTGTGGCGTCGATGCCGACCTCATCAGTTTTAATAGTCACACCCTAGCTGAAGTCACTCAGCCACACATCTGCACCACATCACGAGCGGGTGCGCAGTGCTACGTGCAACTTCCAGTCAGTCTACATCAAACGCTTCTCGATATATCGACAGCCAAATATATCGTCGAACCCATTCATTTCTGACTTCTGATTTAACAGAGATGGCATACTTCTATTATAAAGGTGTTACGTGTATAGGCGTTCTCAAACTTTGAATGCCTGTAGCATCCGTATCAGGAATGAAGAACTTCGGAGATATAATTGGAAAGTTTTCGATATAATGAGAAGCATCGGATGTGAGCTGGATAGTAGTTGGAAGAGATACGTGGCACAGAGTACCCAATCGTGGCCTGACGCGGATGCGCAATAGAAGGTAATAGAGAGACATGTTAAAGGCTACCCCCAGTTTCGAAATATCTAACTTCAGTCCACCTTAGAGTGCTGAATTGGCGGCGAGCACGAAGTGGTTGGTTAGACCAAATACAGCATTAATTATCTGGTAAACATGCATTTGTAGCCAATAAATCATTTTTAAAACGCTCTTATTGGTGTATGAATTCAATTGATGTTCGTTGCTTATTTTCTGTAGCTAAATGTAACTTTTGAATTGTCTTGCTATTTCCTATCTATGACTGATGGAAGTACTATTGCGTCAACGGGTTTCAGAACGACTTCTGCCGACATGGACTTCACTATGAGATAGCGATTGCTCAAATCAAGGTCCTCCAGTTAGCAGAGTCCGAATGCGACTCCAAAGTTTTTCAACGAGTAATTGAAACAGGAATATCACAAATACAGAGGACGTACAGTAATTACTTTCGTTGGCTAAGTATAAGAAGTCGTTATGAGCGTTGAAAATATTTGTGTGTTGTTTTTGGTGCGCGCTAGTACGTGTAGTAGTTATTGAGGAACTTCATACTACTAGTAAGTCTATTACTCAGGTATTGCGGAAGATAGCAATGAGAATCACGTGAATCTGCCAGTAGGAAGTTGAATCCTAGATCACTGAAGAAGTTCACGTTGAAAATGCAGTACATTCGTCTGAATAGCAACAGAATATCCACAAACTTAGAAATTGGTATACCACTAAAGACCTTAAAAAACCATCAGCTATATGACGAAGGTGCTAAAAGGGTAAATATAAATTCTGTTTTTCTGTAAAACACTATTTTGACAGGTTCAACGACAGTCATCGTCACGACATCTTTTTATAAATTACTCCTCCCCGAAACATTAGTTCACCAGTTATCCACATGCTGTGATATCAAGGTTACTAGTAGACAGTAAATACCAAAGTCACGATTTGTACAAGTCCTTTCTTTGCAACAATAATTTACGGTAACGACATTACATCTTGTGACAAGCATTACTTGTAATAAACTGTCCACTGAATGTCGATTGCTTGTCTTCATATTCAGAGCATCACAATACTAACTAAAACAACACTTTGTCATGGATTACCTATAGATTTGAAATGATTAGAATATGCGACCTTGATTTTGACCCGAGCACATTTCAGTGCAAAAATGCATACGCAAAGACCACGAAAACATCGGACTTTTTTTTGTAATGAGCGCCATTTGACAAGAGGTGTCCAGTAAACTTAATGAAATCAACATCAATGTCGATGAATTACAGGACTACTTATTTTGAAGAAACAGTGTCATTAAATAGCTGGTCTTACTCCTGTTACTCCTCGTCAAGTAATATAGGCCGCTCACAAGTGTTTGCCACCAAGCTCTGTCCTGTGCAATCGTTTCCAGTTCTTTCCCGTTGATATTCATTCGCTTATTGTCCGCTTTATATTCCCGACGCGATGTGTTCCTCAGTCTTCCTCCTACCCTGTCCCCTTCAAAACTCCAAGTTTCTGATAGAATCTAATGATTTCCGTAATGTATGTCCTATTATCCTCCAACGTCTTTTCCTGATTCCCTCTTCAAGTGGAAACTGGCTTTTCTCTTCTACAGTAGGCTGTTGCTGATGGTATCCGGCCGACGGACATTTAGTATCTTGTGTGTATAGTTATTTACAAATGCTTGTACCTTTTTGATGATGATTGTATTAGTTCTCCAAGATCCAGTTCCGTACAGTAGAACTGTTTTGACATTCGTATTGAATGATCTGACTTTGATGTTGGCTGACAGTTGTTTTTGAGTTCCATAAGTTCTTCAGTTGTAGGAATGTTGTCCTTGTTTTGTCAATTCTTTCTTTTATGTCCTTATTGGATCCTTCTTATTCATCGATGACGCTGTCCAGGTACGTGGAAGATTCCGCATCCTCCAGAGGTTTTCCACTAGGTGTGATAGAGTTGGTGTTCTCTTTGTTCTAGTTCAGAATCTTGGTTTTTCCCTTGCGTATGTTGAGTCCTACTAATGCAGAGTCTTCTGATACACTGGTTGTCTTCATCTAGATTCGTTGGTGTATATGGGATAAAAGAGCCAGGTCATCTGCAAAGTCCAAATCGTATGAATTCCATATGATGCTAACCATCTTTTCAGGCACGCATTATTGTCTAAGAAGGTTACATAAACTTCTCCTGTCCACACTGTCAAACGCCTTCTCATAGTAAATGAAGTTGATGTATAGTGACGAGTTGCGATGAGTTGAATGCTCAACAATGATCCATAGTGTCGCAGTTTGATCCCTACACAACCGACCATTACAAAATCCAGCATGTTGATACTGAAGTTGGGAGTCTACTGAATCCCTCATTCGGTTCAGCAACACTCCGTTGAAAACATTTCCTGGTACTGATACTGGTGTAATGCCTATGAATTTTCCACGTTTGCTCAAATCTCCTTTCTCTGATATCTTGTAGAGATGTCCTTCTTTCCAATCAGTCGTCACTTGTTCCTTCTCCCAAATCTTCATTAATAAAATGTGGAGCATGTTTGCAGTTACTCCTGTGTCTGACTTTAATACTTCGACTGCTGCTTTCTCGCTCTTGACTTGTCTGATGACCATGCTGATTTTTCCTATCGCCAATGGAGCGAAATTTATTAGGTCTGCGTTTGCTGTTTAGATTTCCGGTGGAGTAAATGGAGCGGGTTTATTCAAGAGCTCCTCAAAATGTCCTACCCATCTATTCCTCTGTTCTTGAATTTCAGTGATTGGCTTACCTCCTTTGTCATTGACTGGTCTCTCTGATTTACTATATTTCCCTGCCAGTTTCTTTCACGTGTCGTATTGTTGTTTCCTATTTACTTCACTCGCAGCTCTTCCATGTATTTCTGCTTGTCGGCACTAATCCCCTCTTCACTTGATAATTTGCCTCTGTGTATTCAGCTAGTGACTTGACTTCCTCTGCTCTTGTTCGACTGCTGTTAATTGCTGTCTTCTTGTTCTTCTTTTCTTGACTCCTGTTCAGATTTTCGATAAAGATCCATTCCTTATGATGTTTGTTGCGGTCAATGATCATCTCAGAACCGCCTGTCAAAGTGAAGCTAATGCTTCTTTCATCCATATCCAATTATCCTTCATATTAGTGTCTTCATCTGTGAGTATATCTATTACGCTTTGTAACCTGTTGTTGAGAGTTAACTTGAATTCATTGAGTTCATACGTATGCTGGAGGAAGGCTGTAATAAACCTTTGAAATGCTATTTCTCCAGTTATCCAGCGCTTATTTAGCTTCAGTTTCATCCTGGCGACAATCAGGTGGTGATCTGTGGCTATGTCACCTCCTCTCTTGGTTCTCACATCTTCAGTTTTAGCGATGTAAATATGATCAATCTGGTTCTGTGTGGTGTGATACGATGAGACCCATGTAGTTTTCTATGTGTGTTCGTGTGGAAATATAGTGCTACTTATAACCATTTCGTTGAATGCACATAAATTAGCAAATCTCCCTGCATTCTCGTTACATTCTTCCAGTCGTTTCATGTCGTCCCAATGACATATTCATATTCGGTGTTGTCCGTTCCGACATTGGCTTTTAGGTTTCCCATTAGGATGGTTGGGCTTTTTATTGTAAACGTCTCTATAATTGATTGCAGCCTCTCGTAAAACTGATCTTCATCGTCTTCATCGTTATCATTGGTGGGTGCATAGCACTGAATAACATTCATTGTGATTCCCTTCACCCTTATTTTGAATGATGTTTTGATAATGCTGGATCCATGAGATTCCCATTCTACAAGTGTTTCGTGTGCTTCTTTGGACAGCATCAGAGCAACTCCCTGAGTGTGTGGATCATTTTCTTGTTCGTGACCAGAGTACACCAGCATCTCTGATGAATCTAACCTTTTCTGTCCTGCTTGGGTCTAACGGGTTTCACTTATTCCGAGTACCACGAAGTTGCATCTCCTCATTTCCGTAACTATTTGTCTGATTCTCTTGGTCTTACATATTTCTCGAACATTCCATGTACTTATAATAATTGTTACTCTGGCCATTAGAAGGAGCTCATGACTTCTGTAGATTCTCATCGTTCACCATGAGGCACCATAATTCTTTTATAAGAAGATCATTGTATTTGCAGGCGAGAGTGTAGGTAGTTTCAATGATTTTTTCTGGTTGGTGTTTTTTAGCGAGGTTGTATTCTGCGGAACGGTGTGGTTAAAGCCATACTCAAACCTCTTCCTTTACCCGGTCTTGGGACCGGCAGTAGCCGTAGAAGAGCTACAGGCCAAGTTATTTGAAGAAGACAGATATTATTATTAGTGTTTTAATTGACTCCATCTTGTGCACAAAAATGTCCACATTGGTAAAATATTACTAATCTATAAATGGGAAATTACTTTAAACTACTTAGTTCCGTCAAATTTAAATATATTAACTGCATATGAACAGAGTCAAGATGAATAAGACAGAAATTAAGTCATTTGAAACTGTGAACACCTCATTAATAGGCTCCAGTGAAACATGAATTCGACCCAAATTCGTATTTTAAATGTAAGCATCATTCGGTGTTAGAAATATACTGCAAAAGTGTTTCACCAAGGTCGTTTTCTGTGGAATGGTGTTTCTGACTCCGTACGCGGACTTGGGCCTGGAATAACTTTCGAAGAGCTAAATGTGTTCACTTGACATTAGTTAGAGATATCAATTATTCGTTTGCACGTTGTACACAATTGCTGTCTTTTTCTCAAAATCAGGTGACACTTTTTTGATTATAAGCACGAGCTAAAGCTGAGTTAAATTATGGTACCAAGTAAAGTATTGTAATTTCTTGTAAGCCAAGTGAACATCATATATGGTTGGTGAAAGTAATATTGTTTCAACAGTTTGTATGGAATAACATGAGCTAGCCACACTTTAAAAGCATATAACACATTTCCTGAGGAATTTTATCACAAACGAACTAATTAATCTCAGGAAACACGGAATTATTATGGTATTTAGCAAAGATGTGTCAAATGCGCATAATTTTATACTCATTTTAGGACACCATATGTTACTGAACATACTTAAATTGTCAGAAATATCCGTATCCGAGTTCCTTATGATCTTGTGGTCTACAATTATAAATAGTTAGTAATTTCAACCATAATTAACATAATCCAGGATGTATATCCAAATAAAGTTTGCAATTATGATATTACTGTGATCTGTAAACGTAGACAGCTAATATATTAGAATTCTGTTGTCGTAACAGTGAGTAATTAAAAACAAGAAGCTCATGTGTGTAGCAGTGTATTTGTAAGCGATAATAAATGTGGCATGATATGGGAGATTCGAAAAGAAGGAACGGAAGATCAAAGATTATGTTTTTTTAAACAACAATTTTAAAGTCAATAATGGTAATTACACAAATTATGAGAATTATTGTAACAAATGTTATTAATAATGAAAATCATTTACGAAGTAAGCCTATTTTAATTAACCCCGCAGCTGGATCATCGACCCACTATTTCTGCTGTTCTATTTTCCTACTCTTTTCATTCTCTGTACTCTTTATGCTTTTCTAGTACACAGAGCAACTTCTGTCTACACGGAAACAGCTACAAGATACGTATTCAGGAACACTTATGTTCTAGTTCTTATTTCATTTGTTTATCTTTGATCACGGAGTATGAAAATAGCAAATGTAATGTAAATATAGTGTTCACGAAAGCATTATATTTAAATGATCTAATCACTACTCCACTGGTTTCAATATACTCTCAGTTGTTTTGCTTTATTTTTAAATGACGTTTAACACTATCACTAGATTGATTGTCACACTTCAAATTAATAATTAAATCATTTGAGACAGCCTTGATTTGTAGACTGGTTCTCCTGTTGATTGATGATGATCATAGTTAAAATACAGTGGTTTATTGCGAACGACTGATCCCAATTCTTTCCTGACTCTAAGCTCATTCCTACTTGGTGAGGCTCTAATTTACGGACGACCTTTGAGCGACGCTGAAGTGACCTTAAGAGTGGACTCCTACTGATTAGGACTAAATGAAGGTAATAAAGCAGTTAGAATTTTCATTTACAGTTGATAGTTGGGGTTGAAAATTAGATTTAGGGTTTCCATCACGAATTGACATCAGCTATAATGTTGAAACTCTATTTAACCAAATGTATGAATGAATTTCGCACCAAAATTTGTGACTCATTATCTTATACCTGATTGGTTCTTCCATCAATTATAGTCTCCCCCATACTTTGTTTCTCGTCTCTAAACGTTGGGAATCCGTAAAGAATAGTTTCCTGACTTTCTTATTCTAACATTTCGTAATATTAGATATTTATATTATAAAATTAAACTTTTCGGTTCATTTGATGTTTTTTTTCAAGAAAACAAACAGATCCCATTACAATAGGTGTACTAAAATAACGTGATCAAATTTATCATATGAACTGATTATCATTGGCTTTACTAAGATAAACTATTAATCAATCAATAAAGATGCATTTAAAAAGCTGATGATAAACAATATTCTCTAACTGAATTCTTTTTTTTTACTTTGGATTAAAAAGGAATTCACTTTACTTATGAGGAATATTAATAATGGGATCTTGGCAAGTATACGCTCGGGAAATTGTTGAGATTATTCACTTTTATGGCGAGTTAAATGAAACGGATTCTGTATGTTTCATTGAAAGAATTTCATTAGATCCTAGTGAAGAGAAGATATCAAAGTATTTAGCAAACAATAAATATCAAAGTCATCATTCAAATGATCTGAAAATATTGAAGTTAAATGTATATGATAAGATCATTATATATGAATGTGTTGGTCTGAAGAAAGAATTCTTCGAACACGCTTTAAAGCATCTTGAAAAAGCAGAAGGCAAATTACTGATAATCAAGAAACTTCAAAATTGGATTGGTAAATTTAATGACGAACAGTGTGAACAATCTGCTATCGAAATGAACTCTTTGTTTAGAGATTTATTAGATGCTGGTTTCAATATTCAGTGGGACGTAAGCAGATTGAATTTTGTTTGAAATAATCTAAACAAAATCTTTTAAATATACCTTAGGACGTAGATCAAGTTAGCAAATTTTTACGCCAATAATCAAGTGGTTTTAAGCTTTCCGTTATCCAATTATGTTTTTTAACCAACTTTTAAAATAATTTCAGTCTAATCACTTTTAAATATCATAAAATTTCATGTTTTTTTATACATTAAGTTGATGAATTAGGGAAAAAAAACAACGGAGCTTGATTGACAATAAATAGTTCTATTGAAGAAGTAATAAAAAATATGCCAAAAACGAAGAAGTCTTCAAGGTGTTTACTAGAAATTCTTATTAGAAAATAATTTATTCATTGTGAGATTATTAGCGGTTACTTTCCCTTCGTTAGTATAGTTTTTCCTAAAATATTCTTATCATTCTAGTATAGGCTTACACTGAAATTAGACTACTTATTTAAAGCCAGTAATAAGTTTATTTGAATATAAAAATGAAACTAATCTAGTTAATGTCATATATCTACCACATTCTCTATCAACATAAATAAATATTACGGTTTCTATTTTTCTCAGGTAATCGATTTACCTATCGACATAAATTATAACAGATGGTTTGAAAGTGTAAGCAGTTGTTCAGAACGTTTAATTCATAATATGAAAGCCTCTCTCAAATATATTCCACTGGATCGTGAAAATATTAGAATGAATGAACAACTATTAATAATTATCGCTAGTCCGAAGCTTCCTACAGATTGTGAATTCAAACCGATAAAGCGATCACTAAAGTCGAAGCATAAATCAACTAATAAATGCAGCTTATATCAAAACACAGTAAGTACTTTTACTTTAACTTTCAACGTGATCTGATAAAAAAAATTGACTGTTTTAAAAAAAGAATATACAGAACTATAACTATATTGATATTTATATGAATAGTTTAGTTCGGAACTTGAGAAGATCGAATCTTCAGGTAAATAATTCATAAAATGTGACAAAGTTGTCTAGAAGATTTATACCAAGGAGAGTTCTAGTAACCTAGTTGACAGTCTTGTTTCTCAGGAAGCTAAATTGAGTCACTATTAAGAAGTGACATATAATATATGACACTGATAAAAAAGAGCGGCTAAAAATCATATTATATCTGTGGAAAAAAAAGATAATTCATTTTTTCCTTATAGAAATGTCAATATATATAAAGGTCAAAGGCTCATTGCATCGTCTGAAGTTCCTGGATTTGTTTGCTGGTGTAGTCGAAACTAAACACTGGTGAGCAGTCTCACACAAGAACAAAGAAGTTGTACAGAGCCTTCTGGCTTTCAATGATCGTTTCACCATTGACAGTTTGACTTAAAACTACAAACATTTATCCCGTAGCTGGGTGCGGAGATGAAATCAATGTAGTTATTCTACATTTCAAATATAATGTCACTTAGTCACTGAGTCGAAACCCACAGGTCTTTATTTCTTGAATACATTCAGTAAGTAGTGTTGTGAGATAAACACATAGTATTATCAGTAATTAAAGCCCCCTTCAAAACTCAGATGTAAACATCTTTATCAGACACATAATTAAAGAATATTCTGCTCCTCCTTGCTATTCATTGGGATAGTTGCATTTAAATGCTTTGAGTTCGGCCAAAGCAAGACAGGAAGTTCATATTAAACTTCGTATCTATCAAATTTCATCAAAGGTAATTATTTTAAATGAAAACCTATACATAGCTGGAGTAGACAAAATTCTTAAGAGTGATAATCGTCAACAGACTACCATCAAGCGTAATAAATTAGATGTACATATTCACTTTTAACGGCTAATCTACTTAAAGTAATGTATTTCTTTCAACTAAAAAGTTGGGCAGTCAGTGTTTAATTTAATTAATCCTAACTTTTCTTATCACGTATGATTCAAACATATGAGTAACTAGATTAGAGTTAACAGAAAAATCTTTGTGGTGTAAAGTTATGATTGTTAGATGCGAGTTAGCTTAGAAATCAAGAAACTAAGAATCCTAATGAGGAAGTCATGGTTTTTATTAATTTGGATCTAAGTCACTATACTTAACAGTATATTAGGGAAAGCCAAGTTATGACTAACCAGACACATAGAAGATAAATAAACAAACTACATTACTACTGAGTGACGCATTGAGAACTTCTCCATAGACGAAACTTATTTTGAAAAAAGTAATAGTATGTCTATTTTAATCTTCAGTCCTATTCAATCACAGTATATACTTCCTAAAGCTTGGCCTAACAGATATTCAGAGTAAAAATGGTCACGTAGCTCTAAACGAAAGACTAAATCACAGTGTTTGCAATTGATGGATACTGGACTGACCCAAACTGGGACTTATGCTTCGTGATCTTGGCTAGGTGAATAATTTGCACTCACTAACAAAGCCTACTTACACTTGGAGCTTTTACGTATCGTGCAGCCACAAAACAGTACTTGTACTCGCTTAGCTAACCAATCAACCTAATACAAAATTAGTTCAAAGTCTCATGGATGAAATGTATTTATTGACTAAATTTGATTTCTTATAATAATCTAAAGTTATTCTTATTGAGTTTCAATACGAAAAGAGACTGGTAGTCTTATATACTGAATATTTTTTTGATTTCTTATATCCTTAGACTGATGTATGGCCATTATTTGTGACGCAGCAACTGAAGACTATAGTAAACGAACAAGCGCGTGAAATTATTTTAAATTCAGTTAATCCGATCAATAAGCAGTATAAAAACACAAATCGAGGTGGTCTGAAGAGGTCAATGTAAATAACTATGTATATGAATACCTTGTACGGGCTTGATTATCGTTTTATCTTTTTCACTTTTTGACGATACAAAGTTTAAACAGAATTATAAAAATATTTAACAATACTTCTGAATGTAACCGAATGAGTAAATAATTAAACCATATTTTATAATTATTTAGTCATATACACAAAGTACCGTCATTGGTATTGTTAATGAACGTCTGATTATGATCTTTGTAAAACAACATTTTTCCTATATACATTGATCGAAACGTATTACGTGTACTATTAGTACGTAAACATCTCGTTTTATCTACATTTGAATATTCTACATTATTCTTCAAAATATGATTGTTTGTTCTTTGTAGATCATTACGTAATTAAATTTCCCCCGGTTTCATGTTGTTAGCCTGTCAAATCGAAAGAAAGGGACCGCAGTAAACTGTATAAATTCCTTATAAAGCCATGGATTGAAATGACTAAAAATTCAACCTAAGTATATAAGTTTTTGATTGAGATCATGAACCGATTGATGTTAGACCATCACAATTGAAAACCTGGAAGCACTGGACGGCCGTTTCGTCCTATTGTGGGACTCCTCAGCAGTGCGCATCCACGATCCCGCGAGCGGGATTCGAACCCAGGGCCTTCGGTCTCGCGCGCGAACGCTTAACCAACTGGACCACTGAGCCGGCATCCAATGGTGACAGTTTCTAACATCAACCAATCCACGAAATTGCGCAACCAACTTCCGTTGTACTGAGGTAGATACCTGTCTCTACCCGACAAGGATTAGCTCCACTGGTCACGGCTTCTCACTAGAACTCCGAGAATTCCCTCACGAAGCTAGTCACTAGTGAGCACATGTTGATTACTAGTATAGGGGTTGTGGAGATTATTAAGTGGATTGGTTGATATTAGAAACTGTCACCATTGGATGCCGGCTCAGTGGTCCAGTTGGTTAAGCGTTCGCGCGCGAGACCGAAGGCCCTGGGTTCGAATCCCGCTCGCGGGATCGTGGATGCGCACTGCTGAGAAGTCCCACAATAGGACGAAACGGCCGTCCAGTGCTTCCAGGTTTTCAATTGTGATGGTCTAACATCAATCGGTTCATGATCTCAATCAAAAACTTAATAATCTCCACAACCCCTATACTAGTAATCAACATGTGCTCACTAGTGACTAGCTTCGTGAGGGAATTCTCGGAGTTCTAGTGAGAAGCCGTGACCAGTGGAGCTAATCCTTGTCGGGTAGAGACAGGTATCTACCTCAGTACAACGGAAGTTGGTTGCGCAATTTCGTGGATTGGTTGATGTTAGAAACTGTCACCATTGGATGCCGGCTCAGTGGTCCAGTTGGTTAAGCGTTCGCGCGCGAGACCGAAGGCCCTGGGTTCGAATCCCGCTCGCGGGATCGTGGATGCGCACTGCTGAGGAGTCCCACAATAGGACGAAACGGCCGTCCAGTGCTTCCAGGTTTTCAATTGTGATGGTCTAACATCAATCGGTTCATGATCTCAATCAAAAACTTAATAATCTCCACAACCCCTATACTACTAAGTATATAACTTTTCTACTTATGGTATTTCACAGTTATTTGATGTACGATTCATGTTTTAATCAACGTTTTGGGCGCCAACATGTAAACCCTATTGGAAATTATTTATCAACACTCAGATGTCCACAATGAAGATTCTTGATTCTTAAATTACATAATGAGGGCATGATAATGACACTGTCGCTTGAACACATTACTATCAGAATGGATGGATAATTCGCCATATTTAGCAAAATACACATATAATTTGAGTCTTAGATGAGAGTTCTAAGCTTTGCTTAGTAGACAAAATACACTCAAGGTATCTATGAGTTCCTCCAATAGGCTTTGAATAGTTTAACGGTAATGAGTTCACTAACAAATAATTTGGAATATATACAAGTTTATCTTGTAACGCATATTCAGATATATAACCCTTATGCTAAAATTTCTTATCACTTCTGTATCGAATTTCATGAGTACTGAGGACAGTACTCCGTTGTTGAACCATAGCAATTGATGAACGTACTTAAAACTTTTCAGGGTTACAAATAAACTTTAGAGCCTTATCATCTATAATTATAGTAAATTGCGTTCGAGCCAAGTGTTTATGAATTCATTTATTAGTTCAAACAGCATAAAGTACATCATACTGAGCTTCTAAATTACCTGTTCGACTAGCATAAGATTAAATGAAACAAAAATTACCTGTCTAAATTCTCGTAACAAAATTACATCAATGCTAGAACTCTTTGTCACTACCCTGTTTGAATGAATTGACTGTTCAAACAGTTTGTTAAAATAATAAAAGATTGTTCTTAGAACGAGAATATTATTGTTATTTACTTACTAACGAATGTAACTTTGAATGGATTTTGGGAAAAAAATGTGAATTTGTAAGTGTCTCTAATCATTTAGAATCTTATCTTAGCCTATTTCAATCAGTTAACTATCCAAGACACTTAAATCTAGATATACATCACCAGTATTTATTAAGAATTACAGCAATATTCTCAAGTAGATGATGTTATAAAGTAACTAGTATCTAAGCATTAACTATCTTAATGGAATTATGAATAATCAAATCAATTTAATACAATTTAGTACTTATAAAATTGCCAACAGTAATATTTATCAGTTTATTGAAGAATATCTGGAGAAAGCATAAGGTTAAATCAATGTCATTCATATTTAACTAAACTTAATATAGTGTTAATATACAAAACAAAACAAAGAATATTTGAATGAATGGATGTTTTAGATAACTTTATATTCTGTAGTACCTATGTATAAATCTTATATTAAATTCGATGAAATCTTATAGTATGCTTATACAAGTTCCAGTTTAATTAGTAAGTTAGAAACTGAAAACAATGAGTTTCACGTCTATATAGTCTTTAGTACCAACAAATACATTATTAGTAGAGCTAGAAGAAATGATATTTTTCTATGTATGTCAAGGTGATGCGTTTTAATTAATAAATTGTATGCAAATTTGTATACAAATTAAAAGAAATATAATGATTACAATATTGGTAAGAGTATAATTTATCGATAATCCTCAATTGAAGGATTAGTGACTTTGAGAAAGTTCACCTACTTACTAAGAATAAATAAACATTGAAAATTAGCGTGAAGAATTAAGATTTGAATTTACAGTTGGATGTTAGGGCTCAGAATTAGAACTGGTGTTTTCATTTCAAATCGACATCAGGTTTAATTCCAAAATGCTATCTAGTCATATGGATGAATGAATTTCTCACCAAAATCCAATCTTAAATCAGATTGGTTTGTCCACAAATTATAGTCTCTCAAATGTTATAGTTGACGCTTGATGAAGATATAAATAAAAGGGATAGGGTAATGTTTATAATGTGTATTGGCAAGATCAAATTGATTAATAATGACCCTTTTGTAGCCTAGAGTAAATAACCCGGTTGAACATATCTCATTTATATATATATAATTTTCGTTTCCTGAAGTTAACAACAATTTCTTTTGATACATATAAGTGTAATTTTTCACTTTTTAGTAGATTACTCGAAGCCTAATACATAACCGAGAAAGGTTCTCCTGTTTTGATAGTTATCTTCATTTGTGGTAACTGAATTTTAATGAGAATTAGTTATAAAGTGAGCTCACTTAAATGATACACAATCACGAGTACTGAAGAAGTTTAATATTGAGATAAGATGGTAGTTGGAGGTAGTCAACAGCAAACGCTGGACCCGGGTTTCGTTCTAATTGGCACTAGTCGGCAAGATGTACCTGTAATCTTGAGGGAAATGGTGCTCCCTGACGGATTCGATTTCGTGTCACCCAGCTTAACAGTCAAAGACGTAACCATTGAGCTATCCGGGCCGCGACCGACCTCCTGTAGGACAGCGTGCCAAGTAGCACGAAACCCGTGTCCATGGATTCCTGTTGACTACCTCCAACCACCTTACTTACTTACGCCTGTTACTCCTCGTGAAGGAACATAGGCCGCTCACCAGCATTCGCCATCCAACCCTGTCCCAAGTATTCTTTTCCAGCTCCTTCCAGTTGCTATTCATCCTTTCCATATCTGCTTTTATTTCCCAATGTAATGTGTTCTTTAGCCTTCCTCTTTTCCGCCTTCCTTCAGGATCGCAAGTCAGGGCTTGCCTCGTGATGCAGTTTGACGATTTGCGTAGTGTATGTCCTATCCATTTACATCATCTTTTCCTAATTTCTTCTTCAGCTGGAAGTTGGTTTGTTCTCTCCCACAAAAGGCTGTTGCTGATGGTATCCGGTCAATGGATGTTGAGTATCTTGTGTAGATAACTATTTATAAATACTTGCACCTTCTTGATGATGGTTGTTGTAGTTCTCCAAGTTTCAGCTCCGTACAGTAGAACTGCCTCGACGTTCGTATTGAAGATTGTGACTTTGGTATTGGTTGAAAGTTGTTTTGAGTTCCATATGTTCTTCAACTGTAGGAATGCTGTCCTTGCTTTGCCAATCCTCGCCTCATGTACCTATAAAACTTTTTGCTCTGATTGTTAGAAGATGCATCGGCCTCGTGACTTCCGAAGGAACTCGGCTTTCACCATGAAGCATCATAATTCTTCTAAATGTAGGCCTTATAACTTTCAGGGCAGAGTTAAAATGGTTTGGATTATTTTTCTGGTAAGCGTTTTTTTAGCGAATTAGTTTTCTACCGGATGGGGACGCTCACCCTGTGCCCAACACTCCTCCTCTACCCGGGCTTGGGACCGGCAGTAACTCTGGAAGAGCCACAGGCGGAGTTTCTAACCACCATCTTATCTCGATGTAGTGCACGCAATGTCGAGTCACCTAGACTAGTGACCACATTGCAACTTGGTCGATAACATTCGATCTGTACTAAGAAGGACTCGACACACATGACACTGATCACCGCCCAGTGATCAATCAATTGTGAAGTTTAATGTTAAAATCAGGAGAATTGTATATTTTTAAAATATATTACAAATAGAAATAATTAGCTATTGAACATACAAGATGTACAACAATTTAAATAGTCATTCAGTGTGCCCATCATAAGTTGAATATCTCTTTACATAAATATCACGAACTATCGGCTAATTAATAATTCTATCTGACCTTCTTAATCGTTTGGTGTTCACATTTTAATTCACATTATTTATATGCAATTCTGAATTAGGAAAATTATCCGAATTCAAATTGGAATCACCTACTTGATTAATTTCTTCTTGACCTGTAAGTCTCTTATGAACTGAATTAAGAATCTTTACAAATCGACTCCTGATCCTCTAAAGTTCAATTCTTAGATATCGTAGGTAATCGTTGTATTGATAATACAACACTTCTGGTAAAGTTATATTCACTAAATGAGTTCGGATTATCCAGGGTTTGAAAAGTTTATTTGAACTTTGTCAAAGAATATTTAATTAAGAAACTACCAATACGCAACCATAGTTCTTCCAGATTCCTTGGATTAAATAAATTAATGAGACTATTTAACGTTCGAATAAAGTTGTCCCTAAACCATTTGACAGAGAAAACTGCTAAGCTGTAGACAGATTATTGTATGCAATGTTTGTAAGTAAATGGAAGAGTTCTCGTACATTAAAATGAATACTATTGTTTTAATAATTTTCCGCTAGGGATTTCTCACATAGAATATGAGACAATCGGTAAAGCATAATATGAGATTGAAAATGGACCGTAATGACCGGCAATTCATACGATGAACAGCAAGTTTTCAACATTTGCTTTCTGTATACCGCTTTTTATAGCAAGAAGAATCACTTTCAAATCATCAATTTATATCAACTTATAAAAGAAGACCATATTAGTGTCCAACTAAAATAAAGGGAATAAGTCCAAATAATCAGAACATCTAATAAATTATAAGAAGTCAATTATAAGGGTAAAACAATTGCTAAATAATATATCTTAGGTAGAGTGTGAGTGAAAACCGAATTGGTAAGTAGTAATTGAATGCAGGACAAATAAGACTGATCTCCTAGGAATAAACTGTCACTATATCCAACATTATGAACGATACAAATAATATGGCTAAATAATATATTGAGTTTCAGTTCAGAACATTGTGATTTTAGATTGAATAAGAAATGACAAATTTTATAATTCTTAAAACAAAAACCCCTTATTTAATGTACTATAAAGTTTTGTTAGCAATACTGTCGCCTAAAATTGATCAATTGATCAGCTGACTGATTCAATATAGCCTTTACTCAAAAATTTTTAGCGTGTTTGATATTCTTTTAACGAAGGGAACTTTTAATCTTTTTCTAATACTTATATCTATAAAAGAAGCTAATAGCTATCTAAACTCAATAGATCAGTGAACAATCACTCAATGTCTAAAATGTGTAGACGATGTTAGATCCCCAGGACTCACTCGGTAAATATCTTATATCTGCAATTCTATTTTAAAAAATTGAATTTCTTGTTTTCGTTTTTACCTTCATGCTGCATTTCCCACTTGGCAGGAATTTAAATGCCATTTGTTCTTTATCTCTTTTAGTATGTTATTTTGTACCGTTTCCCAAATACATTTTTATGCTTCTTGTTGTTGTTTGTGCTTCTGGCTGCCTGTAGAATATGTTTCCCTCTTCCGAACTTAGACTTATCTATCTAGTTAGCTGAGCTTGGGACGCGTTGGAATAGCTAGCTTATCTGTCATTGTGTCACAGATTTTTCGTTTCCGTTCTCCGATTAGGTGAACTCGTAATCTCTTCAAATATAGTGAAATGAAAGGTATTGATTTCGAGCCTGGGTATGAACATTGGCATCAAAATCTAGGTAAATCGAACTGATAAGTCTCGAAACAAGACGAAATTCGCAACCTAAACTTCACTTCTAGTCATATAAAAATTATGATAAAATTATCGCTAAAAGTTTTATCATATAACCGATAAATAAAAAGACAAAAAATTATATATGAATATTATATTTTAAGTAATCTCAGCGGTTGAGTTTTTAAATAATTCCAACGTTTCGTCCAGGAAACTAGTCTAGACTTCTTCAAGATAATAATTAAAATTGAATTATCAGATGATTTTACAATTTATTCTCAATAATTGGTTAATGACTATAATACTATTTTTGTTTAGCACAGAAATGTAATAATTTACGAAGTTATTATTATAAAAAGGGGTTTCTGTAGATATTATAGTATATACAGTATATAGCATCCACGATCCCACCTCGCAAGATTCGAACCTAGGACCTATCAGTCTCGCGCGCGAGCGCCTAACCACTAGACCACTGAGCTAGCATTCAGCGTTGTTAATGTCTAACTTCAACCAATCCACGGAATTGAGTGACACATCCACTACTATCATCAGTGCGTTCCTATCTCACAACTGACCCAGTTGACCTCCATTAGTCACTGCTTCTTACTAGAACTCCAGGAAATACCTCTTAAAGTTAGTCACTAGTGAGCATATATTAAATAATATCAAAAGGAGTTCGAATTTCAAGAGGATGCGCATTGTTGAGGAGTCCCACAATAGGACAAAACGGCCGTCTAGTACTTCCAAGTTTTCCATAGTGGTCTAGCTTCAACTGACTCATGATCTCAACTATTTAAAAATTTTTATTATTAAAATGTTAGTCAGTTAATTAATACATAGTTAATCATTTAAAATGTAAATTCATTTAAGATGTAATTGGAAAGAACTCTTTTAACTATATTATTTAATTAACAATAAAACTATGTAGATAACGCCTACTCATTTAGTTTTAAAAAAATCTTAAACAAAATCACTGTATTGAATTGTGTTTTAAAGTCAGCATATTTTTTTCTCAAAAGAAACAAACAACAACAACAAAACATAATTGGGTATGTAGTTGTTGACCAATATAATTTAAGTATTTATATCATACAGTGTATTTATAATATAAACTCTTTACTTAAAGCCAAAAGAGAAAGTTAGTTTGATCATAATTGGATTTAAGGCAAGTTACATAATTCTCTATTATTTTGTTATTCTATAATGAAAGATTTATGATGAGTACAAATATTTTTTTATGACTGTTATAGAAAGTTTCTTATTCATCGTTTGAAAATGTAAAAAACCATGATGATTTGTAGTATTTCTGTCTTCATTTAGAATAAGTCTATGAATAAAATTAAGTCGTTAAGTATTATAAACATCAATCATAAACTTTAAATGTAATGGGTAAAATTAGACCGCAACAAATAAAATGAAATTAGTCAAGATATAAACCTTATTCTGTATAAATGTCCCTTTTAGCACGTAAACACTAAATAACAGTAGTAATAAAATAATTGTGTTCCTAATTTGCTTTATAACAAAACGTTATTACTGTCTCCATTGTTTTCTTGAAGGATTAATTGGTGAAAGTATAATATATTGAGCACATTGAGCAGTCTATCAGTCAACCAGAAAATACTGCATAGTTACATAACAGTTGACAATGTAAAGTAATTAAATAGTAGTGGAATAATAGCTTTGATGTGAATTATGAAATTTCACATGCCAAATTATTTTTTGTACTAAAGAAAAAAGGTCAAGGTTACATAATAAGTGTTGAGAGTTACGGTTATTACTCTATAGAGTTACCATCACTACATGACATCGGTTATAATTTGAAAAAATTAGGGTTACGCATTTAGAGTGAGGCTAGGCTTTTGAGTTAGGTTTACAAATAAGGGTTGGAATTTTCATCACTAACTGACATCAGTGATAAAGCAAGATTTTGCTACCGTTCTGTTCACAAATTTAAGAAACCTAGGGTTGAGATTTCAAGGAAGATTTAGAAAGAAAGAATATTATCTGACTTCATTAAGGACCTCTAACTTCCTAATGAACTACATTAAGCACTTTAACACACAATTTCCTTTAGTTCCTTTAGCTGTCATTTAGCTTAAGCGCCATGTTAAACTCACATTTCAACTGCATCACAGATATTTCTACTGATTCTGAACATTTTAAGAACCCATTATTCTCAATATTCCTCTGATTAATAATAACAAACAAGTTTAAATTTCGCTCAGAGTACATAAGGAGTTATCTTAATTCTGATGGATTGACTCCTGGCTGTCACTATGCTGTATCTTTACTGAATAATTTTTAATAACATCGATTGATGAAGATTAGATGACATTTTTTAATAAGAATATTATCATGCCTGGAAATACCACAAATCCTATCAAAAGATAAAATTATTATTTAACTTCATCAAATATCCTACTCTTTTCAATGACTGTAAATAATTCTATTAAATTAAAACAAGTAGAATGCTTGGTTTAAAATTACCGATATGTATCAGAATTATAATTAATGAATTGTATACAGTGAAATGATAACAATATACAGCTTGTTTGATCTTCTTAGAAGGTATACAAAATCATTAATTATTAGTAATTATGAATTACTTGTTAATATGTTGGAGATCATTGAATTTAACTTACTTTTAATCAATATTTACAATTATAAGACTAAATTATACAATTGGTAAACATAACATAATTATGAGATCAAATCTCATAGAGAATTGATGAAAATTTACAACAGTGAATTATATATATATCTGATGTAATATGGAACCATAACATGATTAACTATACACTATCAATTATTACTGTATTGTATAATAAAGCAAATTAAGTAAAAATGAATAATAATATTCACCTTAAATAATGATAGAAATAGAATTTATCACAATGATTAAATAAATCTAAAAGGATAACTAATTAACTTGAGTCAGTTTTGTATTGTTAACAAATTCTATCGTTACTAATAATACAATGAATTCATTTCAAAATATTCACCTTATTTTAATAAGTTAACATTTATTGATTACAAATCATTTTGTTGCTGACAGAAAGGATACTTTATTGCATTATTATTATTATTATTATTATTACCATTACTACAAAACAAGTTAACTATGATGAAATTTTTAAAATTCAACTCAATAAACAGCCCTGTTATATAATGGTTAACATTTTATCAATATGAACTAATGAAAGGTTATGGATAGATCAATTCTGATTGTATTTTATTAATTAATCAATTCTTTAATAATTAATTGCTATGGTATTCTATTGAGTACTAAATGTATCATAAAATTATAAAGATTTAATGTAACTAATGATTCATTTATATTTTAACTAAATAAAATTGTCAAATATATTCAAATGACCTAAAGAAGTATGTATTGAGTATTCTGTAATAATAATAATAATAATAATAATAATAATAATAATAATAATAATAATAATAACAAAAGTGATTTTCTTTGCCTCTTTCCATATCTCTTCAAAAGAGTATAAAGTTAATAATGATAATGAGTAGATCAAAGATGGTTTGGAAATTTGTCAGTTCATGTTATTTTAGTTATCCATTAGTTATCCACAGAAAAATCTATGAAATTCACCTAGAATTGTCATTTCAATTAAAATGTATTAATCTATTTTTTTTCATAAATAATATTGATTTTTTAGTAAAAAGAGATTTGTGAAGATCGTTGAATATTATTGAAATCATGAATCAACTACAGTTAGATATTTGTTGGAAACCAGGATGCACTGAATAATTGTTTCTTCCTAATATAGGACCCCTTAGCAATGTATATCCACCATTGCATCATAGGGTCCAAATTCAATGGTCTCAAAGTATCTGCAGTGTAACTAAAGGTTGATGATTAGATCCCTCTTATGGTCATAGATGAAAAGTTTCATACTAAAATGAAACAGCTACTCAGTATCTCTCTATTTCTAATAAATGTCTGACGTAGCTCACTTCGTGATACTCATAATACTGAATTTAATAAATTTTTAATTGAACTTGCTGTTGACATAATTTATTCTTTGTATCATAATACAAATTCAATGTTTTCGTAGTAAATGGTGAATAGTCTATAATTATTTATGTAACTCTAAAACATTAAAACCCGTTTCCAAAGTAATTATGATAATTGAATATGAGTAAACTGAATATACTACTTAAAAATGTAAATATATCTTTTTTCTAAATATTAGCTTCATTCACTGTTCAATGATAATTATGTATTTCTGTAACTTTAAATGAATTCAATGTAAAAAACAAAGAACTAACCATTTACATCAAAACAATGAAGTTAACTAGTTTTTAATGAAGTTTTATTCATCAATTTCTATTAGCAAAAAATCCAATAATTAAAAATATGTTAATGAACGACTCAGTTATGGACTATAATTAGAAGAGAAAATCTGATTCTAGTATATGAATAAATGTTTTCTCTATTCATTACTGAGCTTATTCATCTATACATAGTTAATTATAAAATCAATGCTATACAAAATTATTTGGTAAAACCAGAGTATCAACTCAATGAAAGTTCCCAATAATATTGATAATCAACATTTAAAACAATGTTTGAATAGAAAAACTTTATGACAGTTATTTTAGGCAAATATGAATAGTGGCTAGCAATGAAATTCAGGACGTGTGTTTCGTCCTATTTGTGACTCGTCAGCTGGATGTGCCTGCATGTCAAAGCCGAGTGGATAACGCGATGTCATTTGAAGCGAATGGTATTGGATTTGAGTCCCGGAGTGAACATCAACTCTGAGGTACAGGCACATCCAGTTGACAAGTTCTGAACAGGATGAAACCTCGCGTCCTGGATTCCACTGCTTGCCACTATCCGTTTTTGTTTAAAATGCTTGTGAATTATGGCAATATCGAGACAATCCCTACAGGATGCATACATGCTAATAGGATACTGATCAATTGCAGTCCTAAATAACAATGTGACGATAAAAATAAAACAACACTAAATGAATTCATGACAGTTAGTTAATCATACGACTTTTAATTATAAACTTTTTTCAAGGTAATTATCACCTCAGACTGATATCACCTAGATGTAAAAATTCCAAAAACGTATCGAAAAATAATTTGTTCTCATCATAGTATACTCAGAAAACAACAAGTTCGTACAAGTATGGTGAAATAATTTTCGCATATAGGAATGCACGTTACACCCTGAAGACAATTTATTTCAGAATAATTTTTAACATTTACTAACTTCAGTCATTTTTCAAATTTCGTAAGAAATCATAGGTGAACAGTCACTTTTTCCCTTATATAACTGATTTTAGTAAGTGAGATTCCTCACTAAACACTGCAAACATTTCATTAAGAATATTTGGGTATACAATATTTAGTCGTTTATTACTAGAAGAGGAAGACAAGCAGAATTTCCATTAAGTTAGAAAGAGTTAGTTTCCACAGAATTCGTGATAATATAATGATCTTTTTTGTGATGTGCGAAATTCATATGTTTAACCTCATATAAAATACAATAAGAATACTTACAATGAACTTTACACAACAACCAATTCAGTATCAAGAATTACTCAGTTCTTAATAGCTTCCCAGTTGTAACCAATAATGAAAATTGCCTTCAAATTAGTATTCTCACTTTACTGTCTTTGAATAGTAAGTAGCTACTTGTATATATAATGAAACACTGAAGGACCCTTCAGGGCGATGATACTTTCTAGTTATCTGTCTTCTTATTGTTGTCGAATTTTAAATAATATATATCAATTTTAAATTTTCGTAGGAAATTTTTTAAAGATAGTTGTATCAGTCGGGTCCGAATATCCAGTTATTCTACAACTATATTGATTGTTAAAGTCATAGAAATTAGTTATATTTACAGAAGTTCTATAGTAAATAAATCTTTATAGTATTACACCGTTTAGATCAATGATATATTTTAATCTCAAGTTCATTGGGATATCGTCAGAGATATGAGTATGCACCTGTTTCTCAGTTCTATCTCTGTATATGAATGTTAATTGATCTGTACAGTCGGAGGTATTTAGGAAAGAGAACCAAAATCCTTACGTCTGTGTAAAGGAGCAGTTAACAAACCTTAATGCTAGATAACTAATCTATAGTCTTATGGTTAATCAGTTCAACAACCTCATCCCTTTTAAATTCAAGATGTGAGAAATAAGCTTTTATCCAAGTATATAGTCTTTGACACGAACGTTTTCTGTTTTAATATATTTATCGATATGTTCCTAAAAGTTTAATTCTTTTAATGATTATGTTGTTTTCATGTAGTTTTTTCATAGTTCAATTTTCGAGGAGACGGTCAAAGAATTTCACTTGCATTTCATTTTAGGATGAACTTTAGATTACTTACAACTTATATGTATGAAAGCTTAATTTAAATTTTGAACACAACCAACATTACAACCCATCTAACTTTAATAGTACCTTATGAATAGTTAGCAATATCAAGTTACACCTTTCCGGACGCATATATGCCAATACTAATCATCTTCGGTTATCAACGTCAGCAACAGATAAACACAAGGTTTTGTAAAAAAGAAAAGCTGACTTAATAGTTCATCTGAAGATGAATTAAATGAAAATAAATAAATAAAATACTTATAACAAAGATTAGTGTTATGATCTTGTATCGACTTAACCACGTGCGATGCTTGCTCTAAGTAATCCGAATTTTCACTAGAGAGCCAGATAACAGACCAGAACAAAATCTTATTATCTGAAGGTATAAAGGGAAAAAACGCACATTACAATATGAAATGATATTCGGGGTATTTCACCGTTCACATTCCTTGGATAATCTCACAAGCCACCTGAGATGGTCACATTATCTTCCTCTCGAAGACTGAACATGAACTTTTGTCTTTGCCGTCATGTAGAACAGTCGTCTCTTTTTAGTGTGATCGCTTTTTTCTGAAATCTACCTGTGGTTCATTCTCCTGTTTAACTACCACATTTAGTGATTTAACCTGTGATTAATGACCGGTATATTTTCTACTCTGAAGCTGATTTATGTATTTATGAATATCGTATTTTTATTATCACTTAATTCCATACTTTGTCTAGTTTATCTTTACCCATAGATGTATTCGTTGAGGTCTTCCTGGACAAAAATCACGTCCAATTACTTAGTTGAATACTATAAACTCACGGAAATTTATACGGCCATTTCCTATAGATTTAACTGTCCCATTTAGTTTACCTTCAAAATGTGACACACCAAGAAACCCTCTAGTGGAGTGGCCAATTATTATTACAGCTACGATCTGGTCTTTATGGGTTATGTAGGATTCTTTATGAAATAAAAACTATTATAAACATTTAAATGCTAACCACTCCTTTTACTTTTAAGATAAAATCTGTGGTTGATGCTTCATTTACCGTAGCAAATTTTATAAGGAAAACTTCAATCTCATCACGGAATACTCTTCCAATCTCCTGTTCCAGTGATGCTGACACAACAGGAATGTTTTTTTCTGGTTTAATATTTTCAACAACACTGGGAAGGGATTGAGACACAATCGAATACACAATATTATAAACCATATTAAAAGACAAGTCCCTAAGTCTAACTTTCACTATAGGTTTAATACCCCGCAGGTTGATATGACAGTTCTTATATATAGTATTTTCTCGACACATTTATCATTTAAGCTATAATTTAAAGACACTTTCCGTATGAGAAAGATTTCTGTATCAGACTCGCTTATATTAACAGAGGTAGGGGGTAACCTTGGTCTACCCATTTTGACCGTCTATCGGATAACTGTAATATCAGACCTTAATAGGTCCAGCCTTTACCACTGGCTGCAACCCATATGCAAATACAAGGCAAGTAAACCAATCTACTGAAATTTCCTGTTACTGGAATTTTTCTTACTGACGATTAGAGATGCTACTATAAATCAAGTAGTCAACTTATACCATGTTAAGGGACTGTAAACATTGGTAAATGACACGTAATGTTGGTAATCATTTTCAAACAATCCATGATAACTAATATACAGTCCCTCCAAAAGTGGTGAGAATGGTAATACTATGAGTGTAATAAAAAATTTTTGCAAAATAGATTTACTACCTCATTAACGATTGTGTAAACAACAGTTCGCTTGTCTCAGTTCAGAATACATATAGCCTAGAAGTTTTCTTATGGATTAAGGAGTGGTGACTTGAGTTTTGCTGCTGTGTGAAACCAATGTTTCAGAGTAGTTATGTTAATTTATAGACCTCTTAACAGTGTAACACTAATTTCTTCTGTTTTGATCACATCAGTGACATTTCTTTACTAGTCTATAATAGTTAATATACCAAGTATCATAAACTGATTAGCGTTAGACTACCATTGAAAATCTGGAAGCACTGTACGGCTGTTTTGTTCTAGTATGGGACTCCTTAGAATTGCTGATACATGAGCCCGCGTTCTGGACTCGAACCCAGGACATGTGTACACAAAAATAGATTATTTCAATGGCAAAGAAATATTTCTATAGACTAAAACTTTTGTGTTGTTCTATGTGCACTTTCATTAATTGTACTACAGTATTAATCCGCATTAAAATTAGAATTAGGTTAGTAGTCTGTGATAACGGTAACTTTAAAGTAGCTTTATGATTTATGCCAAAATGCTTTTCTAATCATTTTTATGCTTCACATAGATAACTTATTTTCATGGCAAATAAGTAGTAACTATAAAATATGCATCATTCTATATAACGCATGATCTTCATTAAAATTTTAAGATCTGATTGTTGTTTTTTTAGGGTTAACGTTTAGTTACATTAAGCAAGTAATCAATACGTCACATTCTTAAAGTATTGATCTAACAACTATTTCAGAAGTGTCTCAGTCTAGTATACTTAGAGTAAAATTACTCACACTAAAAATATATAATCAATAGCTGAAAGCTAAAAATATTTTTTTAAATGCACAGTTCCTTTTTTTATTGAACGTGAGACTTAATTTACAATAAAATGGATGTCAACTAATGTGCAAATTTGTTTTGTATACTACTTCAACATTTTAAGTAGTATCTACAAAAAGAACTAAATAATCATTGTGTGAAGTTAGGGGATAAAAATACGTCGATTAATTTTACAACTCAGTATCAAGTGTCACTAATTAACAATACTACCACAATTTGTAAATATTTTACTGATAATTAAGTTCGAAAAGAAATTTGAGAAGATTTTTTTAAGACGAAGATTACCTGCTTCACAGGTTGACTGTAGTTAAGTAGCTGTTAAAAATCAAGAAGAGTTGGATGGTTATTTCATCGTAGTTTGGAGCCTTTCTGCAGTATTCATTAAAAATCCAGCCAGGGATTGAACATAGGATTTTCAGACTATGCAGTGGGCGTAAACGTGAAAAAATGACTAGTGAGACTTAAAGAATTCAGGAATGAAATAGAAATCATTGATAGCATCGTAGGATGTCTGTTTAGAATCGAAAACTTAAGGAATTAAAAAAATACTAAATTGAGAATATGTATTTGGTGATACATTGATTCATTTCGGAGTTGTCGTTCTATTAAAAATGTTTACAATGAACAGATGTAATCATATTTATACCGACAATAATAAACACTAAAATTATTAGTTCATCAATTACATCAACAAAATGTCACATAAGAACTTTCGTCTAAATTTGATTGAATAGTTTCATAGTATTTGGGCGCGAGTTGATTTGAGACATTAAAGAGGAAGAAAGTATTTGAATTTAAAGTAAATCTAACATTTCGCCTGGCAATCTGATCCAAGCTTTTTCAGGGAAATATAATCAAACATCAAAATTATTCGACTTTGGATTTACTTCAAATTCTTTCACTGAGATTTTACAAATACTTTCTTCCTCTTTAACAAAATGCTACGTTTTTCAATTGAATGCAATTAAACAATAACACTAAATCTTGAAAATAATATCAGAAATACATCGACATAAATGATAATTATTTAGTATTAAATATGATCTTTGATTCTTTCATGAGTAAGTACTGATCCTTTCAATTATATAATATTATCATAAGTTTATCTTGAAAACTTAATAAAAGTCAGTACTTTATTGATGATGATCTGATAGTTGTCGACAAGAATGAGATCAGTTGTATTGTGGTGTGTGCTACTTATATTGATATAAGTAGTATATGACGCGAGTCAGGAATGTAATGTCTGGCAGCAGAAGATGGGGAAGATCAAGGAAGGAAGGGCGGGAATAGAAAGCAATTAGTATAGAAATGCAAGAACAATGAAGTTCGAGACAATCATTGAACATTTTGCAAATAAAGTATTATAGTATGGTTTTTCTATTTTACCAAGTAACTCTGTAATTTTGTGCTAAATATAATTCGATTGTACCCACCCGTGTTCTGTTCACTGCAGTACTGTTAACAAATAAGATTTAATAAAATAAACTAATTATTAAATGTACATAGTATAACATCTTCACCTATTCAATGTACTTTTTATTGTGAGGTGATAAATGTGGCATCCCATGGAATATGAAAAGCTTGTTTAAAGCTTTACCTTGATTACAATTTTTCACGTTATCATTTCATGTATCACAAGAATATTGAAATTATATATAAAAGTAAACTTTCAAATATCTTTCCAGAAATACATAACAAGATGAATGGAAATAGAAACAATTCCAGACATGTAAAAACGTATAAAGTACAACATTTGAGAACATTTGAAGTTACTCCTAAAAATGTATTACCAAATACACAAACTGCTGTTGAACTACTGATGCAAGGGTGTTACACATATGTACGCAGTTTTAACATGTCAATCGATGATAATAATGATGAACCATATCTCATTCTAAGTGATCCACGTAATGGAGATGTAAGTCTACTATTATATGCTTTACTATTAAAATACCTATTGAAATCAGTCATATATTGTAATTTTATTAGATTTTCAAAGACGCTTTGCAAAAAAAACATTTTATTTCCCACTAATGCAATTACACTGGCACAATTACATTTGTTCGGAAGTAAATATATCCCTTTTTAGTTGAAACCAACATTTCAAAATATCGTTATCATATCTAAATAAATAGACGTGGAAATTTTTAAACTGCCATATGTCTATGATTCATGATTTACGTAGATATTTACAATTTACATTCTTTATTAAGAAAGTTAAAACTATAAAATTGCCGTATGTTACCACATAACTTATGTTACTATTAGTGTTTAACGGAAAAGTACTGAGTTGTAAATGAGAGCGGGTTGTATTGTCATTCACAGAGATTACTTAATCTTTCGATTTCGAAAACAAACGGTTTAATCATACAAGTGTGATGTTTTCTTACTATCCCTGAATATGATACGATCAATAGAGAACAAACATTGGAAGTAAATAAGCTTAATTAATTTATTCTAAGAGTTGCTGCAATAAGTAAGTTTCTTTATGAAATACACAAAGTAATATTTGGAAAAATCATCTTGTTACTTTGATCAGCGGCGTTAACAATGAATTCTAGTTTCATTATCTGAATTGGAGTACATCGATAGTGACAAAGACAGCTTTGCAGGATACTGCCTAAAAATATAATAACTGTGATACTTAAATCTGCTTCATTATTATTATGCAACATTAATCTTATGGATTTAAAAGAAAAGTACAATGTCCCTATTAGAAATTTAACGATTAAAAGATACTTTATTCAATTCGTTTTGTACATTTTGTGTTGTTACTAAACTGAAATCTCAATATTTTCATTGCAAATTACATGAACAGTTTACCATTAATTTAAAATTTGTCTCATATCTTTTAGCTTTACAAGCAGATTTATTCTTGATAAATTACTGAAACGTCTGTCATAAGTGTATAAATTTTAGAGATAAAACCAAACCAAAATTATTTGAATGAACTAAGGTACTATTTTCTACATATTTACTGACAATCCCATATTCTTTTTCCAAGAGTATGGTAAAGGGACCAGCTCAAGATGACAGCGATAAATATTTGCCTATGGACAGTTGATCAAAAAATAATGATTGTAAATGGATGATTTCTGAAGAAAAACCATTATATTTAAATGGTACACAAATTTCACATAATAAATGGTTCTAGTCAAGTCTTTAATGGGTTGTTCTACTCGTAAATCTTCCATAATAATATAGAGCATATGTGTTCTCAAACCATTATAAGGACTGAGAAAGATGTTTAGGAGTCCCTAAGTTGTTTCTGGTCAGATTTTAGGGTTAATAAATTTAAAAGTCAATGTTTTAAGGTTTAAGGTTGGGGTTAGAATTAAGAGTTTGGGATTTTGGTTCAGAGATAAGACTGATTTCTTGTCATACACAATCTACATAGAAATATTTAACCACCATATTTTCTACTCTCTAATGACAAAAAGAAATTTTTTCATTGTAATCCTAACGGTTTCAAGCCTTATACAAAGTTATTTCTGCTTCATACTTTATGTTATGTAAGATCAATGTCATGAAATTTCAAATTTCAAACAAAATCTCATAAATCATTTTCGTGATTCCGACTGGCTCGTACCTATACTTCACTTTCAACATGTACACTATGATTATAAGCAATCAGATATGGATTATAGACAGAGATGAATGGGCGACAAGCATTAGAATCTAAGACGGGCATTTCATCCTGTTTTGGACTCGTTAACTGGATATAATTGCATCCCTGAGTTCATGTTCACCGAGGGACTCGAACCCACTGATGACCGCTTCAAAAGCAATCTTGAGTTCAGATGCCCATATCTTCTCGTAATCAATATGACACATTCAGAATATCGATACAATCTACAAATGATACACATATGCCGAAAATAGACTGATTAATTGCAGTCTTAAACATCAATTGGAAGATTCAAACAACCAATACAAATCAATCAAAAACTGATTGTTTGTATTTTATTATTTTCTTAAGTAATTCATACAATTTTCAAGAATATAAAAACATTTTTTCTAACCGAATACTACCTATTGTAATTCATCAACAATATAGCGAAGTACTTCTCGTTCAATCACTAAAGATAATCAGTACACACTTTGAAAAACCTTACCTATTCCAATTAGCACGTTATTATTAAAGCGTATTTATGGTATTATGCTAGTACTTTTTTAACGAAATGCTGAGTAGAAATACAAACAAGCTTTTTGAAGTGAAATATGTTATTAATATCGAAAGAATCCTATTCATCTTGTCAGTAAACACTAAATTAACATTGAGAAAGAAAACGGCATTATTTATAATCTCATTATAAAACTATTTATATTACATGATACTTTTGTACTTGAACAGGAAATATTAAAAAAATGTTACAAACACTTGATTTTCTCTAAAAGAAAATGTGAAATTCATATTTTTCTAAACTTTTTATAATAACTTCAAGAGTATGATATCTTAGTATTAGTTTGATGAAAATGGATCGCACTGCTGAGGAGTCCAACTATAGGACGAAACGGCCGTCCAGTACTTCCAGGTTTTCCATGGTGGTCTAGTTTCAACTGACTCATGATCTTGTCCAGTGAAAATGGATCGATCGATCAATTGGTTTCACCCACAATTGACTAGACAGGCAGTTTACCTATTGAATTTCTTCATTTATCAAAAAATACGAATATAGTCAATTGAATAACATTATTGTTTACAAAAATTACACAAAAATCACTTTAATTAAATAAGTATCAGATAATTTATATTACATTTAATTAATAAACATTACCTTTCTTATTGAATCAATTATTCAATCGTAAGTAAAGTTAGGAAGTCAATAGATGAATTTCAATGATTCGCCATCTACTTTTTAGTGTAATGGGACATGTTGAGATTAAATTATAAGACTAATAGATATTCAATAATGATCGTGTATCTATATGAATAAAAAACTGAAAGTTTTGTGCCTGAATAGCATTACAAACATTTCCTGCTAATCGACCATAAACCTTTAAAAATTCCATTTGTCTTTCACACTTATTCAATAAACTGACATATGTTATTATGAATAATTCCTCCTTGACATATCACTAACACTGTGTTTAACAAATCTAACCAAAGACAATTTGTAAGGAAAATTATACTTCCTGTAAGTAAAGCGTATACTAATATACAGATGTTGATTACATTGAAGAGAATATACTTGTGGCCTTATTTTATTAAAAAACCTTAAACACTCAATTTGTTCATTTATTTACAAAGGCTGAAGTTGAACGTTTTCGTATTGGTCGTATACTCTATCCTCGGTATCGAATAACTCCTCCAGATGTGTGTCCAGTAAACAATCTACTCACATTCACTATCAAAGCTGGTTCAATGGATGATGGACGTCCAAGACGCAATGAAATACATTTATTTCAAGTAACTTAACAAATTATGTCTTTATTTAGTTGTTTAAAAATATGAATGAGAATTTAAATTGACGAGATGTTTCTGTTTTTAAATTATTTAATATTTAGATGGTTTCTCTGACTTAACACCTTACAACGAATAATATCACGAAACTGGAACCCTTACAATATATATATATATATATATAATGTGAGGATGACTCACTAAATAGTTGAACACATTTACAAAAACAGGTTTATAAGAAGGGAGTTTTCCCCCATCGATTTTATTTCCAAAAAGGACACAGATGTATATTTTTTATAGAATAGTTAGTATGGTAACATATATGTTTGCTAACATGAAGGTTTGAAAGTAAAATAAATAAAGCCGCCTGAAACTATCAGAATTATAGAAAATTAAAGGTCAAATACACAACTGAATTTGATTAAAAAAATAATTGTATTATGCCTTCACTGAGTAGGTTGGCAAAAGTCACGATAAATAAAAGAAGAATTTTATCAAAGACGATAGTCTAATCATAATAATTTTAAATTTTTATTCTGTAGTTTGTAGAGTCATACTTGGAGTTGTTATCTAATGCATTGAGAAATATTTTTGATAGTTAATCTGTACAATTTCTTTACATCAGTTCATCAGAACTAACTAGGTTACTTGATACAGAGGAGATTGATGCTCCATAAATAATATGTCATTAGTGAAGAACCTAAGAAGTGTAAAATTATGATTGACAGGCTGATGTTAACCTCATGATGCCTAAGCTTAATTAAGAGATCTTCAATTGTAATGAGAAGTTGATCTGAAGCACACTTTTCATTCTAACAACTGGTTTTATCACTTACCTTTTTAATAGGAGTTTTCTAATTTATCATTTTCTTTTTTGAAACTTACTTTATAGTATGCATCACAGAATGAGCTTAGACTACTCCTGAAAACATACATCTTCTTTAAAAAATATATTATTTAGTGTGACATTAGTCGTGGATTTTCGGCAGAAAAGACATTATTAAGGTTTCGAACACAAAGAGAAAACTAGTATATCTAATTGGTTATGTACTGTATTAACATAGTGCTATTTGTGCTTCTTTGTAATCTTTAAGCTACTGGTAGATTTTCTAAATAAAAAGAAAATTCACTGCTCAGTAAAAAGAAATAATTTATCAGATAATCTGACCTCTCTATAAATTTGGACAAGGACAAAAATGTTCTCAGTACCGAATTATATACATTTTTAAAAATACTGTTCTTTGTCGTCTCACTGATGTCTCACCATGTGTTATATTAGTTGTAATTTGATAAGGTTTCAATTTGTCTAGCCTAGTGGAATTTTGTTTTACTTTCATGAAGGTGATTTACGATGAAAGATAATGAGTAATTTTCCTTTGGGACAAAAGAACATTGCCCGGAAATGCTTGTTAAAGCTGTCGGTTGATTTGTATCTTCCATTCTCACTATATTGTTCTCATACATTTTATAAATCTCATACTATGTCCTACCAAACTGGGAGTAGAAATGACAATTTTTAACATTCTTAATGATCAAACTTTATTATTTCAAATAAATAAATATGAATAGTAACAGATTTATTACTACATTGTTTCAAAATTATAGATCTACATTTGTATAGTTCTACTTTCTTCATATTATCATGTAGGTTTTAACTTGTCCTGCTCAAACAATTGTCAATGTTTTACTGAGAGCTGGAGCTCTAGACAATGATTCATATGATCAAGAGTAAGTGTACCTTTATAGTTTGATTATTATAATGTTAAAAAAGGAGAGATTTTAATCAAACGTTTTCTGGCGCTATAATGAAAAAGGTGAATGTTATTTATTTTCCAATATGAGCATTTTTTAATATTATAGACTTTATTAATAAACATTTTTTTGTGTACAGAATAAACATTACAAGGTAATTATAGTTACTGAGTGAAATGGAATGGAAAAGGTCACATATATTTACTGACTATTTGAATCTATAAATCAGTTAAGCAACTTTCATATGCACTGATAAACAGAATTTTGGCATGAAATATAGTCATATGTTATCTTCATATTTTATTGTAATTTAATAAATACATCATATCCGAGAGCGGTTTTGTGGAGATTGTAGTAATTTAATAATTGGATTCATGAGTCAATTGAAGCTAGACCACCATGAAAAACCTGTAAGCACTGAATGGCCGTTTCATCCTAGCATGGGACTTCTCAGTATCGCGCGCGAACGCTTAACCTCTAGACCACTGAGTCGGTATTCAACGGTGTTAATGTTTAACCTCAAATAATCCATGAAATTGCGCCACCGTCCACCATCATATCAGACTTCAGTTGTCAATATAATCAAGACAATGAGATGATGGAGAAGATTTGTAGCTCAGATGGATGCTTTTGATGGAGTTTTGTTCTCTCAGCTGGATGGTTTGGTCGTGGAGCTTGTTTATTGCAATAAACAAGCACATTGAAATCGATCTAATGTATCAACCAATCAGGAAAATTATGCACAAACATGGGAACAAAAATCAAACCAATGGGAGATACAACCAAAATAAAAAAGTAAACAGTGACAAGTTTAAGATCAACAAGAACCAATCAACATTGAGGTATACATGAGAAGCTGTGAACCATATGTGGAGAAATTCGAACACTTCACTTCTATCTGAAGTTTGTGCTGATGATGTCGTTCAAAAGAACGATGAAAGCTCTACGACCAAACTATCCAGCTCCGAGAACAAAACTCCATCAAAGTGACTATTTAATATGTTTGTTAACTGCTATTCGAACACAATCGTTTAAATAGTTTTACAAAAATTCCACGAATCAATTTTTTATCCCCTGGTTCTTATTTGCTGCATTTGAAACGATATGGCACATAAATTAATGACTTTACATGGAAAGTTTAACTTATTTGTCAGTGAAACCTTTTGATGGTGAAGTATATTTGTGCTTATAACATATAAATTTATTTTTAATAACTTGGAAAGTGAAGAAAGTATTTGCATAATAATTTTAAAAAATGTATCAAAAATTATCAGATGTGAGGTTTTGTGCGTGTATTTATGTAATCAAACTTAATTAATTAGAGACGAAAGGGCATCCATTTGGCAACAAAGTAATAAAAAGCAATGGTGCCACAAAACAAGGTCACTGAAATCAGTTAAACAAAGAGTGGATATTATAATGACTTTCATGCTGAATAGGTACGGGTTATAGACTAGTGGAAAACTTCAGATGATGAAATTATAAATGTGTGGTTGATAAAGTAGACAGATCAGTTGTTATATATGTTAACACGCAGATTGCTTAAACGTGTTACAACTTATAGACGTTTTTTTACTTTCGATATCTTTGATATTTTCATGCCTTCATCTCGATTACTCTATTTTTATGCAAAATAACTTCTGTAAAATATATATGTTTCAAGTGTCAATGAAACTTCTTATTTTTAATATTTTCTTTTCTATTTCTTCTAACAGCATAAATGACTCCATGCTAATCTCCAGGGCTCCATCTGAACCAAATCTAAGGATACCATTACAAACAAGTTCAAGTGGAATTCAACTTCCACCAATGATTACCAAAGAGGATAGTGTATATAGTGAATCACAAATCAGTAAGGAAACTAGTTAAAAAATTACAATTAACAATTATTCCTATATTTTATTAATTATATTTTACTGATATCTTACTAAGTTCATCAATTTAATGAAGTATATTAAGCAATAATTTGGTATGAAATTGGAGAACCAATTTTTAGCTACAAATATTCCCCATCATCTCAAAATATTTTTGTGCTTTTCATTATCGGATTGGCTGTTATCTTTATTAACTTGACAAAAAAGCAAACCATATCCACTTTTCATCAATACTGAAATGTCGAGCTGATTATATACTAACTCTTTGACCTTGTTTAATTGGTACAATTCATTTTGCTGTGACTTTAAAATGTATATTAGAAGCATCATAAAAGAGCTGAAAATAACTTTCAAGGATATTTATTTTCAATATATAATGGGACTTGTGGAGATTGTAGAATCATCATAGTTTAGATCACAAACTAGACATCCACTGTTTCCTGGTGCCAATGGTGATCTAGTTTAAATCTGTTCGTGGTTTAAATTATAAAAAAATCATATCTATTTGTTCAATGACATTAAAACAAAGAGAAAAATGAATTTAATATCAAAGAAAATAAGAAATTTAATGTCCCCTAACAACTATGTTTTCTACTATAAATAGGGTTATTTAAAAAGAATGTTCTACAGTAGACTTATTCTCTGAATCCTACTTATTTTATTCACAAGCGCTAACTCCATATCAATGTTTCATTCTTGATCTTGTTAAATAAGAACAAAATACATGTTTAAACAAGTGACTTTATATCATATAGAAGGTCACTGATAAGTTGTGAATATAATAATTCACTAAAACGATTTTGTCAGAAATATAGGTAAGGTAAATCAATCTTTTTGTTATAGTTAATTAAATATTCTAGTGAGAAGTAGTGACCAGTGGAGTTCAACCAGGTCTCTTGTGAGATAGTAACTCACTGAAGACAATGGTGGATGTGTCGCTCAATTTCGTGGATTAGTTGAAGTTAGACATTAACACCGTTGGACGACAGCTCAGTGGTCTAATGGTTAAGTGCTCTCGCGCGAAACCAGTAGGTCCTGGGTTCGAATCTCGCTGGGTGCGAAGTCGTGAATGCGCACTGCCAAGGCGTCCCACAATAGGACGAAACGGTCGTCCAGTACTTCCAGGTTTTCCATGGTGGTTTAGCTTCAACTGACTCATGATCTTAACCATTGATATATTCGTCTCTTATTCATACAAATTCAATTTATGTAGGAATGAAATAGTCAAGAATGATAATGACATACTCGCTCAAAAAGATCATGTATAATTTGTTGTTAATATAATAGATGAAATGATAAAACCTATCAGAATAACAATGTAGTAATCCTAATAATATTGACAATCATAGTAATCACAATAATAATGATTCAAATGTTTTTGAAACATCTGAAAAAGCATTAAAACTAGTAAATGATCTAAATATTTACTAAAACGATATCAAAATAATATGTTGTTCAAAATAATAATAACTGTAAAATAAAAACCTGTAAAACTAAATTATCACGAATTAATGTTTTTGATATTGTTGAGTGCTTTGAACTAAATGTAGGAGTAAGTACTGGTGATATTTTCCATAGCGACAGTGGAACTTCTGTAATTATGCCATCTAGCACAGAGAACTCAACGGCGCTAAAAGTACCTATTTGAACTGCGAATCTTCTCCATCGTCGCATAATGTGATATGTGTATCTAAGAAATGAAGAGATTGAAATGGACTCATTATTAATTTAATTGGATATCTTATTACATGAATAAAAATATGTATTAAATAGAAAAAAACTTGCCCTGTGAAAATAATCGTACTATTATATAACAGGAGAATCAAATGCGATTGTCTACAGTTTCAAATTACAAATTAATCTGTACAATGTGGAATTATAGTGACTATATCTAAATTCATTTATACATTACACACATATGTTCATTCTTTATTTACAAAGACATAATAAATGCTTTATTATATACTGATTTTAAGTTATTCTGTTGCTTACTTAGTGTAAGTAAAACATCTAAATGTGCTTAATAGCATCTTCAACTCATTCCTATCAGGAGGTTAACTGCCACCAATTCTCGATTAGTTTTCATCACCAAATGAACATTCATAAGTTGGGAACCTTGATAATGGATTAATCAGCACTGATAGAGTGCTTATTAAGATTAAAATTTAAGCCAAAAAAGGAAATCTAAAAACGTTGATTCTTGAATTACCTCCCAAAATTCAACGAGGACTATGATGAAGTCAATTTAATCTAACTATTAGTTTTACTGAAACTCCATAGCCAGAATTCGATGAGTTATAAAGATTAGATAGCATGATACTAGTTAGTACACAATATATTCAATCATACATATGACGTTAGTCTCGGTTTGGATTATGATAAAACATTTTGTGAGTTTACACTCTATGGAGAAGATTAGGTATTTTCAAGATCATAGATACATTTTGATGGTAAATACTAACCTGGATGAAGATTCGTCCAAGTTTTTCTATCACTCAACTTGAACCATCATACAGGATTTATTTCATATATGAAATATTCGTAATGTTTACCAGTATGCCATGATAATAATGTAAGGTCATCTTTTGATACGAACATCCCTAGTTATTCTAACTTCATAATCAAAGACAGTTAACCATGTGAAAGATTATTTGAATTTACATAAAATATATGTTAGGTTGATGTTCTGTTGGTTGAATACCACATATCTGCGGTATAACCAAGCAATGTGGTTTTGGAGGAACAATTTTTTTCAGGACTATTTCAGGACAGCTTCATTTTAAAAGTAATTTAATGTTTTAAGAGACTATTTTTATCAGATGACCAAAACAGAATAATGATAATATCGTTTGTTAAAATGTTTAGATTTGACTCATTTATTGTCTCATTTGAGACTGACACCTTAGATTTATACTGTTAAAAAAGTAATCTGAATCAAACTTATGTAATTTTTCTATTGGTTTATACTTTTTCGTAAACAGATCGTGAGTGGATTGACTTAGAGGTTGCACTGCTTAATCACTGTTTTGATGACATTGAATCAAATTACAAAATTTTGAAAAGCAGAACAACTCGACAGTTCTCTAAATCAGCACCATCTGTTGCTACATCGAGTAAATCAAAAAGTCGAGTTTCAAGTATTAGTGTAAATCAAAATTCTAGTAAGTATATTCAGTTTATAAACTTTTTGTAAAAAACGATTTTAATTAAATTAACTTGATCACATATAGTTATAACAGTAAATATTCACAAGAGCAGGAGATCGATTACTTTGTGATATATATCACTGATTACCAAGTATGTATGCAGTTCATAGTTAGTCACATACATACTTGATAATCAGTGATATTTATCACAAAGTAATCGATTTGCTGCTCTTGTGAATATTTACTGTTATAACTGTATATGATCAAGTTAATTTAATTAAAGTCGTTAATACTATCAAAATAAATGTTAGTTTACTTGGTATTGTTTGCTTCAATCTTCCAATTCAGGTTGAAGACTGCAATTGATCAGTTTCTTATTGGCACATGTGCATCCTGTGCGTATTGCCTTGATATTGACTTAAGTCTTAAGCATTCTAGGCACAGACAGATAGTGGCTGGCAGTGAAATCCAGGACGCGCGTCAGCTGGATGTACCTGAATCCCAGAGTTGATGTTCACTCTGGGACTCAAACCCAGATGAGCCCCAAGTAGGACGAAACGCGAGTCCTGAATTCCACAGCTAGCCATCATCCATCTTTGCTTATAAATGTTAGTTTAATCAAATATTTGAAAATCATATTCGGTAAAAGTATACTTTGTTGGTAAACTAGTTAGATAGCAGATAGCGATTTCAAGATCACAGCATATACTTCATACAAGAATACTAATGTAGGATTGTATTTTATAATCATGTTATAGTACACAATTTACAAGAAGTCATATTGCTTTAAAAAAGTGCTTTTGTGTATGGTGATAGACATCAGCTAACTGACAGAGAATGGAAGGAACTAAGAGATAAAAATTATGCATAGTAATATTCATTGGATAGAAGAAATCTATATGAATTGGTGCATTATTCACGCGTTCAAAACCCCCATATAAGTGAATCGTAATGTTCGTTGTTCAACAGATTTTTGAAAAATCGGTTACACTAGGAGCTGTTCTGAATGATAAGGCTCAATTTCCAGCAACTGACTGGTACCTTTATTGTAAGGACATTCACTCTTAGCGCTATTAAATTCAACCCTGTTCCTTTGAGGTTTTTGAAGAATAGACGAAATAGTTTTTAGAAAAAGAAATTAAAGTAGACGTTAGAATGTTGAAGTTGAATATATAAATAAATAGAAGCCTTTCAATCTTATTAATAGTTTTTTGGTATATGACATAGAACGTTATAAAAAGATCACTTACGATACATTTGTAATCAGATGAATCCACATTACTACTAATTATCACAAGGTATTCTCAATTCTAGACAACATTATGCGTAGACAATTGGGGATTTCAAAGGTATTATCACAGATTCTATTATAATCATCAAGTAGTAGAAAATAAGCATCGTTTTTTGGACCTAAAATAACGTGTTTATACCATTATTAAGATTAAAGCTATGTGGTTCAGTTTGAGGAACACCCTTAAAATATATAAAGCTCCAAAGTTTGAATGATATGGAGTCATATAAATGAGTTTTTATATACCACACTCTATTATCTTAAAATCGAACATCCAGCTGAGAACTTTAATAAATTTATCAATCCTGTAAGACCTATTAGCATATTCTAATTTTTTTAAAGCATTTTTCATAAATTATTCATTTACATCAACTGTACTGTGATTAAGTTAAACTGAAATTCTCTTTCTCAGGGTTATTTTAAGGTTCCCTGAAAGTCATCGACAAAGTATTCTGTCATCAAAGGTTGTATTTCTTAATAAATCGCTAATGACTATCGAATGTAATTATCAACGTTTTTATTGAAGAAAATGTTTTTCTTTGAGTTCTTTGAAAAATTTAGCATATATTTAAACATCCAATATGTCCTTGGCAAATTTTCTTAATTATTCCTTTAGAAAAGTATGTATTCCATAAGGCGAATTTGAAATTGCGTATTTAGAATACAAAGCCGATTAATTCAAGCGAATAGCTCATTCCCTTTATTGAGTCTGAAAATGTATTTAATCTGAACAATAAGTTATTTTCCTTAAAGAACTATTTTTGTAATAGTACTGTAAAAAAATTGTTATAATACGTCTTTTCAATAAAGAAGTAGAATTATGTATGTAGCCTGTTATAAGACTTGGTATTTTACTAGTTAGTTTCATAATTATAGACCCTTGTAAAACAACCATTAAAAACCAAGAGTCAGTTGATATGTTTCATTGTAGCATGAAACTCCTTAGTAAGGGATGCCCAAGACCTTACCATGGACTGAACATAGGACCTTCAGATTTTACAGCTAGCGGCCCCTAGTGGGGTTGTAGGTGCACGTTGTTCATGAATATAATACTAGGTTGAAATAGCTGTCCGGTGTTTCCTGGTTTTCACTGGTTGTCTGTCTGACGTGTGTTTGTGATGTAAACTATTGAATTTAAGAATCTTCACAACTGCCTTACTTTAATAATTATAGATCGGGATTCTTTATTACGTTAATATAATTACTTATAGTTCATACTCCAATCTATAAAATTTTAATCATTGTAAATAAAATAAATCATTACACTTCTTGAAGTATGATCATTTTAATTGTACGTCAAATAAGATTTCTATCGTTCAACTATGAATGTTTTTTCTAAGGGATTTATTAAATTTGCTACAAACTGTCCAGAAAAATTAATAAGAGTTGCTCACAGGACAAGTAAACAAAGAAAATACAACGAGAGTAAATGTACAGTTTAATTTCCTCACAGTCAACTTACGAAGGATTAGACGACTAAATTCAAATAATTAGGTCCACTACAGAAAGTGGTTGTAACTACCGCTGACAAAGAAAAACTCAAATAAAATTAGACGTGCGGAGCATAGATTCATTGTCATTTACTCTTGATGATAACGATGATGAAATGTGTAAATACAGATAGAAAAGGGTAGGTGACAATGAAATAACAGCTAAACTTATTAAAAGTGATTAGATCTATTATGTAAACTAGTTGTTGAGTGACTAAATCATATTCTTCCTATACACTAAAAAAGAACAACCTTATTATATTCACTCAGCCAAAGTGAACGATGTCTGGAATTTTTCAAGCTTGAGTAAATATATTTCTAAAACTTTATTCAATTGTTATAAATCATAGTTTCTCTAATAATTAAAATTTTTTACTCTGTACATTATTCAGCTTTGGTCAGTGAGTTAGATGAACCTGTGAAAAAATGTGCTGTTGATTTCTTTGAAAAACTCAAATTCGCATGCATTCTATTGGCAAGACTTCAAGACTATCTTGTAGATCCGAATTCTGCTCACTTGGCTAGACAACTATTTGAATTTTTAAAGTAAGTAAATAAGTACATCATTCATTAACAATTAATAATTACTTTTTAGAAAGTTAAGTGGATAAAAACACGATCGATTACGACCAATATGATTTACCTTATCTGAAGTTTATTGATACTCTATATAGGATTGTTTGAACAATCGAAACAGCTCAACTACCTGTTACTAATGCTGCATTATTGATAAACCCGCCTTCATTTTATAGTTTTATTTATGGAAATTCAAAAGACGCTAGCATAAACCTTATAATCAAAATAACTAGAATAGGAGCGTTTTTAATGTTACTTTATCGATATAATTTAGTCTAAAATAACCATTCAAAGATTATAGAACCACTAGCCAGTAACCACACTATGAAAGAAATCACATCAAGCATCAAATGAATATGACTGGAACGAGCCATTTTATCACCTGGGTATGATTATGTGGCTGGTTACGCTAATTCGCATTTGTATCAGTGTTTAACCTATCCATAACTGTCTTACTAGGGTTTTGTTTATTACTTATTAAATTTATAACTACGATGCATACTAATAAACATGTAGCTAATTCAATAAAACTATTAAATCATCATCTTTTCTATAGTTTAAACTGAATTGATATCACTTTTGTTAGATTCATTGATTAGCTGCTAAATAAAATGAAATTGTTTACAAACTGGGATCAACCTAACTGTAATTACATTTTTATTTTATTATTTTAAGCTCAAATTAGACACCATTCAACAGAAATTTATATTAAATTGTAGGGTACAGCCTCGTGTAAATTGAATTAAATTTCTTTAATATACATTCCGAATTGCCGTGAACCAACAAATGTACACATTTCAATTTAGAAGTTCTTTTCAAAGGTTTGAAAAATGCATATTGGTAATGATATGTATTCATTGTATTTGTTTATTCATCTTTTATTCTAGATATGGAGTTGATGCTACACGAAACCCTAAAACAAATAGATCAAGCATTGCTCAATCAACTATTTATCCACTATTACCAGATTATGTTGTGCTTTTTATTCAATCGAACTTGACAAATGAATATGAAAGACTATGGCGCAATCTTGGCGATGCATGGAATGTACCAAGGTAGTTGAATAACTAAGCATGTGATCCAGATATTAAGACCTCGGCTTCCTTAATTAGGAACTTATGATTTTTTTTAGAAATTGTTATTATATCCTTGGGATGACAAGTAACGCCTGGGATTATGGATATATATGAAAAATATGTGCGGAGACATTTGGTCGAGAATGAAGCAATAGTTTTGAAACTTCTGTCCGTTATCCCATTATAAATAGATTAACAATTTTACTATCAATCCATTATAACAAAAAAATATATTTTCAGTGGGGTTGATATCTGTTCTGAAAAGCAAATGACAACAAGGTAAAAAAAATTAACTCAAATGTATTGGTAGTTGATCTTCATAAAATCAGCTTCCATCAGTTGATCAGTGGGTGACTCTCATACAAAACAAACCCATTCACAAGATACTTTAAGCCATATGTCATATACTGACTAATTCCGTAGGTTATTCACAATAGATTGTGATATCAGAAAAGTTTCCACTTTAATACGTAAACAACATGACAAAGGACAATTATTAAATCATTTTAGAATATATCAATATTTGACTTGAAATTTTATCAAATACCCGATAGATAATGTTTACAACTTATTAGTAATAAAGTAATCAGACAGTTCAGTTTTTACTTCCAAAGTGTCAAACTAAGCTAAAAATGAACAATGTTATTATACGACAATTAAGTTATTAAATGCAGAACTATTGAATAATTTTACAAAAATTTCATATTAAATATTTAGAAAAATAATTGTAGATAATATAGACGACCAGTTAGGTATTTAACAATAAATAAGAGTGTGTTTTTTCAAAGAACTACGAGATCATAATATGTAGTAAGTGAGAATCTCATTAAATTTTAATTAGTTTTGTTTGTGTTATGACAGGTGGTGTCTGAAACCAGATACTGATACACGACATGCTATGTTTCACTGAGGGTTTCGTAATCGACTGGTGGGTATAGGTAAGAGTGGGTGATTAGCCCAATCTCCACCACCCGGGTTACCGCTCACGATAGTTCATGAGTCGTTCGTCTCATTATCCTGGAGGCACGACGCGGACGAGTGAGTCGGACTTAAGATCTATGAACTAACCTTCCCCCCCCAGCTGCTTACTTGAGCGAGAACACAAGAGCGAATCAGAAAGTGTATTGTACTACTGACTAAGATACACAAATACTCATTCATATATATATATATACCATTCTATCCCTAGGAAATCGACCCATTTCTTAGCCAATGAAATGTATTTGTCTTTCAGGTCACTTGTGATTTCTATCGATTGACCTTTTCCTTAAGCTATTTCTGATTGGCTTGCCATATCATTTTGCAACCTTTTTTTTGTTTTACTGTTGTTCCAGTAAGTTACACACGAAAGATTCTGAGTATTCACTTTTTTTTACTTATCAATCGGATATTGTTATTTTTTCTATTTTATTTTTAAAGTATATTACACTTGAACAAATTTTACTGTGACTAAAATCAGAAATGTATTTAATGTAAATTTGATTGAATATAAGTATACTGAATCTAGTAATTTGTATCATGAATTAGTTATCTCCTATCACAACAACTGAACAGTGAAGATAGATTTGCACTGTAAAATTTCCTTTCGTTTTTCATTGAGATACCTTTCAATAGAATATTGTTTCTATTATTTAAAAACTCATACATTCAGCAATCATACTCAACTAATCATACGCCTGGATATTATTGAATAATAAGTTAAAAGTAAATACACAAAGGCTGAATATTATAATAAAGGAAATTTTGTATGAATTGAGTTGATTATGTAATACATAACTAGACTTGTTTTGGATGAATAATGATTGATTATAAAGCCCAAGTTATCAACGCCGAACCCCAGTAAACGGTAATCAGAAGATGGAATTATTAGCTAGTAAAAATGAGTGGATTCAAATAACATGATTAAACACTTAAATAAAACATATTTCCAACAATAAGGACTAGACAAGCATGACATTGATCACCACCCAGTGATCAATCAGTTGTGATTACATCTCAGTCCTACAGGAGGTTAGTCACGGCTCGGATAGCTCAGTGGTAACGTCTCTGACTGTGAAGCTGGGTGACATGAGATCGAATCCGCCAGGGAGCACCAGTTCCCTCAAGATTACAGGTACACCTTGCTGACGAGTGCCAAGTAGCACGAAACCTGGGTCCAGGGTTTCCTGTTGACTACCTCCAACCACTATCTAAATCTCAATACATAGTGCCCGCAGTGTCGAGTCACCTAGACTGGTGGCCATATTGCAACATGATCGATAGCATTCGATCTGCACTAATAAGGACTAGACAAGCATGACATTGATCACCACCCAGTGATCAATCAGTTGTGATATTTCCAACAAAAATAACATTTATTCCAGACATAAATAACTGACACGTTCAAATTTCTTAGGTCATTTATTAACTCATAAAATTAAAACATTTAAGGGTCAGTTATCACTCATCATATAAGTGATAATGTTTTCACAGTAGGCTACTGTTAAATATTGTATATGTTGTTTTTAATTACGCGAAACCTCAGCCACTGATAACCCTGAGTTTCTGATAGTACTGCTTTAGCTAATTGAAGGAGAACCTAATTTTTTAGATAAAAATTTTAATAGATCCCAGTGATCAACATCCAACACTAATTAAAAGATAATATGTAATTAAGTTTACAGATCACAAAAATACAACTCTATAAGTGTAAGGAAAATAAAATGCAACCAGTTATTACTTTCATAATTCGTTCCAAATTCTTTTTAAAACTCGAAAGTAATAAAATAAATAGTGAACCTACTTGAAAGTTATTTAACCCTACTTATGAAAGGTGAAGTATTTCGACATACTATATGTTATTTTAATCTTTACACACAGTGATTTGTGAGTCTATATCGATTGTGTATTACTTGGTAGTTTGAGATATATTCGTGACCTGTTTATATTTTGTGTAACACAAGAATCTTCCGCTTATCATTTCTTTTGACACAGCTGCCATACCTCTTATACTAATGGATCTTACTCGTCACCTTAAAATTAGTATTTTTGATAAGATAGTAGCTTCGCAGTACACAGTTAGTTGTCATTCATTCATTAATCGGCGTAAATTCCTGATTCTTGAACCTCGTTTATATAAAACATTGTTACCAATAGTGAAATAATATCCTAATAGTGAAGCTTAGATACTATTATAAATAATGGAATTAAAATCCTAAGCAGCCGCCGAAATTGATGTAAAAAACCAAGCATAACCTCGAGTGCTAAAACCGTTCATTGTCGGTTCTCATGATAAACGTGTGAAATCTACCCTTTTAAAATACAAATGATATTATAGTTACATCACTTTCTTGTACTATCTGACCATGTTTAACGTATATTACGTTTTAATGATTACTCTACGTTCACAAGACATATTTCGGTGAACGGAGACAGGTGGATAAAACCAATTTATTTATTTAATGCAAAATTACATAGTGTCTTCATGAAATATGAAAACGGTACATTAAATACGTAATTTGCACATCTACCATCAGTTGTCTCTTAAAAACTTAATATTCCTTTATTCTTGTTGTTATTATAGTTACTCTCAGCTTATATTCCTGTTTGCTGAAATTTTATCTTCTCAACCTTCTGCTGCTAGGCATTCCACTTCGAATCAGTGTTACATACTACTTATGTCTGTCAACATAAGTGACATACACCACATTATCACTATATTCTTTTGAATTCCATCATTCATTTTATATTTAAAATGATATCGTCTCTGATCACACATTTTGCATTTTTCGCTTTACACCATTAACATTCCTGTTACAAGTGTTCAGTCAAAATTTATGGAGCAAATGTAGTCAAATAATGAATCTTCCTTTATAAAATCTTACCTTCACTTCGCTTCAAAATGATTGTTTCTGCAAATTGGCGTGCAATCTAAAAGTGTTCTGTTTGTAAAACATTTCCTATACTATCTGTATTTGTAAACAGAGAACAAAAGCGGATACTTTTCAAATTAACATCTAAACGTTTACCATCGGAATCATGTAGAATTATTCTTAAAACTACATGCAATTATCCAACCAGTGATTTTATCGTTAATGTTTCATATGAGTATTAGATAAGATGATAATAGATAGATAAGAACAATCATTTCATTTTTCACTTTAAACTGTTCCCATTGATTACATTTGAATATTTAGATGTTGTTTAATATAAATGGTGATATTGAACAATGTTCAGAAAAAAATTAACCTCTGCAAATTTAAGCTTCAATCTAAACACTATATATATAACGTTTTTCCAGGAAGGACTCTCCTTACGAAGATCGCGTTTATATACCCAACTTTGAGAACAGATTCACGGTGGTTCCACATGAATACGAACCATCATTGTTTAAATACAACTCTCCAAATGTGATTGATAGACAAGAGGTAAGAGTTTGCTTGGCTGTTGAATTTTCATCTGTTTATTTAATTATTCCGTTTACTGGTATATTTTGAAGATAAGAATAGAACTATTGATAACATTTAGTGGTCAACTGAATGTATAAAATTTTGAAATGCTAGCCTTATCATTTGGCTTACACTCCTCATATTCTAAAAAATAAATAGCCATCAGTGTGTATATAGATTATCAGACTTAAATATAATAAATTGATTGACCTATCATAAACACGAAGATTTTTTTTACACCATACTATTGTAAATATTCAACACATAACTTAAAAACTTATGACATTCTTGAGATGTAAACTGATTACATAACTCCCTAATATAACCCAATGTATTTCCAAAACTTTTTTCTAATACTCTTAAAATGTATATGTAAAATCTTCAGGAAGAATAATATATTCTGAATAAACTGTAATGAAAACTAGATCAAGCATTCAAGGCATTATTTGAAGAAACATGAAAGTATTTTGGTTCATTTGAAAAAAAACGGAAATCTGTTTTTGTTTTTCTAATTATACTCAATTCGTTAACATCTCAGCTTCCTCACTAGTTTATTATAACGAAAACTAATGCACATATACTGATTGATTGAGAACCAGATATAGACTACAACAAGAGTTTATGTACACGAAATACAGAATAGTCAATATGTGAAATAAAAGTGTAATGAATACTAGAGTATATTAGATAGTCTCTTACATTCGATTCAGACGGATATGTCTATATCCAATCACTGACCAATAACAGGTCAGTTTGATTGAATATATTATTTAGCTAGAGAAATTCATTTTAGTGTCTGTTAATTGTATTTATTGATTGCACGTCGTCACTACATTATTTAACACTTTTCAACATCTTTAAAAGTTAATATTTTCAATAAGTAGTTATCTTATTTATTAATTTTACCAACTAATATCTTCCAGTTTATTCTTCGGTAGTTATGTTTCGAAAAAAAAAACGAGTTTGAATAATTCAAAAAATATAGTTGGATACGTTCAGTGAGTCCTTCACTGTTAAATAAAATGACTTGACGTTCAGGATAATAAACACGAAGATTAGATTGTATATAATGTGTTTTAAAACGAATCCTTATAAAGCTCAGGACTATAATAGATAGGGTTAAGGTATCGAAATGGTATCAATAAGGTATACCTTGTTTGGCTGAAATCAAGTCAACCATAGCCAAATTAATTAAATACAATATAAGTAGAGATGTGATTATAAATAATGAGCTACCTAAGGAGTGTGTTTAGAAATAGATTGGGAATGAAACATCAGTTAACCTAAAAGCTCTTGTTACTCTATCCTAATGCGTAACTTCTGATTAAGTATACATTGAAAATGCTTTCATGACGTATAGAAGATCAATAAAAATTCTTAGAGAAAGTTTACTTGCTTTGCAATACATCATACTGAGGACGGTATCTACTCTGATATTATCAATAAACAACTTCATTTGAAGTCAATATAATGTATCACTTAGAATTATCCCATCATTTAAACGATATTTTATTCAGATGTAAAAACTGATAAAAGTCACTTAATGTCAGCCAATTTAACTTTTTTTTCAAATAATTAAGTTGTCTAAAAGAACTTATCATCTAAAAGGGTTAATACATCGATGTGAAAACGTTATCGTATTATCATGCTGTTATCGATGATGAAATGTGTATCCATTGGCTAATGGAGTGCAAAAAAAACATTTCTAGCCAAGATACTTATCAATACAAGGTTGATCATCTGGTTTATAGTAATAAAGTACAACATTTTTAAAGATTAAAAATCTTAGTCTAACTGAGAAGATAATTTAACTTATTTCGTAAATACAATGCAACTGATATAACATTAACAAAAGCATGCATATAAAATGTCTGATAATGAATGCAAAAGATAGAAATGACTTTTCCTGAAATCAACTTCTAGAGTTAATTATATTTGATATGAATTATAAAATGCATGGGATATTATTATGAATTATAGAATGACAAATACTAACGTTTACATTTGTTAAACGTTGAATGGATCAATTATGTTTCAGTTCATTATTTTATCTTGCAGTAAATCTTTCGATTAATACTACTTATTCTTTGTTGATACTTATTCTGATTAGCGTTTTTTTAGCAAGGTTGTTTTCTACGGGATGGGGTTGCCGATCCCATGCTCAACTTTTCTCCTTTACTCGGGCTTGGGACCGGCAGTGACCCTAGAGGAGCTACGAGCGGTTATTTGTCGATATTTACACTATAATTAAACATGGTTTCTTCACATATAAATTCCTGTTGTCTAAAGTAAACTGAACAAATATTGGTTGCTTCTGTGTTACTAATTGTAGATAACGTATGACTGATAATGGCTAACAAGTAATCTCCAAATTTGTAAGGATATACTATTGAGTACATTACTAACTGTTAGGAAATATGTGATTCATGATCATGTGGAAGTACTGGGTTTCCTGTTGACTACCTCCAACCATCTAAAGCTATTCTTTACTAACAAGGAATTAATTAAAATGTATCAGTAAATAAGATTTATTTAATAAACTAATGGAATAATTAAAACCGATTTAATACAAAAGTTACGTTATTCTATTGTATTAATATGTGAAAACCAAGAATGTACAAAAAAACAATTATATGTTGTTGATGGAGTTTTGTTCTCTGAGCTGGATGGTTTGGTCGCGGAGCTTTCATCGTTCTTCTGAACGACATCATCAGCACAAACTTCAGATAGAAGTCCAAATCATCCACCTGAGCTACGAATGTTCTCTACCATCTCACAAATATATGTATTTATAAAAATTTATTCTGAAGATCAACTAGAGGAAAATACACATGAATTCAACCAATTTGATAAGTTAGTAGCTATATCGATTCAGTAGCTCAGCAGACAATGAAATAGCGTTTGAAGACGAAAGTAGTGAATTTGAATCTCATTGTGAAAATCAGTACTTTAGATACAGTGATATTCAGTAGACCAGCCCCATATAAAACAAAACGTAAGTTCTAGACCTCACTGTTAGCCACAATTCGATTTTACTGGAGAGACTGTCTTTATGTAGATGGTAATAGTGAGTGTTAGCAACTATTAATTCTGACGTTTTTTTATTATTTAAAAATAAATTCATCGGTAAAATATATGAGATTATATGTTAACCTAGTTTGAATGATTATCACAACACAACCGTATGATAATATTAATGTTTTAGGTTATTGTTTAATAAACTATATAAACAAGTAATATTTATTTAATGGACATAAATATTCCGACTATAACACTGGCACATAATTGACCAATAAAAGTCACTACTATTATAGATTAATCGATTTGCGAATTCACTGACCGGATAAGATTCTCTTGTCAGATTTATTGAAGGCCAGAAAATGACCTAAACTCCATAAGGTAATTTACACCGTCTCTACAAAAACAACCATTATGATAATCTCATAATCCTAAGTTAGTTGGCGAACTACGGTTTGTTTATTAACTAATATGTAATTCAAATATGAATACTGAACGGTCAATAAACATTGTTAACATGTGCACTATTTAATGTTCAGTTATGTATATTAGCCAAATAAAATAACAATTTTATTGTTGAATCTGGTTTACGAAGACGTATAGATCTTGGAGATAAATATTTTGTCTTCACCAGTATCTTTTATATAGTCTTGATTTCTTTCTTTTGTTTCAGACAAGATATATGCTCCCGCCAGGCAGTAATTTTAATGTGAATCAATCTTCTAGAACACCACGTGACAAAACCAAGTAAGTGAGAACACAGATATACACAATAGGACAACAGTTTTCATGATTCATTTAAATCAGTTGTGGAACCAATCCAACCTAGCGAATCGTTTTTCACTAGCTGACATCAATGAGTGTCAAAAACTGCCACTTCAAGACTAACTAACTACATATAAATACTTACGTGAATACTATTTATAGGTCATACCATAAATAATAGAAGCTAAAAAATGTATACCACTCGTACAAACATAACTGTTATATCATAGCTGATATCTACTCCAGCAAAATGACAAATTACATGTATTCGAAGAATGACAAGTAACTAATCTTTCTTGATGGAACTATTAAGTTTCTTTCATCAAAAGTAAAAATATAGACAAAATTTCTTAGTAATAAACCACTCATGTAAACAGTGGTATGGATAATAATAGAAAAAAACAATCGTAAACAACTGAATAGTTAAAATACACATTTACAAACTCAATGCCATCATAGATACTTAATTTCATTTCAATTGATAATAACTGTTAGAAGATCATTTGAGTTGTTCATCCTTAAATTGTGTAGGTGAAAAGACAATCAATAGAAAAGTAGTGTAAAAATACACCTGTACTTGTCATCAAGAGGAACATGAAATATGCACGTTATATGTCTCAAATATAGATAATTAATGCTGTGCACCTTGTTTAAAGAAATAATCTCCACAAAACTCATTGTTGCCTGTACAATTTTATTTTGCTATAATAGTTGTGTCTAGTATTGACAAGAAACATAGTTATAAGTGGTTTAAAATACTGAGAAGACAAGAGAGTCAACAGACTAGCCTTTTATGGAATTTGTTACCTAAAGCGATGTTCATCAAGATTATTCGCTTTCTGCATTTTTACTTAACTATGTCATAAACATACTTTTAAAGATAGCACTCATTGCTTGAATTTTCAGGGATTGATCTTCTACCAGGAGATTCACTCGTTGACTCAGAATGCGCAGATGATATAGTTCTGTTTAGTGAAGACGCTGAAAAATATTCAGAGTCTTCAGACTACAAATTTAGCAACAATACAAGCATGATTGGAATGCGGTTCTCTCCCTCCATATGTAAAATGTTACCTCAGGATTAGCTTACTTCATCCCCTGAATTAGTGATAGGGAGTGAAGTAGTTGAACGGACTGATCGCCTCACTTACCTTGGGAGTTTCACCAGTACTGATGATCTGGTGTTTGGCGAAATCTCGGTATGTATTCAGAAAGCTTGACTGGCTTTTGTCACCATGAGTTACATGTGGCGTATTCGAGATATCCGTCGCTCAACCAATGAGCGAGTTTACTGTGCAGCAGTTTTTTCCGTTCTACTTTAGAGGCGTGAAATATGGTTATCAAGAATGGAGGATATTTGTAGGTTACTGGTATCCGATCATATGTGTCTATGAAGCATTGCTCATGTACTTCGGGACTACGGAGTAAGCAATGTCTGAGTTTGGAATAGAGTACTAGGTACAAGGATAGGAAATCGATTGGTGAGGTAGTAACTCTTCATCAACTGAGGTGATCGGGACGTGTGCTGCGTATGCCTGACCACCGCCTACCTCGACGGGCGATGTTTTTTGGTGCAGAAGCGGGCTGGAAGAAAGCTAAGTGCGGTCAAACCCAAACATGGCATCAGTCAATGAAGTCGTTAACAGTTGGACTTAGCCATGTTAGTAGGTATAGACTACCCGGTTGGGGTCCGCAGGATTATCGTAACCAATGGTTGGACTTTGAATGGCATGGCTCAAAATCGTTTGCAATGGAGAAGGCATATCCATTATTTGTCTTCTCCCAAAATTCTGAGGTTCCTAATTCCTTATACCTTCTCTTTGTTTTTTACTTTACTAGTTTGTATTTTCTTTTCGAAAAGTATCTTCAATGTCTAGTCTTTCCAATTCCCACTGATATTGTTACTACCTGTACTATACTGTAATTTGTCCCGACAACTTCATCTCTATGTGCTAACGGCGCATGACAACTTGAACCGATGTGCCTACGTACATGTTCTACGTTGCGACTGACTGGCTCATATCTTTGGAAGCAAATAACTGACTACATAAGCAATTATTATAAAGCTAAACTCCAAAAGTGCTTTCTAGTCTAATAGAGAGACCTTGGTTCAAAGTTTATAGGATCTGTAAAATAAGTTTGGGTGAACTTTAAGGACATTCTCGCCGCGAGTAGAATAATTTAAGTCCGATTCGCTCCATAACAAAACCTTGTACAAAGCTATGAAAACAAAACACTCTAGAAAAGTTTGTAAAAGCCAGAGATTTAATTTTTCAGTGTTAGATAGTACTAAGCAGTACAGAGTGGTAAGATTTGTATAAATACAATTGAAACGGAGAGATAATATTGATACTCCAAGATTACCAGTTAATGTCTCCCTTTTAATAAGGAGGAAATAAACTTTGTACTTATTATCAGTCCCTGGCCTTAGGAACGGGTTAGTATCTGAAACTGAACATAGTTGTTATTATGGATAAATAGCTTCGTTATTTGTAGTGACCATTGGTTAGACAGTCTAAACAATAATTATTTTTATTAAAGTTGATCAATCTTGGTTGGTATATCTGCATCCTCTTGGGATTCCCGCGATATAACTTTTTCCATCTATTCTACACTAACTTGCATCAGTGCTTATATAGAGGCAATCCATACAGGATACCCATATAACAACCAAAACTGATCAACTTTCAGTTAAAAATATTAACAACGGGATAATCCAATCCATTTAAAGTAAAATAAAATTCATACCTGTTGCAAAACTGAGTAGCTACCTGAACTCGATGCTTAATTGAATAATAAGATGCTGCTTGAGGCGGACGATATTGAGTTCGAGTCCCGGGGCGATCATCTACTCTGGAGTCCAGGTACATTCAGCTGACGACTCCTAGATGAGATGAGGCGCGAGTCCTCGATTTCACTGCTAGCCACACTCCACTTATTCTATATTTAGAACAATGATGTTTGATGATGGTATGAGAAAACGTAACTGATCGAAGGACTAAATCGTTTAAAGGTCTAAAGTCTTTTCGAAGTCCTACAATATTCAGCCTATCTATATTAATAATCAATGAAAAGAAATGGAAACTTGACTAAAATTGATAAAAGAAAAGCGTTATCTTGATTGGATAAAAGATGATAGGACGGATGAAGAACGTTTGTGTTAATGTTACAGGTTCAGTAGACGAAACATAAATTTTAAAACGTTTTTGGAAGTAGAAAAGGAAAAATGGAATAAAGCATATCAGTGAATCCATTACCATGCCAATGCTAGGCGAACCAGAAAATCTAAGCATATACAGAAATGACGATTCACATTCCACTGCCACAGCGATGAATTAGCCGCTATACTTGCCCCACTTTTATCTTTTCAAAAAAAATGTTCGAACTTCCACTTTAATTATTCAACATGCAACCTTTACAAACATACTATATCCTTCCCATCACCCTTTATTAAATCAAATCTTTATTGTTTATCTTATTTGAGTTCTCATTGCTTATTTAAATGTACCTATGCATGTGAATGCAGACAGTGTACTTCTTCTGATCTAATTAACTAGAATATGAAAGTGATGTTACATGATATGGTGTAACAAAAAGAATGCATCTTTGATCAGCCAACAAAATATGTTGTTCAGTATGACAACTTAGAATTAATACATTAAACTTATTCGTAAATAGTTAGCTCTGAAAAGAAAACGAACACAAGTGTTTAGCATCTGACGACAGAAATTGGCGATTCACTCAGTCAGAACAACGTAGAACTTCGTACATACGTACGTACATTAGTTCGATTTGCCATACCACATTAGCACACAAATAGAATTGTCGATTCAAATCCCGTAGTGGTAGAGGTAGTGAAGGTATAAACAGTAATCGGAAAAATTAGGGTTTGAACATGTTATTCAAGGTGTATAATCCAATGAAATAAATTTGGAAAGAGAAAAAAAGGACATGAAGAATTCAGAAGATTAGAATTTGGGAGAACACAAAGAGTGTATGCACCTGAGCCATTGCAAACGATTTTGAGTCATGTCATTCAGGGTCTCTAACCACTGTTTACTATCATCTGGCGGTCCCAAACCAGGTAGTCTACACCTACCAACATGGCTCAGTCCACTTGTCAGTGACTTCATGGACTTGTGCCATGTTTTGGTCTGGCCGCCCCTAGCTTTCTTCCAACCTACTCCTATACCATTGAGCATCGCATGTCGAGGTGAATAATAATAATTCTTCTAGAAAACCTGTGACTTCAACACTAGATGTTGAAATATCTCGCTTGCTGATCTGATACTATAAGGGTCGAAACACCGAGATAAATGATACATATAATTTGCAATACATTTTGAGGGAAGGATTTAATTTTTGCTACATTTCCAAATGTCAGTAAACTATGTTCGTGTTAAACGTAAAAAATTAGGTTGAATTTAGACTTTCGATAAAGAATGATTTAATTCCACATTCAAGAACTTTAATTTGTTAACCAATCAGTATTTCAATTGTCAATATACTTATTCTATAGACTTGTCCAAGTTATTGAGTCGTTTGAAGCAAGCTCTGAAAGAGAATTAACAGTAGAAAATGGTGAATGGGTAAAAATTTTAGAAAAGAATGGAAAATGGTATAAAGTTCAGAATAAGTTTGATGAAGAAGGTTATTGTCCAGGGTCAATACTGAAAATTCCAGGAACTATGTGATATTTTCAAATGTAAGTTTTAGTTCAAAGACAGAAGTTCAAGAGAACTATATATATATATATATATATATATATATATATATATATATATATATATATATATATATATATATATATATATATATATATATATATATATATATATATAAAGTGAGAATTCAGAATATCCATTGCAAAGTCCGTGATCACTCAACATCTTCAAATCATTAATATATACGCATTTTCTTTCCCACATTTTATATTAGTTAAAATTTTAAACTTATATTCTATTGCTCTCTAAGAAACGAAGAAAATTAAGTAAGTTCCAAGTTGTATTTGTGAATACATTTGAACATTTACTAATCATTAATGAATGATTCAGTAGTTTTTCTTCAAACCTAGTAAGGTTTTTATTCAGATAATGAAGGTTGCTAATAATGTTTTATAATCCACTGGGAATATGTTAAATGTCAACAGACAAATCAAATAACTTGTTTGAATAAGTTTGAGATGATATACCTATATGAAGCAATTAGACAGTGGTGGGCCATTTTGTATCGGAATATTGGAATGTTCTAAAACTTACAAATGATTAGCATTTCCTTTGAGAAGTTGGACATGTGTAAAAGAGCATACTTGAGGGTATCAGATAATTAACATCTTGTTAAAACGGAAAGCATGTCCAGATGCAGATATTACTATGTCTATACAATGCCTTTGTTGTTTTCTTTGGAATGGATAGTGACGTACTTTTTCGTCTAGACAGTAAAAATCAAAATGCTAAATTCTCTACTTATAGTGTCTTGATGAACAGCTGATCAGCTATACTATCCTGGTAGTAGATGATCGCTGTTTTTAGATATGTAGGATATCCAGTTTATCGAATACTTATTGTATGTACCTCCAATCACAACATGGGGACAAATCCTCGGGCACCACTAAGCAGCTCAGATATATATACATGTTGAAATTATTGAAGATTGATAAAACACCATTGACGCAAGTTCTGTAAGTACATCTGCTTTGATATTTACCCACTGAATTTTTCCGTTAAACTGTTTAGTTCCTTAAATGGCAAAAATTCTATACTAATAGCGAATGCTGATTTCAAATAAATATTATGTCCGTATGGTATCCGTAAAATGCGTTAGCTGAGCTGTTGATGGTATCCTTTGATTGATGGAATAACATTAGACGAGTGGCTTCCAACGACAGAATACTCGGATTTTTTAAAGAAAATCACCCTTAATATAATCCCGGTTTCAATTACAAAGTACTTCGACTGCACCAATAGCGTCTACTATTTCGCTATTTCATCTGGAACAAACGGAATCTTCTTACTGTTGACTAGTGGAATGTTTCGACTGTCAACACGGTCTCTGAGATATATTTCTCCTTCAAATGCATACACAATTCGTCACTTCAATACCACAAATCTACACACTAAACTTTCTTGACTATTCATTAGTGCAATGAGTCATACGTTTAGCAGTCTATCTTTTTCCAAAAGGTTAATCTTGTTTTTTTAGGAGTACAAGGACAATGGTTATCTTTGATATACATCGAGATATCTTAATGCCCGATAAATAGAATAATGTCTGTAAGATCTAGTTCGTGATACATGTATCAATAACTGAGTTAGTGTCGGTAATATACTTACAAGTACTTGTAAGTAATTTTCCATGGAACAAGTTTAGCTGAAGAAACGTCCACAAACTCCCCCACTATATAAGGTTTCATATTCGTCTGAAATAACACCATTGTATTTACTGCTAGCCCAGAAAATCGAACCTTTTTCGTATTGACTGAAGAAAAATTATTTGAAATTTTTTTGCCAACCGAAAGATAACTGCGTATTTAGCGTACAACGCTCGACTATGACCATCTAGTTTTCTTAATACCAAAATACTTAAGAGTATAAAGTACTTATTCGTTTATTTCACAAGTGAATTCATTTTCTGGGAAAGCAATCTTAAACTAATTACACATAACAGAAAATGTATGTTTCCGCTATAAATGATGGACGAGCCAACCATATATCTGCAAAATATAAGAGTATTAGAAAGTCCCACTTTTCCTAACTATATCCCTTCATGAGTTGTTATTTTGACCCTGATCATTGCGCGATACAAACTGTATTATTCATGAAAAGATGAGTTTCAAAGTGTAGCGACCAATAGAATTAATGTTGGCGTAGTGTTGAGTATCGCCTACACAATATCAAAACGGTACATTTGACTACTCAGCATTCTGATTTGTCTAATTGGTTAATATTATCGAAATCTTACGGATTACTTCCTTTGGTACTATATTTACTTCTTTTTGTTTCTTCTTACCGTATAATCAGATATGAATTCGTTGAAGACATTCAAAGAACTCTAAAGAAATTATTTAGTTTTAATCAAAATACTTTCATCTCTTGAGTAAAGATCATTGTAATTTTTTTCCTACTGCACAACTCTCTTTGTTCAGAAGTTTACGAGACCTTTTTCCATTTGTTCGTTTTTGGCAAAATATTTAGTTAGAAATAAAATCATAACCGTAAGGTAATCAGAGTTGTGCTTGTATTTTCGTAGTATAGTAGTAAACCCTAAAACACAACTGATTGAGTCTGATCACATAATATTTCCCTAATTACTTACAGCACTATTTAATACGTTTATCTCAGTCACTAAATCCCCTAGGATTTAACGCCCACGGTATGTCTATCTGGCAAACTCTACAGTTTGACGGTGACATCTAGAATGCAATTCCTTGACCACAATACCGAAACACCACCAACTGTCAAACAAGCAGGCAAGTACACTCCGACGCTTTACGTCTGTATCAACTTCAATCAAATTCTCGACATTTTAGGTTTCATTTTCACCTAAACTATCGGATTACATTTCCTAGTGTTTCCTAAAACTTACAGCTGCTTTAGTCAATCTGGATTAAATAAAAACTGTACAGGCATATGCTAACTAGGGCTGATTTGTTGACAGTACTACGTATAACGTGGGTGGTGAATTACGTGATATATCATCTACGGCAATAAAACCCATATGTTCATAATTTTTGGAAAAAGCTGACTGTAATACACTAACGGGTAACTAGGGTACAATTTATGGTATTGCCTAGTTCATATTGCTGACTGGATTCTATTATTCAGTCTTTTGATGTGGCTACTAAATTGAATAACTGGATAATCAAATGTACTTTGTTTGAAGTCAGACAAATCCCAATGACTCAACCGAAAATTTAACCATTGTATCATCTGTTTCAGTTTGAGGACCGAAGCAGTGTTATTAGTCACCAAACAATACTGACGGATGCTAGCAACAGAAAATGCGTAACCACTAACAACCTGCCTTTGAGCATCGTTTGTACGCAGCAGACGTTGAACGGTTACGTCTTTACACATCACAACTATTACACAGGGAAGCAGATAGATTGACAGCATCAATGAGTACGGTCGATTAAACTCAGAAAAAAGTAGCGGATTCAACGTGTCTACTATTCTGAAAACAAAATCTGAAATCTGACAAACCGTCAGAAAAAACGACAGAAATATACCTAGAACCCTGACAGATTTCAAGAACAAAAATCATAGCCAAACCATCTAAACGTATGAAGATCTGAACTTGGAGCAAAACAATTCCCGTTAGAGTTTGTCAGCTATAGTTTTGTTGTAATAAACACATAGCAAGAAGAGTTCACAGTACGAAAATCACTACCCTCCTTTAAAACTCGCCTGAACAAAATCGCCTAATCTATTCAATTAACGGAAAAAATCAGAATAGCATATTTTCCTATTCACTTAGATCATTTATGAACTAATAAGTCAAATCAGCAGCGAATACAAAACTGTATTCTTCATCCTAGAGATATATAACAGTGTGTGGAATGGTTGGAAGTATAAATACTGAGATTAGTCATTTTCAGTTTACGGTACACCCAAATAAGTCGAAGCAATGATTCTACAAAGAGCTTGGTAGTGATCTACCTATGAACTACTTTTAAAAACGACCAACGAAATGCAAAAAGTTATCATAATTTTAGCAAATGTAAGATCAATAACAAGAACTACAAAAAGTAGTTACTACAGTGGTGAGAATACTGGCAGTAACAACAGTCAGGAAGTCATTAATCAAGCCCTGCCGCAATGCGTTCCTCCTTGAGCTCTTCTGCTGTTATGGAGAACTTGCCTTTGGCCCACTCATCAAGTTTTAAACCCTGGACGATGGTCCATTTGCCATTCTTGATTTGGACAGGAAAACTAAATATAACATCTTTTGGAGCATCATAAGAACCATCACTGATTACAGACATCGATACCCACTCGCCCTTAAAACAGAATAAGTTTAACTGGGAACATACCTCCTTCGTTCCAAGCCACCAGTCGTGCATATGGTCTGAGACAGACTTAGCAGCAGACAGTGCACTACTTAGTTTCCTGGCTGCTATAACAGCAGCCCCGCGCTTCTGGATAGCGCTTAGGAATTCGTTTTTTATCCAGTTATCATCATTAATTGCGGTAGCGACAGGAATCTCCTTCCCATCTTGCTTTACAACAGCATGACTCACATCGACAAACTGCGTATTGCTGTGGTTGCCCCATATAATACAATTTTTTACAGAATCGCATGAAACTCCCAAACGTTTGGCTATCTATGGAAAAAATTAAGAGGAACCTAGACTAACAAATGACTGAGCACGATTGTGGTCAAGTCTTGTGAGCGCACTAAAGTTTTCTTTAGGAATGGAAGGAGCGTTCTTCATCAGTGCGAGTGCATTTGTGTTAGCAGGATTACCCACAACAACCACTTTGACAGTCTTCTTGGCATATTTGTCCAGAGCCTGCCCTTGCTCCTTGAAAATTTTCACATTAGCATTAAGCAAATCTTTACGCTCCATCCCTTCTCTCCTAGGCATAGCCCCAACCATAAGTGCAGCATCAATTTGATTGAATGCTACTTCTGGTTTATGTGTCACAACCACACTCTTTAAAAGTCGAAATCCACAATCCTGAAGTTCCATTTCAAGTCCTTTAAGAGACTCTACCATTTGTTCAAGATCGAACAGATGTAAGATAACTTCCTGCAGTTGTTAGAAAAGAACATCTCTAACTTGATCAGGTCCGAACATATCACCACGAGCAACCATCCCGGCGAGTGAATATCCTATTTGCCCAGCTGCACCTGTCAACAAAACTCTTATTGGCTTGGAAGGTAATAGTACAAAATATCAACTAACCTCCGACATCTCTTATTGTTGTTGGATAAATTACTATTGAAATAAGCACGGTCAACATGTACTCGAAACGTTGACAGGATAAAACAAATTAAGACAGCTGTACAATATACATCGTTCTTCATAACAGACTTTAGCGACTCGACGATATCATTTGTTCATACAGTCTACTTTAATGAGTTTCCTTGATATGATAAGGTGTATGTTCCTGTTTTGGTTTAGCGAGACCAAAGTTACCACCTGTTTCTTTCCTATCTTATCCAAAATGGATGTTCTCTTAGATGTAACTTAAAGTAAAGATTAAACAATGATTTAAAATTTGCCGATCTCCACTTTAACTATATGCACGAAAGTCCATTCTCTTCTCAATGGGTTCCATGGCACAATTTGTTTTGGATTCCTTGAATAAAGGCTTACAAAGCATTGAAACGTGTCTTTAGTATGGAATAAATCTCCAGCTCTCAGACAGTGATCCTGGCTTTTACTGGACACTCCCTAGCTGAAGTCACTCGGTCACACATATAAACCAGGTCACAACTGGATATGCTATGCTACACATCCACTGCAATTACTAGCCAGTTTAGAACAAACGTTTCACAACATATCGGCAACTGTCTAAATATAAATTTGAACTCCATTCTTGACTTATTATTCGACTGGCCTGGTATCCTCCGATCATAACAGTGTTACGGACAAGAGCGTTGTCAAATCCTGAATATCTGTGACATCTTTGAACCTATGTCGTTTTGGTTTCAAGATCGTTTTGTGATAATTAGTTTTACGGGTCCAGAATTTTAAAATAGGGTAACAGTGATTCCATCAGTGATAACATGGATTACCCGGATTATATCACATTATATTCTAGAAAGTTATATGCAGAAAGTTTGTTCATGTTCTCTTTTCTTCCCAAAGGTGATGTATCGACTTTCGCTCGTATAAACGATAATGCATTTTATGATACATTTAAAAGTTCCAGGTACTTGACCTTAATTCCTTAATTGAGTCTCTCTAGCATTCCGATGAAGTGCAGATTAGACCAGTCTCATGTAATCTTGGATTTATTTCACTACAATCCAATCGCTGTTTATTCTACTGTCAGTGTTATTTCTATTCTAATTCAAATCAAATATAAAGAGGTCTAAATCTGGTGTTATTCCAATACAACCATTATTTCAGTTGTGCTCACCCAGGCCAATCTTGCTTTGGTTATTACTACTGTATATGCTAGTGAATTAAACTACTATGAAACATATTCAAGAGGTTTCGTATTCCATTTTTTACCTGATTTATTCGTTCCCAATAATCGACTAAAACATGACGAATATAACGAATAGCTCTCTTATAACCCTTGTCACACGACACACTGTAGAGGCAAGTAATTCTAGAAAGCGAATAGACATATAATACTACAATTGTTGTTTTGCACTGCGTTCGTAAACTGGTATTGCTACACTATAGTTTTATATACAAGCTCTAATAATTCAAACAAAATATGAGGAGTAAGAAAAGATTTCTCCGGTTAAAAACACTTCTGCGTCACTTTCGTTTGTATGTTTTTATTATTGAACCCCTGAGGAAACCACACCGATCAGATGCTTGTATCTTTTCTCTTCAAAAAGAAAGCAGTCCCTTACCTAATCACGTGAACTTTACATGTGATTATTTCTGGCTGTCTCACCAGATTAACGGTTTTAGTTTTGATCGATGTGGTTATTCAGAAGCTCTCTAACAAATAGGTCAAGCTGAGTTTCAATGAAAATGAGTGTGACTTAAAATCATCCAAACGTTTTTAAAGGACCATTTTGCATTTATTCGACTTGAGAAGAAACTTACTAAAACCAGTTCGTAAAGAACTCATCTTCTTGTTATCTGTTTGCGCTTACCTACACCTTGACGAATAAGCATAGCCCTTAAATGAAGAAAACTTTTACTACGACAAATTATACCATTTCCCTGACCCGTTAAATGGCTAAATATGGTAAAAAATAATAAAACGGCCTCGGTTCTTCTTTCTGCTGACAAGACAGTTAAGTTAGTCAGACGTGAAACAGTTTACCGTCACCTGGGTTACCTATGACAACACAGAGTAATCAAATAAGTCGATCAACATAATAGAGAAGATTGTGTGAACACGATACAATCTGTAGCTCAGAAGTTACACTCGTGAAAGAAAAGCATACCTTAACTAGAGCATCAGTAAAACTGAAAAATATCACCGTACTCCATCACACTTCAGAAGTCATACCACCATGTATTCAAATCAATTAACGGTCCGTTGAAAAGTATTACTTTCGTATTTTTCGGAATATAACACATTTCAGTTAGCATTAGTTTCAGCGTTTTCGTAACAATCGGTTGCATCATTAAATCTAAGGAAATCTAATATCAAGGTTTTCGATGTCCATACACGCCTGTCAACATATAACCACAAACCACACAGCACCACGATTTTTAATATCAGTTGTTTGGCGACCAGTGAATTAGTACGGGTTAAAGTTTGAATCTCACTCTCTAACTGTACTTGCAAGAAGAGAAATGCCAATATGCAGAATGAAAACAGTACCAAGGAACCGAAATTTATCCGATTAGACCAGAACACGTTCTACTGTATAGCGT